CGCCTAAGGCCTTGGCTTCGCCTGGAGAAAGAATAGTAGCGCTGCACGATGGACGGGAGATGGTCTTGGCACGTCCCCCCCTTTCGGTTCTTTTTTTGTTTTTTTTGGGGAGCAAGTAGTTTCTTGAGACGAGAGATCATCGCAAAGGATTTCCCACTGCGAATGTTGCGCTGCAGGCCTTCAGGCCTAGTTTGGAGGCCGGGGGGTGGGTTGCTTGGTACACTCTGTAAGGAGGCATGTCTGGGTCTGACAGGAGGGTAGTTTACAGGGGCGAGCTGTTTTCGGCCCTGGTACGACCACTCGGAGCACACTCACGGTTGTCAACGTTAAGGATCATGGACTTTGTTCACGGTCGTAGTTTGCGCCTTCTCTGGTCTGTTCTCCGCATCGGCCAGTGCCTGAGATCCCATCGACGAGGGCGGAGGGAAGGGGGGGGGGGAGGAGGAGGAGGAGCAAGGCCCACGTCACGTCAAACAGGTTAAACCACAGACGCCCTTACGTCAATCTCCCGCAACAATACCCAAGCACCCGCGCATCCAACCCCAGAGTCAAAGGGGAGAGGGGTTCGGACGCGAAGGAGGTTCACGGGTTTCAACGGTTTCGAAAGAAGCTCCTCGAAGGTCGTATTGTCGACCCCATGGACCACCAAAAACCGAAAGGACGTGGACGGGGTGCTTGAGATGTTTACAGTTTGGCTGCATGATGCCACCTCTTGGACCGCATTGAAGCGCGATATTGCAAAAAGTCCTTGGGGAAGGGGGAGGAGAGGCCAAGCAAGCCATGATACTATCGTGTTACTCCAAGCCTTTCTTTTTGCCTCTTGATATACCCAACTTGGCTGCGGCAATGGCGCTTGGCTTGCGACGTGCAGACCGAGCCGCACGTAACCTGCCACGCTGCCAATGTAAGATGTAAGGCCGCCCGTCTCGTGCCTCCGAGGTTTGGGGGGTTAGTGTTAATTGCTTGGGAGGCTTAGTAGCAGTTTGTCACCTAGGTACATAGCAGACAAGCAGTCAGTGTGCAGGTGAGTGACGTGAGGGGAGACCGTGACTCGGTGTCGGGAAGGAGCCCGTAGACCGCACACACACACACATGGCGAGATCAGAGATGCCAAGCAAAGACGATGGGCAGGCATCACGGCAATCGGCAGACGGCAGTAAAGTCTCGGTGGTAGTAGCGCAACCCGTCATGACCACGAATAGACATTTTCATGATGAGATATAAAGCTTCGTCCCGGAATGGTGGGGTCTGGGCCAGTGAATGACGGGGGGCCCGCACTGAGGGACTGACTGGGTGTCAGGGGAGGAATGGATGACGGGTCGGCTGAAGGCTGCAGAGGCGAAGGGTATCTGCGAGATGGATGTGTGCAGTACGGAGTTGTACGAATCTAGAGAGTTAATGAGTTTCGGTGTACATACAAGTCAGATGCCCTCTGCACGGCTGGCTGGCTGAGGGAGGGGACACACGCCGAGAGAATAGCGCAAAGTCAAGAACTAGATACAAACGAGCCAAGAGTTGATAACTGTATCGACGACGAATGCCATGCACAAGAATGATATCGAGCCAAGAAGACATACATTAAAACCAGTTCTGATGCTGTCGGGAGTTGAGAGGCGCAAGGGTGTACGTAAGGCGGTTTGGCTGTGGTCGTTCATAAATCTGTTGATAGTTAGCATAGCACAGCACAGCACAGAGCAGAGCACAGCCTCGCAGCCCAGCCTGTCAGTCCGTTACGGCAAGGGTTCTGGTGGTTATTACGGCCAATAAGCTGATGTGTTTTTTTGTGACGGACAAGCAAAAAAACCAGAGCAGAGAGCATCGCATTCAAGTTGCAAAAACCCCGTACGGTAAAACTCCGTTGGACGGTAGTCGAGCGCTGTGGGACCCAAAAGGCAGAGAGGCTAGGCTGGAGGCGAACCTGGACGTTACAGATTGATCGAAATGGGCAGGGTCGAAACCGGCCCCAGTGGGTAGGATCGACGACCAGCGTCTCCAGATGTTGGGCTTGTTTGACTTGGCACGGCCATTCAGAAGCGCGCTTGGCTGCTGCGACGCCCAAAAGGGGAACCGCTACGGATTGACGCTTTCCTTAGCTCGGGTCTAGCCTCCGTTATTACAGTACGTACCTTGTTTGAGTGTCTCCCCTGCAAAAAAAAAGGCAGGCGCCACTGCCCGTCTAAGAGGAAAGGGCATGGGTACCTCCTACCTCTTACCGCTCACTATACTAAACTAGGAGACAGTATGGGTAGTGCCTGCAAGTTCCCAGGGGAAAAAAAAGGAGATGCAGGTTTGCCTGCCCCACAAGGGTACGCATTACGGATAGCTTTGGAGGAGTTCCTCCTGCCTCGAACGAGGCCCGCCGACTGAAGAGGAGAAGACAATGTTGACAATGTACCTACCTACTGCAGGTAGCAAGATGGTAAAGGAAAGGGCACACACAAATACACACGTACGCAACGGCAGGAAAGGATGGATGGGAGGGGCCTGGAAGCAGCTGGGAAGATGCTAAACGGTTTTAACACAAAGAATGCCTACGTTAGAGTACAGAGACATTTGCTGGCCCAGCCATTGGGGAACCAATCAGATGAGCTCATGCCGCACCATTTGAAATCTGGGCTTGCTGCAATCGAAACGGTTTGCTTTGCTTGTCCAACAACACACGCACCAGCCTGCATGTGTCTACCTCTCAGACTGTGCATGTTTCCTGCGACTCCTAGGGGCGGCACCATTTGTTGTTTTTTATTAGTATTATTATTATTATTTCTCCGCGCGTGGCTGCGGCACTCATTTGCTGCAAGCTGCGTAATTGCCGTCAGACGAGAAGAGAAGGCGGGCGGGCTTGCGATGGCATGTTTCTGTTCCATGCGCCTCTTCCGCTTCGACTCTTTTTTTAATGTGTCGTATTTTCGAGGCTCTGGGCGAATATGCGCATATAGTCAGACTGAGACATCAGACAGACGCAGAACGCTCTCTTGCATGGTTTGTTTTCTGCAAACTGCCTGCCCTGATGACGACTATGAATGACTCCCGAAGATCGAATTGTCCATCATCATCCCTCCCGCCAACGAGAACAGCACCGTTGACCCACCGTCCCATCCATTCGCCGCACGTCACTGATGGGGGTGCCAGGGATGGTTGGCCTGAATTTGGTGTGCGTATGTATGTATGCGTGTGTGTGGCGCCCTGGATGTGGTTGATTTGACGCCCGGAATTAGACCTGGGACACCTAATCACCTATGGCCCCGAAATCATTCATGACGAAGGCGACACCACTAAACCAGCCAAAGAGGCAAAAGCAAAACGAGAAATAAAAAACAAAAGACTAATTGTTGATGAAGGGGTCTTACCCAGCAATCGTTATCGGTCCTTACAGTAGCCCCTGACCTAGGAAAACACCCCCGTTAAGTCGTAACCCCTTCGCACCATAGGTATGCACCTCACATTTTAGCCTGGTGTCAGCGGCAGTCTCCCGAGGGGAGCTACGCCGTACCGAGTAAGGACAGAGGCAACAGGATAATTAACGAGGGACTGGTGGTTGTGTGTGTGTGTGTGCCAGGACCCTCAAAGGGTGGGCTAAGACGCTCTGCTGCTCTGTTGATCCCTCTTCTTGAGACTGCGTGAGCGTATGACGGTACTTGGCTGAAGTACTTGGCCGTTTCTCGGTCTGCATCTGCACCTTATTCGTTGCCAGCTGCCACACTGCCAATGCCATGCACAAATTGATTGCCAAGCACTGCTGTGACTGCTAAGAAAATAAGAAAAAAAAAGAAAAAAAAAAGAGTACGTACTCTCACCCAAATCTGTTCCTGCATCTGCATCTGCATCTGTCTGGTCTTTGGTCTTGGTCTGAGTTTCTGGTCACGGCATCTGCATCTCAGTCTCATTTCGTCTTGTTCTTCTCTCTCTTCTTCCTCGTCTCTTTCTCGGCTCTCCCTCCTTGTCTTGTTTTTTTTTCCCTTTAGGTCCATGGGTCTTCGGGCTTGTCATTCATGTGCAGTAACTCGCGGCCTTCCACACACACACACACACGCAGAGAGAGAGAGAGAGCACTGTCCCCTCTGGCTTCTCCAATTCCGTCTCTTGTTCCCACTCGTCCACGTCGTTCGTTGCTTCAACCCTGGCCAGCTTTGTCCCGTCTTTTCTTGCACAAGCACAAGCCCACACTCCCTAACCCTCAATCCTCAATCCTCAAGCCCCCCCGGCCCCTTGGCCCCTCCAGGCCCCAGGTCAGGCCCCAGTCCCGGTCCCATACAAGGCAAGGCAAGGCAAGACAGGGTACAGCTGCTCAGATACTTGATGTACCGCTGACCCCGGCTCGCTCCCGTCCCCTAGTCCTGTCGTCCACTCCATCCCTCCATCCCCCCTTCTTTCCTCGTGGCCTGTCGTTATACTTAAGATACTTCTCTCAACCTCCATCCAGACCCAGCTGTGCTTGGCCTTCCGTCTCTTACTTCTTCTTGCTTCGTCCCTCTCTCTCTCTTGTTGTCTTCCGTCTCTCTCCATCTTATCCTCCTCTCCAATTTAGTATATCCATCAACAGCTCCCACGACTTTTTTCCCGTGTGGCCGGATAGCTAAACCCTCAACCCTCCGCTTCGCCTATTCTTTTATTACACCTTGTTTCAACAGGTTCGGCTTTTTTTTTATTCGCCGTGAGAAAGATTCGTAACAAAGGCTTTGTGTCGTGACTGGTATCCGGATCCTTTCTTGCATCTTCTCTCTCTCGCCGTTGCGCTCCTTCCGCCGTTTCCTACTCCACTCCGAGTCACTCACTCTTCAGCACGCCTCCTTCCGTGCCGGCCTCGACGACATCTTTCTTTGTCCCGTCGACCATTTATTTCTCCAACTATCAATAGAAGACCAGCGGTCTCATATTTTCGATTCTTCAACAAAAAAGTTCTTTTACTAGACGACCACACGACGACGAGCTAGCTCTCTCCCGTATATTCTCCTTGCTCAATCTCATCAACAACTTATTTACATATACAACTATCGCCCAACATGGTTCGCGCCGTTTCCACCTTCGTCGCGGCTCTTCTGCCCGCCCTCGGCCTTGCAGCCCCCTTCGGCCTTGGCGGCAGCTCTACCGCCCCCTCTGGCACTTTCATGGGTGTTCCCATTTCCAACCTCGACGCCGCCGACTTGATCCCCAACAAGTACATCGTTGTCTACAACAACACCTTTGACGATGATGCTATCGACATGAAGCAGCAGTCTTTCATCACCGCCATCAAGAAGCGCAACATTGGCAAGCGTGCCCTCGATGGCCGTGAGCTGTCCACCTCCGTCAAGTCTTTCAAGATGAACGGCTGGCGCGCCATGACCATGGAGGCCGACGACACCATGATCATGAACGTCATGAGTGCCGACGAGGTCGCCTACGTTGAGCAGGACGCCAAGGTCAAGCTGTCCGCTACCGTTTCTCAGACCAACGCCCCTCCCGGCCTTGTTCGCCTCTCCCACGCCGCCTCCGGCGAGACTGGCTACGTTTTCGACCAGTCCGGAGGTGAGGGTATCACCGCCTACATTGTCGACACCGGTATTCTTACCACCCACTCCGAGTTCGAGGGTCGTGCGACCTTTGGTGGCAACTTCATCAACAACGTGGTATGTTTCGTATATTAACAGGGCAGGTATGAGTGCGGTAAGAAGACTAACACGCGGTATAGGACACTGATGAGAACGGTCACGGCTCCCACGTTGCTGGTACTATCGGTGGTCGCACTTTCGGTGTCGCCAAGAACGTCAACCTGATCGGTGTCAAGGTCCTCGACGGTGACGGTGCCGGCTCCAACTCTGGTGTCCTCGAGGGCATGCAGTTCGTTATCGACGACGTCCAGAAGAAGAACCTCACTGGCAAGGCTGTCATGAACATGTCCCTCGGTGGTTCCCAGTCCCAGGCCGTCAACCGCGCTATCCAGGCCCTGAACAACGCCGGTGTTGTCCCTGTCGTCGCTGCCGGTAACGAGAACCAGGATGCTGGCAACACCTCCCCCGCCTCTGCTGCCTCCGCCATCACCGTCGGTGCCATCGATGCCCGCAACGACCGCAAGGCTTCCTTCTCCAACTTCGGACAGGTCGTCGACGTCTTCGCTCCCGGTGTCAACATTCTTTCCGTTGGTATCACCTCCAACACTGCTACCAACACCCTCTCTGGCACTTCCATGGCCTCCCCACACGTTGCCGGCCTCGCCGCCTACCTCATGGGTCTCGAGGGCATCAACACTGTCAAGGGTGTCACCGACCGCATCCTCGCCCTCGCCGAGGCCTCTGGCGCCTCTGTCAAGGGCAACACGGCCGGTACGACCAACCTTATCGTCAACAACGGCCAGCTCTAAAGTGTGTTTCCGAAATTTTGGAAACGAAATTACGAGAGCTCAAATCAAAGCATGACATGGCGTCTGATATTTTTTTCCTCGCTTTCCTTGGTTTAATACTGCGACATGTGTGTTTTTATTCGAGGGGAGACGATGAAAAAATTCACAGCATTTTTTAGAGGATACCCAGTCATATTTGCATGGCGAGCGGCCCTTTTCGACTGCAAACCCAAACAAATCCAAACAACAAACCCGAAGTCGGGCATAACTTTGTATGTAAAGACTTAAGAGAAGAGGTCTCACAAACACCGCATTTCAATAACAGACAAGAAAAAACAAAAACCCTCGACGGGGCTGGTTCCTCGTATCATTGCTCTCACGACGACTTATCCCGCTGTCTTGGGTTTTTATTTCATTTTCTGTCTAGTTTTGAAGTCATTTTTCTTCATAAGCCAAAGCATGTATTTATTTGCAAGAAGCAGAAATTAGGTAATGAGAGCAGACAGCTACGGACTTAAACTTGTTCATCTCGCTACTTGTGATTTGTGGTTTGTGCATCTATACTTGTTCAACGGCCACGCCGTTGGGAAACCGCCGTGAACGTCTTCAGACCCAAAACAAGATGGACAAACGTCATACATTGGAAGACGTATCGATGGCCTAGGAAATGGGCATTCTTTCACTTTCGTCTTGCGATGCGACGCTGCGGGAGGTCCTCTCGGCCGGCTCCCCGGCCGGTGAAGCTCACACACGCACACACTCACACTCACATCCACAACACCACCTTCAACTCACCCACACCAACACGCACTCGCTTTCCATCTTGTTTGCGATGGAAATGACGCCATGACAACACTGTGAGGTGAGACCCAGCGCGTCCAAGAGCGGGCGTGATGGATGCAAGGAAGGTTTCACGGTCTTCTCTGCCGACAGGCCAAGAATTGGGACGAACTCAGGCGTGTGGGTGTGTGTGATACCTCGTGCTTTTTTTTTTTTTTTTTCTTTCTCGCGGAGAGCGTTGCGGCCGAGGCTGGGGGAGACCCGTCGCATTCGGGTTTGCGCGGCGGAAGTGAATAGGGAATATTCTGATGGGCGGGTTTACTTGCGAGACGCGGTACATGTCAGAGAGGCGATTGAAATGTTGCTTGCGAATTAAAATAATAGCAACAGGGCAGAAAAAATAGTTATAGTGAATGACATCGACAAAAAAAAAGAAGAAGAAGAAGAAAAAAAAGTTAAAGATTGTTAAAATTCCCCGACGGATCAGAGTTAGTTAATCACGGGGTACGGCGCACTCTCTCCAGCGGGATTTCCCCAAACCTTGAAAAGTGAGATTGGACTGATTGATGATGGGCTAGATCTGGGACTTCCCCCCCCCCCCCTTACCACGCCTCTTTTTTTTTTTTTTTGAGTGTTGTTCGCTCGCAGGTTCCCGAAACCTTCTTTCTTAAAAAAGTGGGTTGATTATTTGTGAACGTCTGGAATTTGCACAATGGGAATCTGGACAAATACGGTGGGATGAAAAGGGATAACCAGCGAGTCCGCGCCCCCCCCCCCCCCCCTCCGAGCACGAGTCAACGGCCCCGGTACGGAGTACAATTTGGGGGGAGGGTTGACGGTATATTGTCTATCTACAGATGGGTATTTTCGGCCGCGAGACGGAATAGGAAATCTGATTTCCCACCGTGCCCCATTTTGACTTCCTAATTGTCTTGGTACGAAGACGAAAAAGAAAGTGGTTTGAATAATGTGCTCCGTATCTAGTCGATACAATTTGTCTCCATCACCGGCACGGATGATGAAATCGGGGAAGAGGGACGGGAGACGGGGGGACGGGGAACGGGGAGACTATGTAAATCAATCAATCAATCCACAGCAATGAACCGAATAGGCCAGATTTAGACACCACCACGATATTACGATGATCGATATATTGTCAGACATGATCCAAGAACCCACATACCAAGACTCACAAACGGTCATAAAAGCCCCCCCCCCCCCCCCCCCCCCCCCCCCCTGCCGAAAGAGGAAAGAAGAAAAATAAATAATAATAAAAAGTTGGTTCCCAAAACGTCGTTGAAGCATATCCCGTATCGTGAGTGTGTATCCCGTTAGGGGGGGACCGCCTCCTATGTAAGGTATGTAGCAGTTCGTTCCCTCCCTTCCCTTGGGTTGGCCCATGAAGTTTAATGTAGCGGGTATGGAGAACCGAGTTCTTGGCGTCATGGGGGGGAGGGGGGTTTTTACTGCCTTCTTCTCCCAGCATTCTTCTTCTTCTTCTTCTTCTTTCTTGTAACAGACACGTCCTCGACGAAACCTGGAACACAGCCGAGGCTGGAAAGGGGCTGGGATGGTGGTTGGTGCCTTTTTGGGCAGGGAATAATATTTGTCTTCCACAACAAAAGATGCTTCCCCATCCTGCTGCGTCTGTAAATAATTCAAACGGGACCACAGTAAATGGTCAAAAGCAGTTCAGCTGTCCAGGGATTCCTGCAACATGTCTTGAAGAGGGGGATATATCCATTCCACGCCCAGACTAATGCGGGAAAACGGTCGAAAGAGAGACACGAATGCGAGGGGGCACATGTCCACAAGCATGGGAGACGAGAGACTGGCGGTGCGGTGCACAGGTCGTCCCCCGGAGTCGGAGTTTATGCGTCAACGCCGAGGAAGGAAGCATTCCCAAGAAACGGTCTTTTTTGTGACTTGGCCTCTTCTCACCTTCCGTTGCTTCGCTCGTCTCTGTGTCCTCTCTGTGTCCTCTCTGTGTCCTCACTCAGAGATGGGACGAAGTCGGTCGGTCGCCGGCTACTGGCCAGAGTCCGAGTAACACAACAGGTACACGGTTGTCTCTCATCCGATATGCGTGTAGAAGCCAAGCCGCAACACTCAGCCGCCGCATTGCCTTTGCGAATCTTAGCAATCATGCTGGGCCAGACATAGCTTTACTCTTATTACAATGACAACCCAGCTGTCCCTTAGCCTTGTGTGAACTGATTTGAATTTATCGTTTCTACGTTTCCCTGGCATATATCAACAGCCTGAGGTCCAAGAGGAAGCTTGGCTCAACGGCAGACATGGAGGCCTGTGTTTCTTCCTCGACACACCCTAAACTGCCCTATGCTGTGCAGCCTTGTCACCCGAGTAAAGGACGCCCGTGGATCAGACGGCGATGACGACGCCAGTAAACGGCGGCTGACATGGAATACGAAGAATAAACATCATACATATAACGGGAGTACATTCAAAGTATGTTTGCAAGCCGGAGCAGTAAGAGCGCGTCCCTAGGACAGTGGAAGACACGCCCGCCCCGTACTCGCCGCTATGGACGAGGTCTTTGCCGGTGGGTTTGATATCAGCACTTCTTCGGCACAACCACAGTCATGACCACCTTGCGGTGGGACTGAATTGCAATTTGACATCCGTGCTTGGGTTTTTTCGCATCTACAGATAGAGAAAGAGTCATCACGAAATACATGCCAACAAGATTCGGCATGGCGACGAACGGCAGGCTTGGCGCAAAAACCATCGTAGATGGGGTGTATTAGCAACATTAGTATGGGCTCAATATTTCGTGGCCGAAACCGGCAGAGCAACCGCAAAACTCCTCGTCAATATGTACCGTCAACAAGTCAGATGAAGCGTAAGAACAGCTTTTGTTCTCGTCTGTCTGATGTTACAGCTCCTTGTGCTCCAACGGCGTGGCCGCGTTGGGCTCCATGCCAGGCCAGTAGACGCTTTCCGTCTTCCAGAGGGCGTCGAAGCGCGCACCAAAGAACCAGGCAGTTCCAATCTTGATTTGTGTCAGTAAATGTGTTGTGGCGCAACGAGAGTGAGAAGGGCGGTGGTGGTGATTGAAGAAAGAGAGAAAAAGAAGCGAGGAGCGAAAATTTTGGACTCACCATAAGAGCAGAGACAAAAAAGAGGGTCAACAAGACCATGCCGCCCAATATGAAGGCCTCGCCTGGGTCCATGCCCGGCTCGCCCCGCTGTTTTTGTTTCGCCGTTTCTCCGAGCTTCTTGGGGTCCTGTCTCGGGAACAATGAGTCGATAAACTGCTCAATCTACACAATGTCAGTTAGCAATTGAGTTTGGACACGGACAAAGACACCGTTTACGTACCTTGGCGCACTGCACGCTGATCTGCACGTAGTTGGGGTCGCGTGGGTCGTTCTTCTTATGTATCCGGCGGACATATCTTCTAAACACATCGCAGACAACCAACAGGTTCTGCGTGGACTCGCTCATGAGCTGGCATGCATCACCCTTGGTGATCTTGATATGGCTGGAGAAGATGGCAGGGTTGCGGAAGACGAGCTCGAGGGTCGCAATGGCCATGCTCTGGGGAATGGCGACGAAGTTGAACACACTCTGGTCGCGGATGCCAGCCATGTAGAATATGCACTCCTCAGCATGCTTGAGGGCGTTGAGAACCATCTCGGAACTGCACTCGAGCGCCTGGCGTTGGTACTCGGGCTTGAAAAGATCCTCCCAGTTGTCGACGTGCTTGCTCCAAATCTCCTTGGGCCAGAATCGGCGCTTGTCAAGGTAGTCCTCGTGAACATCACGGATAATGTTGGTCTTTTGGAGGAACTGGCCCATGGACTCGGTGAGCTCGGGGCGCTCCAGAAGCTTGGGGTTGGCCATCTGGCCCTCAACAAACAGGCGGGTCAGACCGTCACCGACAAGGCCGGCAACGTAGTGGCAGTACAGCTCGTAGTCCTTGACAGAAGTGATACCGTTCTCGTTGTGCTCGGCGTTGAGAGCGTAGTCGGCCATGCCATTACCCATCTTGATGGTAATGTCCTTGATAATCTCATAGTAGGGCTTCTTGATCTTCTTCAGCTCGACAATGATGTCGTCAAAGTGTACCAGCAGCTCGCGGTCCTTCTCGTTGGGTCCGTTCTCGGTGAAGGTCCATCCGTCCGTCTCCATGAGCGTGTCGAACTTGCGCAGCAGCGGCTCCTTCTTCTTGATATCAATCGTCATGTCATCTTCGATGGTGTCGAGGCCGCGCAGGACGAGGTAGAATAGAGCGACGGGAACAAGCAGCTCAGGGGTGAGCTCCTGGATGACGGCGGAGAAGGAACGACTCGTCTTGTTCAGAAATTCGAAGCATGATTGCAGCGTCGGGTCTTCCTTGGAGGGGTCGCGACGGTGAACGGGTTCGTGCCAGACCTTCCTGGGGGGCAAGTTAGCAAATATGATGCAGGTTTCAAGCGCGGTGCATATAGCGCGCATGAGACGAGGTGGGAGGTAGACAGTACCATTGGATGATGGCGCGGAGCTGGTTGGGATGAAGGACGTAGTAGAGGGCGCCCATGATGGCAAGTGGTCGTCGCAACGGACGGTGGACTGCGGCGGTACGGGCGTAAGAGGAGGAGGGGAGGGAACGACGACAAGACAGTCAGAGAAGTCTTGAGGCGGGCGGTGAGGGCACGAATGAGGCCAGGTCAGACAAGTCGTCGCAGTGGTTTGACGAGGGCTTATGAAGGTCTGCGGGTTTCGTGGCCCCAATATATACGGCGCAGATTGACAGAAGGCTGTTGTTGTTGCAGATTTTCTCCACGTCCCCAAGTGCTTGGCACAGATCAGCTCGCGAGGATACACAGAACAATCAAGTCAGATCAGATTGGCAGCAGCAGGATACAGCGTGCGATCTGGGTGCGAGACTGACGACAGGGACGGTCTGGATAGGATCAACAACACCACGCAGCAAAGAAAACGAGCGGGAATAGGAGGGAAGAATTCTCCGCTGTCATCAAGAGTAGCCAATCCCATTCAGCCGGAAGGAGCAGCAGCAACAGCAGGAACCCCAGTAGCCCATCTGCTCCCCCAAATTGCCAAAATGCAACGATCTGCCAAGCTCCAGCGGTGGTGTGGTGGGTGCAGTGCGCTGTGGGCAGGCTGTTGTGCGGGCCTAGGCAAAGTTGGGGCCAGTGCCCATTTGACAGCCAGAGCGGTGGTTGGCCTCTGAGTGGTGGACCTACGCGGATGGGCGGCGGGCGACGCCATGCTACAGTGACACACAGCGTGTGGCCCGCTGTTGCTAGGCTTGCTCAGCAGGAACAGACTGCAAGTCGGGTGTCATTTGGGAAGACACCGGCCCGGCTAAATTTTAAGCGAGCCAATGGGACGGACGACGGGTTATGATTGGCTCACTTCAAGGTGACGGTGGTGCAGGACCCTACCTGCTCTGCTATGCCTGCTTACCAGTAGAGGGGACAGATGCGGGGGGGAAAGAAGGCACGGATGGCGACCCTGTTCCTTCTAGCTGTGGTCTCGGAGGGGATTGCCTATATCTCAGGGTCATGTCGCCTTAAGATGGAGTCGTTGGATTGGTCCTTCGCACTCTAACCCTTCTTTCAGTTAGTCGAATGACAAGAAACATGTTTCCATGCAAGATGGAAATTGCTTTGGCTTCTTCGCACTCCAACCCTTCTTTCAGCTAATCCACTCACAAGAAACATCTTTCCAAGCAAATGCAAATTGGTTGGTATCTTGGCATCACACACAAACACATGCGTAAGGCCGCGACCGATATTTATAAGTACTTCTATCCTTCTCCTCCTCCTCCTCCTGCTGCTGCTACTGCTGCCGCCAATTGAGGTGTGAGTGGGGAGCATCGACTACTTTGCGTATGGCTCGACGCGGAAGCAATCAAGTTCCAATATTTGCAGCTCAGCCTCCCCCTCTCTTGTCCTGGGCTTCCGAACCAGACCATGGGTGCGCAATCGTTCGGTCCCTGAAATATTAGCTAGAGGTTTCCCGTGTCGTCAGACATCACGCAACCCGGCAGAGACCCCTTTACTTCTTTTTTGTCCTTATCTTATATCGAGTCTTGAGGCTCTGTATTCCCCCACACCTCCGGCACCCATGTGGGAAGCCTTTTTGCCCCCAAATCTCCAAGTCTCATCCGCTTCTTTTCCACCGCCACCGACTCAAGGGAGAGCGATGCGGTGTGCACTCTCGACGGCAATGTCTCACTTGCTGCATCTCCAAGGGAGCACAAACGACGCTGTCTAGCCTCCTTTCATCTTAGGCCCATGGATCCACGATACTTGTGTTGAGAGCCTCAACGACAGCAAGTAGCAAGTAGCTACTTTGCCTTCAAGTCTACCGCTAACATCATTATCATTATCCATCTTTTTTTGGTTTATACTGTCTCCGGCGCTCGTGGCGCATTGTTTGCTTACAAAACATAGAGCCATGACAAAGCTCTTTTCGACTATTGACTGCAAATAGCTTATTCTACCCCCCCAGCCCTAGGTTGCCCCCCTCTCATCCGTTAATAGCGCCATCAACATGGAACGTAGCTCCTGGTAAGCTTCGTACTCGAGGTACGTAAGTTTGCAGTACGGGTCGCGCCTTGAAGGTGGTACCTCAAGTCCCGAAGGTGGGGGTGGGAACGACATGAACGCCTGTCGTCCAGTGCCGGTGGCAGCTGCTACTAGCTGCTGGCTGCGAAGATCCAGTGTTCAGATACGACGGGAAGGGAGGTCTGGCGTCGACTACGGCTGAAATGCAGATACGACTCGTACCTGAACACAAAGTTTCCGGTTCTCTCCCTTGGGTCGCACTTGCGCTGTCATGCCTACCCCAGATAAATAATCTCCCTTTCACACCGTCTCTTTCACTGAACTTTGTTATCTGGTCTTACAAATACTCAATTTGTCCTTTCCCCTCCTCGTTTCTTTTCCGCCCACGGCTTCATCCCTTGCCAGCGACGGACATATAAGACCACTTCCGATTTATATTTCACCTTCCTCTTTACAGTTTATAGCATCCCAGCTAGTCGATACTTCTGGAAACGAACACGTTCGATCCATTCTAAGCTTCCTGCGATAACGAGCCAAACATCACAAAAAATCACAATGGCCACCAACGGACATGCGTCAAACCGCTTCCTCATCTGGGGTGGCGAAGGCTGGGTTGCGAACCACCTCAAGGTCCTCCTCGAGAACCAGGGCAAGGAGGTTTACACCACCACCGTTCGCATGGAGAACCGTGAGGGCGTTCTCGCCGAGCTCGACAAGGTCAAGCCCACCCATGTCCTCAACTGTGCCGGCTGCACTGGCCGCCCTAACGTCGACTGGTGCGAGGACAACAAGGAGGCTACGATGCGATCCAACGTTGTCGGTACCTTGAACCTCACCGACGCTTGCTTCCTCAAGGGCATTCACATCACCGTCTTCGCCACCGGTTGCATCTACCAGTACGACGACGCCCATCCCATCGGCGGCCCCGGCTACCTCGAGACCGACCCCGCCAACTTCAAGGGCAGCTTTTACTCTGATACCAAGGGCCATGTCGAAGAGGTAGGTCAAACATCCTCTTTTTCTCGATAGGCGCAAAGCTAACCGCATCGCAGGTCATGAAGCACTACAAGAACTGCCTCATCCTCCGTCTCCGCATGCCCGTCAGCGACGACCTGCACTCCCGTAACTTCGTTACCAAGATCGCCAAGTACGACCGCGTTGTCGATATCCCTAACAGCAACACCATCCTGCACGATCTTCTGCCCGCCTCCATTCTGATGGCCGAGCACAAGGACACTGGCATCTACAACTTCACGAACCCTGGCGCCATTTCCCATAACGAGGTGCTGTCTCTGTTCAAGGAGATTGTGCGTCCCGATTTCACGTGGAAGAACTTCTCTCTCGAGGAGCAGGCCAAGGTCATCAAGGCCGGCCGCAGCAACTGCAAGCTCGACACCACGAAGCTTGTCAAGAAGCTCAAGGAGTACAACTACGAGGTACCCGAGGTGCACGACGCTTACCGGGGATGCTTTGAGCGCATGAAGGCTAACGGCGTGAAATAATTTGGGACAAACTTGGGTTCGGCGTATTGGCACTGGTTATTTTGGCAAGAATCGAAGAAAGAAAGCAAAAAGGACGTGGGGATTCCATATTCCGAAAGGGACGGAGTAGTTCATACCAAACTGGCAGCATAGCATGAATCCAGAAAAGTCGGGCTGATACCGGGCGTAAAGTGATGACCCATGATGAGTCGGGATTGCCGATGCAATGAGCAACTCTGTTGAGGTGCCGGGGGTCCCACCAGCAATGCGTAGAAGCCGTCGGAATCAACTACGGCGACGGCATCGTTATGCGGACAAGGGAGCTTGTAAATTTGTGAGGAGTCGAAGCTTCAGCATTTTCGGTCCATCAGATGGTTTCTCTATTTATCGGAAATTGAGTGGAGATAACAAGACTTCCGCAAATAATGGCTATAGTTGCTGGCGCTACGCCCATTAGATTGTTAGATTGAGCTTACTAGCATAGCAACAAACAGTATTTAAAAAAGGCAAAGTCTGTGATGTAGGACTGGTCTCACCTGGGCTTGTAAATGATGTGCAACGTCATCCCTGTCAACAGGCCCCTGTCCACGTAATCTCCAAGGCCGCAGTGGACTTCGCCAGCTTCCTACTGCCTGAAGGTGAGAGTGGGAAAAAAAAGGCAGCCCAACAGGCACCACCACCACTACTACTGCCCACTGGGTTGAGGTGGTGTCACTGCTCATGTGGCGGGCCGTCAGCAGGCTGGGCAGCCCACCAAACAGACAGAATCGGCCAACGACGTAATTTGGCGGGGCACCGCGAAAACGTAAATCCACAGAAATAATCACTGCGGTGCGCCTGCTGTCACCATTGTTTTCCTTGTGATTTGCTTTGAATATTATCGCAGGCATCCCTACCCGCCAGCACCCCGCGATTTCTCCCGCGCTCGATCGTATTACTCTTCTTTCACCTTATTCTATTGCGATTTCTACATAGATCTCTCTTCCTTTTTTTTTTCCGCCCCCCTAGATACCCTGCCGCAGCACATCGACCATGGTTGTCGACACAGCATATTACGACACGCTGGGCGTGAAGCCCACCGCCACCGATATTGAAATTAAGAAGGCCTACCGCAAGCTGGCCATCGTCCACCACCCTGGTGAGTAGCGCCTTTCGCAGCATCTCCTCCAAATATCGCCGGTATGGAGCGCGCAAGACTGACGCCAAGGCATAGACAAGAACCCCAATGACCCCACCGCCCACGAAAAGTTTCAAGAGATCGGTGAAGCCTACCAAGTCTTGTCCGACAAGGACCTCAGAGCCGCCTACGACAAGTATGGCAAGGACCATGCCAAACCCCAGGAGGGCTTCACCGACCCCGCCGAGTTCTTCACCACCATCTTTGGCGGCGACGCCTTCGTTGATTGGATCGGCGAGATCAGCCTGATGAAGGATCTGACTGCGACGATGGACATCACGATGCATGAGGGTGAGGAAGGCGCCGAGGGCGCAGAGGGCGCAGAGGGTGCCGAGGGCGAGTTCCCCGGCACGGATGAGGCCAAGAAGGAGAGCATGAAGACCGCTGCCGACGCGGAGAAGGCTGGCCCCAGCGCCGCCGCCACTGGCACCGCCAACGCACCACCCCCCGCCGTTGTGGTCGAAGACGAGAAGGAAAGGCTCAAGGCCCGAGACGCAGCCGAAGCCACCGCCGCCTCCTCCAAGGGTGGTGCCGCTCCCACTGTCGAAGACGCAGCCCCGCCGCCCCCCTACCAGAGAGAACCGTCGCCCAGCCCGTCCGGCACCTCAGCCTCAAAACGCACACAGATCCCTCTCCGCCCCGCGCTGATGGACCGTCCGTCCGACGAGGTCGCTGCCAACGCCGAGACGGAGGAGTCGCTGCGCAAGAAGGAGAAGAAGAAGGGTCTGACAAAGGAGCAGCGCGAGCAGCTTGCGGCGTACGACAAGGAGCGCGCCCGTGTGCGCCAGGAGCGTGTTGACACCCTCGCCCGCAAGCTCCTCGACCGGATAAGCGTGTGGACCGAGACCGACAAGGGCCCCGACGTGACCAAGTCGTTCCAGGAGAAGACGCGCCTTGAGGTGGAGAACATGAAGATGGAGTCGTTCGGCCTCGACATCCTGCACGCCATCGGCCAGACATACCTCGCCAAGGCGACGGCATTGCTCCGTAGCCAAAAGTTCCTCGGCATCGGCGGCTTCTTTAGCAGAGTCAAGGACAAGGGAACCATTGTCAAGGAGACATGGAACACCATCAGCAGCGCCATCGACGCTCAGCAGACCATCGAGGAGATGGCGCGCATGGAGGAGAAGGGCGGCTCTGAGTGGTCCGAGGAGGCCAAGGCCGAGTACGAGAGACGGGTCACGGGCAAGATCCTGACGGCGGCGTGGCGCGGTTCCAAGTTCGAGATCCAGAGCGTGCTGCGCGAGGTGTGCGACGCCGTTCTTAACGACAAGAAGGTGCCTCTCTCTAAGAGGCTGGAGCGTGCTGAGGCGCTCGTGATTATCGGCGAGATCTTCTCCAAGGCGCAGCGCTCGCCCGAGGAGGAGGGCGACTATCTCGTCTTCGAGCAGCTCGTCGCCGAGGCGGCCATCAAGAAAGAGAAGAAGAAGGGCAAGAAGCACGAGCATGCCCACGCGGCAGAAGTGGCGGAGGATGCACCGAACGTTCCCAAGCCCGAGAAGTCGTAGCGTTTACATTAGAAAACTGACGTTTATTCACCTCTTTACCTATTCCTATTGGCCTTGCTCCTTTGATGGGGGTTTTCATGTACTCTTGTAATACTTTGATCAATACAGGTTGATAACATGTGCTACGGCCGATATGCGAGAGATCTCTCACTAATGGATTTGACGGGTCATGATTGTCACTGGCTTTTGGGTTGGAATAAGTACTGTGTGTTTTATCCACGCGTACAATCCCACGAGTTATCCTATGGCTGTGTTCAAGTTATGTAGATGCAATCAGAAGACTTGCCATTGCCAGTCGTTGTCTTCGTCAGGAGAAACAAAACACAACAAACAGGATAATGTGGGAAAAGTCTGTTTACGAGATGTTATTTCTGTCTAGGCAGACTTGATAGACGGGAGAACCATGAAACCGACATCAACTTCTCATCGGATTCGCAGTGACTATGCAACGGCTAAATTGCCTTTATCAAGTCTCTCCCGAATATCCTTGACATGCCACACACCACCCTTGCCCACAATCCACATCTCGTGCTCGCCAAACGCCACGTTAACAGGGTCGTTCCCGCCGCCGCCAACGCGGATCGAGCCGAGCGTCCACCCGGACTCGGGGTCCAGGACGTCAACGACCTCGCCGCCCGCCCCAAAGATCCACCCGCCGCGGCTCACGCGGACGCCGTCGTAAAAGTACTGCATGGCGCGGCTCAGCAACCTCTGGTTCGTCAGCAACGGCAGCCGTCTCTCCTCCCCCTGTCCCGACGGCGAAACCGCAAAGTCCCACGCCCACAGGTCGCGCGGGCCCAGGTTGTTCCGCCGCGACGGCTTGGTCTCGGAGGCTCCCGTGTCCGCTAGGTAGAGCGTCTTGTCGTCGGGCGAAAGCGAGATGCCGTTGGTGTTGCCCTGCAGGTACGCCAGCTCCTTGATCCGCAGCGTGGTGCCGTTGACGAAGTATACCGTCGGCAGCGAGGGCATGGAGTAGGGGTTCAAGTCTCGGCCCTTGCAATACATTAGCGCTTGATCAGTGACTAAGTAGAGGACGCGACGGTTCTTGGTCGGATACATACCCAGCCGGATCTGGAGTCCGTCATATAGTAGTTACCCTCACGGTCCAACTCGAGGTCATTGAAGCTCATAAAGGGTCGCTCGTAAAAGTTGTTCAGCAAGGTCTTGCGCTCCCACGTCTTGGGGTCGATGATCGCCAGGTATGCCGTCTCATCTGGCCCTCCATCCGTGACGACATGCAACTTGCCATTTTGGTAGACGCACCCGTGGACATTAAGCGTGGGTGGGTTCGTCTGGATCTTGGTGAGATTGTTGGTGCGGACATCCAAGATATACTGCCAGTCATGCGTGCCGTTCTCGCCTCCTGGCGGTCCCCATTCTACAAAGAAGAGTAGTGACTGCTCGGGAATGTAGCACGAGGCTTCGTGCACTTGGAACGGGAGGACCTGTAGCTGCTCGACGGTAGCGTTCGGTCCGATGATGTCAAAGAAGCGCTCGTCATAGGCGACGAAGCTGGTTTGGTTGATGTGTTCGTTGCTATGTTACACGTCGTTCCATTGTTAGTGGGCAAGGTACCGAAGCGAAGCGCATGCAGTTGTGATAGACTTACATGGCGGCGACACTGGGGTCAGACACCTCGGCGGCAGAAGGGGCCTCCCACATGGAGCGGTTGAAACGGCCTGGGATCACGGCGAGAAGCGGATCCTCGTTGGAGACCCACGCCCACCGTTCCGTGCTGAAACCGGGGGGCACGGCATCGAGCTGACCTAGCGCCGGACCTACGAGGCCGGCTAGAAGACTGGCGGCGATCTTTGCAAACATTTTTCACGGTCAAGCAATGACTTGCTTGATTAAGAACTTATTTAGAGGCCTGGTGATCATTTTTATATCTTACTGATCGTCACTTCCACCGCGTTCTCCTTTTTACGTCCTTCTTAGCCAAGGAAGCTGCCGAGTCATTTGGTCGCACCATCGGACTCGTCCCGGATTCGGACCCCACTCCGGCTTGAGTCCGCGGACGATTTCCGGGACACCATATACGCAAGACTGAGTGCACCAAGTTTTGCTTTTGAGGGCCAGAAAAGCTACGTAGTAAGTAGGAGGGAAAACAATTCTCTCATACTCGGGCACGTATTTTAGGATTATCGGTGACCGTTGAACATAGTCGTCTACTTTGCTAGCTACAGTATGACCCTTGCCCCGATTGCCGAGTACTGGAAGCAAGGCGAGGTTTACTGGTATACAAGTACAGGAGCTGCATGATGCTATCCAAAAACGGTGCGCTTCGGCGCTATCGCGAACTGCCAAGGCTGGCTTCTCCATAGTACCCGCAATCTATTCAAATCTTGGCTTGGTTGCATTGAATGAGCATAGAAAAGTAGATGGCGGCGCCAATCCTAATTTCAAGAAGTCTAAAGAGGCCCGCAGAGTACGGCCCCTAAGCACTTTGAAGATTGCGAAAACGATGTCTGAAGCCTTGCTATATTGTCGCACTGAGAGCGTCCAGCAGCTACCTGCCATGATGTGAGTAAACGGCTAAATCAGCCATCATAGTTGTATTTCTGGTTCAATGTTGCTGCAGTCAGAAAACAAACTCGCCAATACTAAGATATGCTTCAAAACTATTATAAGCTGACGGTCTTGTTGTGGCCATTGTTGGATTCAACGAATACCATGGATTCCAAGAAAAGGCCAAAAGTGCGAGAAAGTTTGCTATTATGTTTGGTGGGAGAGTTCTGGCTTAAGCCATTTGAAGTACCTTCGTGAACAGCATGATTGGAGGCAGGGTCTTTTTTTTGTCTATCGCAGCTCAGGGCCAGCTAGGCTCATTCAGATCTCCTCTTCGCGGAACTTCTTAGTGCTTACACCACTCCATGTCACCGTTGATATCTCATTTGCCACCCAACTTCATAATCTCACGCCCATGCTTGCTATCATCTCACGACTTTAAATCCAAATAGCATTAAACCCTCGGTAGCGATAGTTTAGGCATCAGCCTTGGCCATTTACGTTACACTAGCCCGTGCTGGAAGGAGAAAAGATGCAGGCAGTCTAGGTGCATCACCATGTAACGCAAGATGATGGTCGAGCTAGCAGGGGCGTTGATGCAACTCAGCGGCCTAGCCCGTGGCGAGTTGCAGGGTTCTAACTTAAGCGGGAGGAGTTGCCAGATTGTATATTAGTGTAGCAACGGGATAAGCACTTCGCATCCTACCCACGTTTAAATACTAGCATTACAAAGGCTGCTCGTAACAACCTGCGTATCGGATATTGTGCTGCAGGAAGGATCTAATTAAATATGCCCTTTCAAAATGGCATGGCCTCCCCAAGGGACTATCTCCAAACTGGCCACCTTTTCCGAAAGAGTCGGTATCTGGTCTAGCTTTGCATTTACGATCCATCCGTAGGCTACCTATCCTCGGCTGGTCTTCCTTCTTTGCTTCCGAGCAGGTGAAAAGTTTTTGCATTTATCCATGGTATGACAAGAAGGTGTTAGTTCCAATAATCGGAGATGGATATAAAAGATGAGCAGTCCAGCCACTTCGTATCAGTGTGGCAACATACTCACAACCCCATTCAAACAACTTCCTAGAGTACCCCGCCAACAGTGTATAAACAAAGACAAAGCTGCGGCAGGTCATAATCAAATCACAAAATGCACTTTTCCACTGTCCTAACTGCCGCTGCTACTTTAGCAGCAGGCGTTGAGGGGTACCTCTACACAGTCGGCCTCCCCAAGACGATCAAGCCAGGCGACGTGTTTAACGCAACCGTCACGACCGGCATCATGCAGCCGAGGCAGGAAGTTATGATCTGGGGTCTGACTCGATACGACCGCGAGTGGAACAGTGGCCCGTACCCTGGAAGCATCGGTACTGAGTTTGCCAGAACGAATCTGCGAGGTATGTTCCTATATTTTACCGCACTCCAACGCCGAATCCGTTTCCTGCGGTTGTTATCTTCCGGTCTTTCTCGCCAGGAGAAGTGCCAAAACGCGTACTAACTCATCTATGTAAAACACAGAGGTGCTCAAGGGAACTTACAATGATACCATTCCGGGCCTGAAGATCCCTGAATCCACGGTGCACGGCGACTACGGTATCCAAGCAGTGATCCTGCAGTGGTCGGGCGTGACGAACACGCCGTCGCTCGAGACGTGGTTCTGGGATGTTACTGTCGGTGACTCTACAAGCGAGGAGCGGGTCTGGAGTGACTTCAGAGGGGAGAAATCGAGAAGTTGCTGGCTTCAATGAGTATCATCTACGATGAGAGAAGGGAAGAGTAGCGGTGGATCATACGTAATGAACAAGCGCAAGAACCTTCAGATAGCCTAATGTTCAACGGAATAGATTTATAGTTTGTTACTCTAGTGCATACTTTTTGATTTAAACCATTGGTCACTACATAGTTTCTGATGCTAATAAATCATCATCTGTTGACTTGTTGCAGTGATAAATATATCTACACCGTATGAGCTCCCTAATTCTTAATGTTCTCCCAGCCAGCTAGCTAAAGACATAATGTTCACGAAATACGTGAGCCAACTATAACGACGATGGCAGAAGTTGAATGGTTGTCCATGAAGCGCTTTCGAGCCTAGTGCAGATGATGGCAGGTGGTTTGCTTAGAATTCATTCTTCCCCAGCTTGCATAGTGAACTGGCCCTGAGGCTGGCAACACTACACCGCTCCTGGCAGACCAGGCATTCATGAAGGCGTTAAACGAATAGCACTATAATTATATCAGACTGAAACTCTGATACATGGTTCAGGATTCATTGTCGAATCGTCGTCCCACAAAGCCTTGAGGCCTCTCCAGGTGTCACAGACCTCTCCCGGAAGATTTGCTCGTGTTACTAACAATTTGACAACCAGCCTTCCCTACCACGTAATGGCATTGGCGCCAGCAAACCTAGATGAACCAGCTGGCTTCAGAGAACATCGAACGCATATTATATATGAGTTAAGGCCTTGAGAACAGCTAGAAGGGCCATATTCAGTGAAATAAACAGCTTGAGTCAATATGAAATCTACATCTTGAGAGATCTGGCGCCATTCGACAATAGTCCCGGCAATCGGCTATGTCCTTGGAGCCCTTTTATCTAGTACATGCGATTCCTGCAAGCAACGGCCGCCAAGGTCGAAGCAATCTAAGCAAACATCAAAATTTCCATCACAACAAATAGAACAAAAGAAGTAGCTGTCATCTCTGGAGATGCCGCAAGTACAGATATCACACGATCTGTCGAGATTCTTACGAGATATTATTTTGACTTCTAGGTCCATGTGGTCTTCGTCAACTAATATGCCCTTTTGTCTTCTGTTTTCGACCAGAAGCTGCGAGGTCCTTGTGTGTCCATGTCTGGTTGCCCACCACAATGGCGTACGGGAGAATCGATCCGGAGAGTCGATATCTACAGTACCTGCAGCTAAGAGGCACTCCACAACATCAACATGGCCATGTCTAACCGCTGCAGACAAGGGGGTTGAGCCGTATTGATCTTTCCAATTAAGACATTCTGTGCTTCGATTCAGAATCGCTTGAACGATCGCAGTATAACCTCCCTTTGACGCGTAAAACAGAGGTGTTCGACTGATGGTGTTCACTGAACTTGGATTCACATGAAAACATGCAAGAAGCAGCTCAACGTTTTAAAGTTTGCCGCATTCTGAGGCTACGCTGAGTGGTGTCTGGCCTCGGGTGTTGGGTTCTGAAGTATCTGCTCCGGTGTCGAGGAGCAGCGGGAGAATATCTACATTGTCGGTATGAGAAGTAGCAACGAGGGCGTTGCCAAGTCTACCGCCTTGGGCGTTGATATCGGCACCTCTATTGAGGAGTAGCCGGATAACGTCTTTATGGCCCTTACAAGATGCATCTTGGAGGGCGGTATTATAAACAATATCGCTCTGGGCGTTGATATCGGCACCTCTATCGAGGAGTAGCCGGATAACGTCTTCATGGCCCTTACAAGATGCAGCTTGGAGGGCGGTACCATAAAAACTATCACTCTGGGCGTTGATATCGGCACCTCTATCGAGGAGTAGCTGGACAACGTCTTTATGGCCCTCATAAGATGCAACTTGGAGGGCGGTATTATAAACAATATCGCTCTGGGCGTTGATATCGGCACCTCTATCGAGGAGCAGCTGGACAACGTCTTTATGGCCCTCATAAGATGCAGCTTGGAGAGCGGTACTAATAAAACTATCACTCTGGGCGTTGATATCGGCACCTTTATCAAGGAGTAGTTGGATAACGTCTTTATGGCCCTCATAAGATGCAGCTTGGAGGGCGGTGTTATAAACACTATCGCTCTGGGCGTTAGTATCGGCACCTCATCGAGGAGTAGCTGGACAACGTCTTTATGGCCCTCATAAGATGCAGCTTGGAGGGCGGTACCATGTCTACCGCCTTGGGCGTTGATATCGGCACCTCTATCGAGGAGTAGCCCGACAACGTCTTTATGGCCCTCATAGGATGCAGCTTGGAGGGCGGTACCATAATCACTATTACTCGGGGCGTTGATATCGGCACCTTTATCGAGGACTAGCCGGACAACATCTTTATGGCCTCTAGAAGACGCAGCTTCAAGGGCGTTCTTTTGGTCACTGTCTCGGGAATTAACATCGGCGCCATCCTTTAATACCTTCTCTACTGCATATACTATGCCCCCGTAAGCAAAATAGCATAGCATGTGAGTCGCTCGATTATGGTGCTGCCAAGGTTTCTCGTCCCAAGGCCTGTCTGGCTGATAAAGTTTCCAGCAGGTTTCGTAAGAAGCTCCGCATCTTAGAAATTCTTTGAGCAGATGTTGGACCCTACTAAGGTCAGCTTGGATGGTATGGTCCATCCAGTACCGTGCCGCATACTGCGCCAGTGGGTATTCGTGTATTAGGTCCGTAATAGGGAGGCCATGGTTTATATCCAATAGGTAAGCAAGACTGGTTTCTAAGATTACTGCTCTGGCATGCGACGCTCTAAAGTCTTCAGAAACGCTGTGTTCTAGTCGGTTCGATACCAGGTATTCCCTGACGGAGAAATGCGCGAGCTGCAGCCGCTTCTCTCCGTCTTGGCCGCTTTTGGTAACAATAACTACCAAACTGGAACAGTAAATTGCTATTTCCTCTGGTATTGGCATCCTATTCTTCACGTCGAATCTTGGCTTGGCGTTCCCGACTACTGCGATTGCATCGCAAGCCTCTTCAATTCGTAATGGCCGTTCAGAAAACGTTAAAAACTGGAGTATTCGAATAGCATTCTGCTTCATTTCCGGTGGTATCCTGTCAAGTATTCTCGCGTAGGTGTCGTCTAGTGTCTTTGGAAGTGATTTTAGAGTGTTCCGAAGACTAATAGGATCAAGGCATCGTTCGAGCTCATCGAGTTGGCACGACACCCAGCGGAACCTTCAGGGAAACTTAGCAACGAGAAAATACTGGGACAGCTTTTTAACTCACATTCCATGCGCTTTCTTCATGAGACATGCCTGAATCTCATCCTGAATTTCCTTGTTCTTGTGCCATCTCTCTAGACCTTTGTGCTGTGTAACACGGGCGCGAATGTAGGCCTCTATGTCTTCTGCCATTAAATCACTCTGTAGAGGTATGTGGCTATTAATAAACTCTTTCAAAGTTGATTCGATATCGTGTTCTGGGCGGCTCGTAACCATGAAGTGTATGTTGTTCTGTTGAGATTGCAGGAGGTTTTGAATCCACGCTAGCAATCCTTCATTCTCTGGACCATTTCGAGTTTGACACTCGTCGAGTGCATCAAGGACAATCCAGATTTCCCCAGTCTGATCAACCATGGTTTTGAAAGTCTTGCATAACAAGTCTGTACTGGGTTGTCGTTTTTCTTTCTTGTGGGAAGAGTAAAGTATATCCAGATGCGTTTGGGCGCACTGCTTTTTACTGTATAATTGAGCGATGAGTGACCGAATCGCCTTCTCGAGCGACTGCTTGCTAGTGTCGGTAAAGTCAAAGTAGAAGTAGAGTAGGTTTCCAGAGCATTGCTCCGTATTTCGGAGGTGTTCAATGATAATGGTGCTGAGGATCGTCTTGCCACAACCGGGGATACCATAAAGCCATAGAGAAGAATTCGGGGCTGTTTTCCAATTCGAATATGACTCGTGGTTCAGGAACCACTGTCCTGTACCCTCATGACGCTGCTGCAGTGCCTTGTTGTGATTTGTTGATGGGTCTGGAGGAGAGAGCCACTCCATGATTTCTTGGAAATGCAGGCTCTGCTTGATGTCGTTCGTGGACGAGTTTATGTCAGAAACACCTTTACGTACTATGACTACCGTAAGTGATATGCCGATTAAAAATATCCGTGAAATACTAACGCTGCTCCATGACTTCGTCCATTCTCAGAGCCCCTTCTACATCCTCCCCATCGAGAACTTCAAGTAACTCCTTTGCAAATGCAGCCGCTGTAACGGCCGCATAGTTCTGCCACCGATCGTTCTTATGGCCGTCCGCGTAGTCGCAGATTCCCCGGATCACAAGGCAAGGGAAATTATCCATAAGACCGGCTGCCTCCATTTCGAAGCAGATGCACTTTTCCCCAAGCCGCTGGACAATTTCGTCCCGAGAAACACTGTTCTTGATGACCGAGTCTCCGGAAGCAATGAGTCCGTAATAAACCATCGGATCGGTAGAAGCCCGTTCCCGGCGCTGCAATTCTTTTCTCGGATCACAATACATGCAACTCCTGGTTTGGTCGATATCTAGATGGCCATCTTCTCCAGACGGAAGGCTCTGTTTGGCTTCATTTGTGCTGGTAAGCCTTGTTGCCGAGATGTAAAGGAGCCAGAAAAATGACCATATCCAGGCCAGAGCCAGCTGAAGAGGTGGTCTGCCCAGATCATGCGGGATTGTAGTTTCCGAAGAACTATGTTGCTCATCCGAGCGCTGGATGTGCTTTGAAGTTGCTTCAAATAAGCGGTCATTCTGTTTCCCTTGATAAACAAACGAAGCATCGTCTGGTTGTGGTTCTGCTAGCAACGGGTGGCGTTCGAACATGTCTTTTAGGATGTCCGGCATCCGAGGTTCTCTCAACCTCCTCTTGGCCTTGAGTGTCTGCAATCCTTTGAGAAGAACCTCGGGCGGGGAAGCGAGAGAACCGACACGCTGAAAATGACCGTCTTTACCCAACTTCCCTAAATCGTATTGCACAACTCCGGAACTCGTACCAGTCGGCTGGCTAACGACAACGTCGCCAAGGCGGATATCAATGTTTTCTGCCAACCTTGGGATACCGGCACCAATGCCAACCATTAGACCGAATCGTAGATGTGGAAGAGAGCTGGTCATGCTTCCGGCGGTTGTCGCTGCGGACACAGTGCCGTACTTGCCCGCGGCCAGCGATGCGATAACGATATTATGCTCCGCGATGCGACCCCAGATATAACTATTTGTGTCTTTCGGGTGTTTCCTGAAGTTCTCCGGCTTCATGTGCTCTTCGTCAAGCATCGCCTGTGCTGCGGTGAGCTCCTTGTCAAGAGCGGTGATCCAGCCAATGGTGTACATTTGGGGACTCGGAAGTCGCTTCAGGGGCGCCATGATGAATGCTCGAGGCTTGGAGGATGCCAAAAAGTGTGAGGCCTGAAGGAAAATGACACTATTATTGAGGAACTTCGAGATTGCGCTTCCAACAGGACGGCATGGTTCAACAACCTGTGGGTTGTGCTATTCTTGTAGGGTGGCCTGGTTGCTGGTAACCGCTCAGATGGGGGGCGCTGTCAAATATACCTGGTCATTCCTTGTCTTTGATGCCTGCAGCCTGATTGAGAGGCTGCACCGGCTGACGAGCATTGCATGAGGTGGTTGTGGGCAACTGCGGGACATAATTGGCTCCAAGCCCCTCTCTTGAAGACAGGCGGTTTTCATGAGCGCTGCCAAGGGGCAAGTTTCTCATGCCGTATTAAGCGTTCGTAACACCTTCGGATTTCTCAACGTGACAAAATTGGAGGAAACTACTAAGCAAAAGTTTTTGCAGGCCCATATTGTTTCCTGACCGAATGACAGTGATTTTCTTCATTGGCATCTTGACCAGATTAACTTCGGCGAGTCTGCGGCAAAACTCTGGCGAGGGGCTGCACAACCACTAGTTGGGCACACAGCAGGCGCCAGCAAAATCAGGTGTGCATGTTGTGACTGCATCCATCCAATAGGAATTCTCGTCATGTTCGTGCAGGCCGCAGAAGGACGCCCTCATAGTACCTGCGTGCGCCCTCCCCTCCAGCCTGATTGTTGTCGATTTTCAGGTCTTTTCTGGTTGAAGCATGAGAAATTTGACAACGAATGCAAACTTGACAACCAATACTTGTGCTCCAACAAAGAGAAAGCAATATATAGCAAAGCAGCCCGAGCCTTTGCGTGGATGTCGCCAGTTGGGGAAGAAGGCGTGAATGTAGCTATTGTGCAAAGTACGTTCAGTCTCTCTTACGCAAGGAATCCACGGCAGACGAATTCCTACCACTTTACTAAGCCTGCAAAAACCAATCTGCTACGTAGAAAGAGAAACTATTACTCCAAACACTCTATCTGTCCATATTCGAGGGATTCCAGGCTCACCCGTTGTTTTCTCGGATTTGGACCATACAGGAAGCCGTAGTTGCAACAGGGCCCCTGTGTTTCTGTTTGAAGAAGATACTGACAATGAATATAACTTGATCACTCTCGAAAGATGTCTTTACGCGGTGGAGCATCTTCCACCATCTGCGACCGGGGCAATATCCAGACTTTGTGCACTGAGGCAATGGGTCTTCTGAGAGTTATCAGTGGGGCTTCGCAATAACTCATGGTTGCTAATTTCAATTTGGCTTTTTAACCTTCCTTTTGGAGCCACATCCGATTGGCCAAGACCAAAGGGTCCTCCCCGGCGCAACGCCAAGATAAAAAAGGGACGAACCAACATCATAAACATCATAGAATACAAGGGAGATAGAGGGGCAACTCCCAACAGCACCAGCCTCCTAATTTACCCCGCAAGCCATTAAGCACGTTGTGATCTATGCGACTCTTAAGGTGGCTCTGCAGTTGCCATATCAGTCGGAAAAAGGCGCTGTCTTAAGAAGATGGCATACGTCGGGGAAAATAAGGCGCCATTGACACTCAGGTGTACAGAAAAACGGTGGAGAGCAGCGAAAGATCTTTGATTTGAAGTAATTACCAAGACATCAAACCCGAGCGACAACTCCACCATCAAGAAGCTCTACCAAATTTTACATAGAGCAAAAGTAGAAATGAGAATTGAAGAGATCCAAAGCACACCATTGACCTCCTTGAAATTTGCGGAATTACGCGGAGCGTTACAGGCCAGCGGCGCCAGTTTACATGTCCCGTTTGGACAACCGGCAAGCTCGAGCATAGCTGTCCGTACGTGATTCTCAAAATCCATTTCATCCAATTTAAGACCGCAAGGGTTTGGCTCGCGCTGAGGAGCCATATTCATGCATCGTTCTGCTACTGGATATTGTGGGAGACCAGGAAAATCTTTGACGTTTTTAAGACCAGTAAACTCGAAATTCCCCACAGGTAGCGGACATGTCTTTGTCATGTTCGAGAAATCAGGAAGCTGAGACGATTCTTTGTCAAGGTAGAAAAATATACGTCCCCAGCTGTACACAGTTTTTAACTTCATAGTGCTGTTTGTAGGACAGGCGTAGTTCAGAATTGTTTCGTAGGTCAGGCTGAAGACTCGCTCTGTCCCATTGACTATTCTGCTAAATGGGGTCCCAAGAAGTAGATAGACGCCGTCATCTGGGCGGCGAGCAGGCTTCGGATATTTGAAAGGTTCGATGGTATCCCAAACCCCAGAGTCAAAATATCGGCCCCTTAATATAACATCTTCCCTGGTCTCGTGTCCGTTGATCGACCACCGAACGGAGAATGGCGCAACTTCGTCATCTCCTTGCCAAAGCTGCGAAGCGTTTCGTATGGCAAAGATGATAGGAAACGGCCAGATCTTTTTGTAGGTTTGGTTGGCCACGGGGAAAACAAGGTCAACCTCGATATCTGCTGGTGTGGCGGCACCAAAAGGTAAGAGATGAAGCAATAACAACAGTAGTTGAAAATGCTGCCGAGGGCGTAAGTCAGCCATGGCTTTCAGCTCGACCTGCAGGAAGTTGTTGCTAGATGAAAAGTGGAATGCAAAGGCAAGTTGGACATCACCAGCCAACGGCTATCCGTCAAGTAATTATATTCATCTGCGAGCGTGCGGCAACGCAGAAAGCTCGCTTGCCAACCCGGAACGAGGCTAGCTGCCACTGAAAGTCCCAACACGTTACGTCGTCCGGCAGGACAGCCAAGAGACTGTCGGCCCGAGACGGACCACGCTGTGAACAATTTAAACACACCATATGACCCTTGGCGAGTAAGTGACGGAAGGTCCAATCGACGGCTAACCCGCAACCCCAAAATCGTGCATGTAGACCCTGCGCTGGTCTGATGTTGTTTAATCCACTCATCGCTTACATCCCTGCCGACCGCAACATGCCGCGGAGAATGTATAACGTAATTACAGACGCTTCCAACGCTTCTAGGTGGAGGATGTCGGATTTGTTGGTGGTGACCCGCTAAAATCATCACATGTGGAAAACACCGGTCGAGGGTGTTTGTTACCCTGCGAATAGACGAGCAGAAGTCTAGATCCTCTCAGTTTTAGGCGTGTAGATGAACCTGTTATCACCTAAATGTGAGAACTAGGTCACCTGGTAAGTTGTAACTCTCGATGAGAATAGTTCCCCGGCCCCTTGCGCCGCTGACAATCATCTAAAAGGTAGGAGCCCTCCCTGCTTCGGCCTTGTTCTATTTGTCTACATAAGCCTTGTAAAGCTTACCTTTAGGTTTAACTACTACTAAAAACCTACTAGGTCTTACCATTGTCATTCATTCAACGCTCAAGCTAATCTAATCCTAGCCTTTCTTTCATATGATAGTAAAGAGTATCAACAGCCTTGGCGCCGTTATTGGCCTTTTCGTTGCCCTTGGAAACTATTAGTCTTTCTCCAACGTCGCGGCGGGAGCCTTACACCTAGCCTAATATATGATCCTAACACTGATCCTAACTGTACTTGGTGGTGGGACGCGGATGATGGCCTCTTACGCGATATCATGGCTGGGCGGACTGGGCTGACCATTACATACTTCACCAAACGGGCACGGCAAACCGAGAGAATTTACATCCATCACTTTTCACATAAGTATACATTCAAACCACAGATTAATACAACATACGTAGAATCCATTGATACAAACTTATGCCGACTGGAAGGATGGCCATTCGTGCTGCATTGAAATGGCTACATCACCTGTCCCTCCCAAAGTCGCACATACGCCTTTTAGTACCTTGACATAGCTGCTGTTAATTATTATATTACATACCATATTTCTCGTGAAGTCTTGGATTTACCTTCTTAAAGCTGCATTTTTTGGTATGAAATAGGTACCGCGCATTCGTGAAGCGTGCCAAAGTAGGACTAGGTACCCATCGTAATGGTGAACGAAGCCATTGAGAATCAAGGAACACGGGAGATAAAAAACAAGTCCGTGTACACTAAGGGTGATTAGAAATGGAGATTCATTACTGGCAACGCAAGTCATTATCCATAACACATTCTTATACTAACTTTCAAAATGACCGGTTAATTCTGAAGCAAGCGATAGGAGACAGACAGGCGGGATTTATAAGAAAGCAGTTGGTCGCTACTTATTGTCATCATGAGGAACCAAGCTACCCAGTAATTTAGCCAAAATACTTACTTAACTATCGCAGACATCTTTTGAAAAAGTTAGCAAATCTTTCCCTCCTATCGCGGAGCAGTAATGTGTAACTTCGTTCAGTCAGGCATACAAACCTGTCCAACACAGCCGACCAAGTTTTAAAGTTATACTTTACCTCAGTACACATTCAGAATCCTAGGTGACGTATTGACCCACTCCTTTGTTATTCATGCGCAACTCTAGATTTGAATCTAGAGGCCAAGAAACTACGTGCAAATACATCACAAACCCAGTGTGTAGCCAGGGTTTCTAGAAACAGCACTGTAAGTTCTTCAAAGAGCTATGGTAGTTAGGTTCGTCTGACAAACATGTACATGATAGTCTATAATCAGAAAGCTTCCTCGCATATGTAGTCTGTGACTCGAAAATGAGCGTTTTATTGCCAGCTTCCTACGTCCAATGCTCTACTACAACGCGTATTGACACGAATCCACGGTAAGCCGCCAGAAAGCACCTACGTAGACGCACAGACACAGTCATAGTCGCTGAAGTTATCCTTACTGGAACGCTAAGTTAGTCTAAGATATATATAGCTTAAGCAGCATAGAACTTACGGGATACAAACTGGATAGTTCGAACCGGAACACTGGACGAGCGATTAGTATCTGCGAACACTGTAGATTGTGAAAGGACATACCCTTTTGCCGCACCAATATGAACATCCATCCTGCTGTGCCACCGAACAACCCCCATTGAGCTTTACTGGTGAGTCAGTTTTTGAAATCCTCAAAAGTGATACGGGGTTTGGTTGTCACCTCTGCGCTGGATGGAATCCTACAATCGATCCAGGCCGAGGCGGTTCCATACAACAGTAGCAAGGTTGCCAGCTTCAGAGTAAGATGCATTGTAACGGACTGGAACGAGTGAGGTTGATTTGTCGAGTACGAGAGAGGCGCAGATGATCAGGAAGACAAGGCAAGTGAGGTGAGAAAGATATTGATAAATCTTAGGATATAGTAATGTATTTATATTCGACGATTCCTCTGCAACTAAAGATGTCCTCGTCCTGCCGGGCATTTCTAGCCTGATCATAATCCTTGTCTGGCGAACCCATCCTTCCCAGCACCCGATATTGTCTTCTCAAATCTTGATAAATTATTTTGGCCATGTTTTAGTGCTACTTTCACGTACAAATGAGCTCTTCTTTCTTTATCTTCCCGAAGTCCATTGTTCGACAGATTATGTCCGCGTGTTGCCTCCCCACTCTTCCAAAATCGGGCTCCGCGGAAGATGAACATGACACCAGTGTACTTTATTCATGAGTCATCTTCTTTACCCCTTGATCAGAAGGTTAGTGGGATTCCGAGACCCTCGCATCACGGAAAGCTTTGACAACTTGTGCGTGCGAGAATGGAGGCTAGTCTGCCACCAATCACACAACGTTAGCATAAGCTGCAGAGAAACAGAATATTCGCATCTCAAGGTTGGAGGAGACAGACACTTAAAGTAAAATATATTATATTGATTCACGCCGAGACGAACCCCCAGACACCGATAATTCACATGATTCGAGCCAATCTAAGAAGACGCTGTGAGCATCTCAACCGGGAACTCGGCAGCATCGGACATATCTCGTCCACTGCTTCCGACTTGAGTAGGCTAGTGGTGCTGAGTCAAGGTCATCAATAATGGGTCACTCAGCTTTTGGTTGTAAGGGCAAAGCGAGGATCAGCATGTCAAACCTCGTCGCTCGAGGAGTTCTTGTTTTATTCAAACAGCCTCCGAGTAAATGACTTTCCTTTGTGTGTCTGAGCACCTCCTCGTTGGTATTTCTCCTCGGTGATCCGGCTCACGCATTCCCACCTTGGTCTAATCCATGCATAAACTCGTTAGTAGACGACTAACAGTCTGAACTAAATGAGATGATTCTCAGCCAAAGCCAAAAAGTATGCTTTTAACGCTGCAAAGTAGACCCGACAAAAGCTCTGGCCAGTATTTAATTGCAAACACAGCCAAAGATATCCCGTCGGCTACGACATGGCAACAGGTCATTTAAAGACCCATGTTTCTCCAAATACTAAAGTGACAGCCAAAGTATCTATGTCTTGTTGGTTAGTCTTACGCAGGCCATGTATCTGTTGCCATACCGCAGCCGATGGGATACAAACCTAGCCACTTCATGCTTCTAGATCCTTGTCCCCTTGAGCCGTCGTGTTTATACATCCCTCACTGTCACGTGCGGAATCGGGAAGTCGGAAGTCGGGGGTCGGGATGGAGATCGGAGGCCATAAGAGAGGGGTAACCACTGCCAGGCCGGCAAGCCAACCAGCTATATAGAGGACGCTTCTTTCATCCCATGAGGGATTGAGAGGCCAAGAGATGAATGCAGTCACAATCACAACCCCTAATTTCTGACCTCTTCACTCTGTGCCACTCCAACCTCTGACACTCATCAGTCTCTACTTGAACTAAATGGGATGCGTATCAATCACAGCCGTTATCCCCTTCTCCTCAAGCCTCTTTAACTTGGCGGCAGCCTCTGCTCTCGTCTTGTTGATGGTATATATCTTGAAACAATGCACCGACGATGTAACACATGAAATTCCTAGTTCCAGCCGCTCATCAGCCTCGTCCCCTAGCAAAATCCCTCTAACATTCCCTAAGAGAACTCACTAAGCGGACCCGGTATAGTTCGGCCGATTGTTTATAGCATTATCTTAGATCCTTACGCAGACCTCAAGCTAGCCCTCCGTGTTGATATTGTCATAAATAGCGATGACAAGCACAATCTGCAGCTTCCCCCAAGTGATGCCTGCGACACCATCGGGCTATCATGCGAGTTCTCATATACTAGTTGACAGGAAAACTGCCGATTGGCGCAACCTAGAAACAGGTAACAACTTACAAAGAGACGATGCCGTTACGGTGAAGACACTTTCAGGGTAAGGCGGTCTGGTTCGGTGCCTGAGATCCTCCTAAAGCTTGCGATGAGCATAACAAACTAGATTCGCCAAAAGCTAGAAAGGTTAGGCTTCTTACTTAAAAAGAGAAATTATTGTCGCTAGCAATACAGATAGCGCTGGGGATATAGGATGGGTTGTAATTAGCGATGGGGTCAGTACCATCATTCATGGTGGTCAGGTGATTCTTCGCGAAATTGATCCCGTGAGAGGAGCTCCAGGCGTCTACGCCGGCAGCGAACATTTGGAAAAACCGATGTTTTTGCTATGAGAAACCGAGCTTCAGAGGTTTTAGCCTTGTTATAGAAATTGAGAGTCTCATTGATCTTGATGTTCGTTGTTGCATGCCAAATTGTCAACAAGTTTCGTAAAGACATTGTACCTGCGCGAGGTTAAATAGAGCTTTGTGGGAGATTTTCTTCGTTGCCGAAGCTGGTTACTTGGGTTTTAACATCGATAAATGCTAGTTAATAATAGGAGAGCATGTGTGATATAAGGTTGACCCTGCGCAAAAAGAAAAAAGAAAGCAAAGAAAGGAGCCGCGTCTACACCACCACCCCCTTCCATCCATCCATCCGTAGTGGCGGTACCAGTTTCTTTTTTTCTTCTTCCGTCCGGTCATGCAACTGCGCCCGCCGAAGAAATCATGACACTTGGATGAAGAAATCAAAGTTGACGGCATGTCATCGTTCATCGGAACTCTCCGATTGACACAGTCCAGACCAAAGGGCGTTCAGCTCATCAATGAAAATCATCCGTCATCATATCCCATGCATCAACACACAAAGTTTAAATCATCACCAGTTTCTCCACTGGTCTTATTGGGCTTGATTCGATATAATACAAATCGGCTCGCCGTCATCTGCTTCCCCTTGCTTTACTCCCTTGTCTCTTGCGTCTCCTTTGTATTTTTGCGCTCCTTTGCAAAAAAAAATATCAGCTTGCAAAGTTCAACACTCTCCCAACCTGGGCAGCCGAAAGCGGATTGCCCTTTTTCGGGCAAAAAAAGTTTAAAAAGGTAAAATAAAAACTCATTCGGCCGCCCAACTATGTTTCGTTTCTTTATATGCTTTGGGGTATCTGTTGGTACACAAAATAGAGCGACAAAGGAAAACCAGGTTTGTTTGCAGAAATATAAAATGAGCAGTTCTCGCAAGTTTTCCCCTTGCGGAAGGAGAAAATCAATGCCTCGCCGATGTCGTTCCTTTCGTATCTTCTTGAAAGGCCTGATTAAAGCAAGAGAAATGTATGGAAAAAGGAAAAACGCCGTGGTTCCGACTTATCCGTCTCCCGTGCCATGCAATGTTTATGTTGATTTTGAAAAAAGGAAAATGTTTTGGTCCATGAGTGGTGATGTTGTGCGATGCTGCCGCAACGTCCAGGCCGCGACGGGAGATCCGGTCTGCTGAAAAAAAAAAAAGTGTGTAGGAAATTTGTTTTTGGTTTTGGTATGGGTTCGCATTATCCGCCGTCCGCAGGTAACTCGATTCCACTATCGCGGTCCTGCAGCTCTTTGCTCCAATGCTGTGTAAGACTTTTCGGGGACTCCAAAGGACTGCTCGGTATTGATGTTTCGCCCTTGCGTTCCTTGTCGTCCACGTCATCTTCTCGTAGGTAGAGCGGCTGGAGAACCCGCGGGGGGAGCTCCACGTCGCTTGGTCGGACATTATACTCGAGGGCCTTCTTTCCCTCCTTGATAAGCTCCTCCGTCCAGTTCAAGCATTTCTTAATACTTTGGTTGATCTTCTGGCTGTCGACAAGCAGCTCTCTGTGTTTAGTGAGGTCGAGCTGCAGTCGTTTTTCGTCTCGTTTCCTACGCCGAGCGTCGCGGTCAGGATTCGACTTGGGGCTCGCCATGGCGCCCGAGTCTGCGTCGGATAATTCTGACGACTCGAACATGGAGTCGTCAAGGTCTTCCAACTCGTCCTCTACCTCCTCTTCGCTGAGATCCGAGAGATCCAGGCCCTCAATTCCAAGGCCACCGGTTGTAGAGTCGGAGGGCACACGGCTGGGTGCAGCAGAAGGCATTGACAAACGGCCGGATCGCGATAGCCTCTTGTATCTTCGGAGTTCTGCCGTCTGTTTCCTCAGTTGTCTTTCGAGAGACCTATTGATTGCCTCCAGGGAGGCGTTTGTAATTTCCAGATCCTGGACTTTGCGCTCCCGTCTCGCATTCACCACCATGTCGTTCAAGGGATCGCCGTGGGTTGACTTGGTCGGGCTGTGGAGCTCCTCCATATCCTTAGACTCATCATCCGACTCCTCCAAATCGTCCGCTGCTTGTAATATCGATGCTATCGTGATCGGCTGATTAGGGAAGAAACTGGGCATTGTCGGGGAAGGCATTTCGGAGGGAGTCGGTGACTGTGAGGCCATGAACCTAGACATGATCATAGCATCCGTAGGAGCCTCGGAGCCGACATGGCTGGCCACCTGCGAAACGGAATCCATGCTAATTTTGCGCTTGTGTGTTGAAGGTGCCAACGGCGGAGGACTCGTCACCTGGGACCGGGTCTGGCTGTTGCTCTTGACCAGCGGGACAGACGTCGGGGGTTTGTTGGGTGAAAGTGGCCGTTGTGCCATGGTGAAAGCACCTGCCGAGCCACCCGATGTCCTAGCGAGCTTTCTCGAATCTGAAGTAGTAGTTGACCCGGCTCCGGATGCCGCAGACGATGGCCGAAAGCCGGGCTGCAGGTTCGGGGCTCCATTCGCATAGAAGAACTTGCTCTGTTGGGGCTCGGGTGTCGGTGCGAGCGAAGGCGCCAAAGAGGGCGCCAGCATCGGCTTCACGCCGACACCTGGCGACGTGGGCCGACTATTCCTCCCAACTGCACTGCCATTGGCGTACATAAAGTTGGAACCTCTTTGCGGGGCGGCGACGACAGTCTTCGGCTGAGGAGCGGGTGCCGAGCTCTTTGCGTCGCTTGCATAAAAGAATTTAGATTCGGTTGCATCGTTGCGGCTGCCGACGTTGGATGCAGGGCTGAAGGTAACGACCTGGCGCCTTACGGGCTCGCCCTGAAATGTGGGCTGGTGGTGATGATCCCAATCGACATTTCGGTCAGGGTTGGGGGTGCCGTTGGGGGTGCTGTTATTGCTGTCGACACGGCTCTGACGACTGCCGGATCGTGGGGTGATGTTATTGCTCAAAAAGGGTGCGGGACTTGTCAGGTCGTCCTTGGCTCCGTTTCCGGCGTTGGAGTTTAATGTCGGGTGGTGATTGTTATTATTGGGATTATCGTTGCGACGGCGGCCCAAAGGGGTCACGACGGGGGGTTGCTTCGCAGCGACCTTTGGAGTGAGAGGGGTTCGATTCATTCCCTTGGCGGTGAGAGAGGGCATGCCCGGCTGGCGGGTTGTTGTGCTGCCCCCTTTGTCGTAAGGGGGCATTGTGTTGGGCGTGGATTCGGCGGACGAAGATGCGGATGGAGTAGGTGATGGGGTTGGCGACGGCTTCGCTCGCGCGGCGTTGGCAGGGCGAGAGGGGCTCAGGACATTTTGGTCTCTTGAGCGGAGAGGAGTACGAAGACTAGAGGACAGGGCGGGCGGCTGTCGTCGCGAAGAAGTGGTGGTGGAAGAGGCAGTAGAAGGGGTCGTTGTTGTGGTCGAGAATGGTGTTGGTGAGGAGGAAGTTGTGTTTGGGTTGGTAGCGGCGGGAGTATTGGTGGAGGAGGTGGAGGAGGATGTTTTGGTTGCACTCCGCCCAATGGTGGTGGTTGTAGCTGTGATGCGTCGGGGCCCTGTTGTGGTTGGTGGGCCAGTGGTAGTGGTTGTGGTGGTGGTGGTAAGAGGAGTAGCAGCACCAGAAGCAGCGGACGCAGCAGGAGTCGTCTTGGTGGGCGTGCTAGCGGGATTATTTGTGGTTCGGGCTCGAAGCTGGGCGACCGAGGGTTTGCGATTTACGGCGGAGGGACGCAAGGGCGTCGATAAGGGAGAAGAAGATGTTGGATGAGATGATGATGCCGTAGCGGGGTTGCGGGTGGCGGGCGAGAGTGACGATGGCCTGATGTTTCTATTTAATCGGGACGAGTCGGGCTTCTTTTGAAGGTGGTGTCGATGATGGTGGTGCTGGGGGGCTGGCGATGATGTTGGATCATTCGAATGTGCTACAGCGGCCGTCGAAAGATTATTGCAGCCGGACGGCGTGTTGTTGGCGGAGGTGAGCGACCGCATTATGGGCGCTGGGCCGCTGGAGTAAAACCAGCCAAGGGGGGGGAGGGACGCTAGGAAACTCCAGAAGCAAGTCAACAGCGTAGTGCAGGTGGCACAGGCGCAGGCGGTCTTGGTGTAGTAGGTGCAACAGGTGCAGAGGGAGCGTGCCAGGTACAAAGTAGCAGTCGCACTGGTGCAGGTGCAGGTACCGTGTACAGGCACTAACCGGAATGGAGCGCTGCTAACAGGGGATCTTCATACCGCCTCGGCTTCTTAGTGGCCAGCATGGCCGGGAAACCACATTAGACGAGCCTGGGTTTTCCCTGGCACGGCTCTGGAAATAAACCTGCAGAGAGATGAAGAACTCCCACTTTGTTCTGGGAAAGAGGGGGGTCCGACAGGGATGGAAGGCTGTCAACGAGCCCCAATTTACCAGTTACAGTGGATGGTTTAGAGGGCCTGCAATCCCGCTTGAGGTCGACGATGTCGGTTGTTCGTCAGGTACGAGTTCGGAGGGGGGTCGACGGTGAGACGAGGGAAAAAAGGCGGTGATGGCCAGCTAGGGTCGACCAGGAAAAAGGGTAAATGATAAAAAATAGGGGTCCGGATTAGGGGGGCGAATAGACAAATGCAGAGGCAGAGTCAAAGGCGGAAAAAAAAGGCGTTTTGTTGTCTCGTCGTGTCTCTCTCAAACGGGAGTTGACTCGACTCGAAACGTCCCCGATTGAAACATGAAAAGTGGTTGGGGAAAAAAATAAAAAATAAAAAGGGTACCGCGAAGAGACACGTCAGTATAGATTCCAAGAAAGGGAATCCGGTCAGGAAAAAAAAAAAGTATTGTGTGTGCGAGAATGAGTGACAGACGAGAGAGAAGAACGGTGTCGAGAGAGTATGGGGGGGAACAAACATGGGAAATGCGAAATGACATCGTCGCTCACAACAGCACAAAATTCCCATTGGGTCATCGCACGAGTCTATTTTCTTCGCGTCGATGCTCGTTGGATACCTTCATCTCGATTGACATTTGTTTATTCATGCGTCGGTTACTGCACAACCCACTTGCCTTGGAAGCCAATCCCAGATCTTCGTGACGTTTTGTGGTGTCCTATCACTTGTACAGAGATACCAAACATAGTACATAGTACACACACTGCTGGACGGGATGGATGGATAAATACAGGGAAGTGCTAAGTGCAGCAGGTGGTCCGGCAGCATTGTGCGGTGACATTTCATTCTTTCCTGTCAATCTTTACTTTTTTTTGTGCCGCTTCTTATTTCTTTTTATAATTTTTTATTTCACAACGGCCACTTTATTTTTTGTTTTGAGAGGGAACATCCCCCCAACTAGTGTTTTTATTTTTTCCCTCCCCCGTCGTCCCGGGGTCCTGGCTTGGTTGCCCGGCTCAGATGACTTAGCGCCTCGGTACGTACCTGCACCTCGGCCCCGAGTCCTGTCTGACAGCACAAAAACACGGGTCTGCGTAGCGCATCATTCCGCGGTCCGAACCCCGCCAGCCAGAGAACCCCGTGCACCCCTGTAGCTTAGGTGCCGCCCGTTAAGGGACCTGGTGTCAGCCCTGTCCACCCCTTCTCTCTCACCTCAGCTGACCACTCAGCGTCTTCGTGGAGGAATACAGTTAGCGAGGGGGGATAGCGAGCAAAAAAAAAATGCTGACAAAGCTTGCCGCCGCAGCGCAACATCTCCAAATCTCGACCACGACCCAAAGGAGACACACTACAGTCTCAGCTTCATAGTCATTTTTGCAGATTTTCAGACTTCGACGCATATCTCTTCCTCACTCCCTTTTCTCTCCCCTCGCCTTCCCGTCGCGGCCATTACGGCCCCTCCTCACGCGGCAAAAATGGGCTACATCGGCGTCTCCCTCATCATCGCATCCTTCGTCTGGGTCCTCGTTGCCCCTCCGCCATGGATGCACCCCTTCATGCCGCCCTTCCTCCTATCCTGGAGACACGCAAAGCCCCCGCCCGCCCTGCCGCCGCCCCCGACCACCCGATCAAAGTCTCCGCCGCGAGATAAGGCGGACGGTAATGCACCCGTGTCCTCGTCAAAGGACCAACGCGATGCAGCAGCAGCAGCAGCAGCCCCGCCGTCCATCAACTTCCCCGAGGAAGCCGACTCGTCGGTATCGGCACCGGCAAAGGCAAAGGCCTCCCTCGACAGCCTCGCCATGCCGCCTCCCCCAGTCATCCGCCGCCCGAACCCTACCCCCGCGCCAACGATAGCTGAGCCCGAGTCCGAGGAACAAACAACACCCAAAGCGAAGCCTTCCGCCCCGGCGCAGACAGTCCCCTCCTTCTCCCTCGACGCACCGTCAACGGGCCTCTCAACGGGCGCAAACTCCCTCCCGGGGCGAGGCAGCATGCCTCCTCCTCCTCCGGCGCCGAGCGCCGCAAACAACACGATGATGCCTCCCCCGGCACCCCGCGGCCCAGTGCCCCCTCGCCTCGCCGCCTTCCCGGCCATGAACTCCCCGCAGCGCGCGCGGCCAGTCCCCAACCGCGGCCCCGCCGCCTCGTCTTCCTCCTCGCTTGCGCCGCCTCCTACGCAAACCGTCAAACCCTCCAAGCCGACCCGCAAAGTCATCCTGACGCCGGGACACTCTCCCCTCGACTGGGCGCGCATATCCGGCCCCAACGCCGACCTGCGCAACCTTCCCCCCTCGACGCCGTACCTGAAAGTCACGCCGTCGATGCTGAAGAAGATGACGGGTCGCAAGGGCAAGGACGCCTGGATGGCGCTGGGGGGGAGGGTCTACAACATCACGCCGTACCTCCCATACCACCCTGCCGGCGAGCCCGAGCTGCTTCGCGGCGCCGGACGGGACGGCACAAAGCTGTTCGGAGAGGTGCACCCTTGGGTCAACTACGAGACGATGCTTTCGGCGTGTTTGGTCGGGTTGTTGGTAGACGAGGAAGAGGGCTCGAAGCCGAGCGCAATGGACGAGATGGATTAATCATGTCATGCACACACATGAAAGCATTGATTTTTTTTTTTTTTGAAGGAAGAAGATAGTCATCGAGGCAGCAAAGGTGTATATATTTTCAACAGGTTGGACCTGCATGCAAATACGGATAGAGAGATACCCCCCCTTGAATAATAGAAGAAGCAACGCTTACAGCGAATGCAGTCATACAGCGTCGTTAATCATCACCCGCAGTCCCGTCAGCGCCTCCGGCCAAACTTGAATTTAAGCTCATCGTCGCTGTCGTCACTATCCGCAACTTCGATGGCTTTCCTGGTGGCACGAGGCTTCTTCGCAGGTGGCTCTTTGGCAGGTGCCGGTGCCGCCCTCTTCCCCCGCGTCGTTCTCTGCGACTGGCTCTGGCTTGTAATCTGTGATTGCGTCGTTGCTGCGCGCGTATTCCTCGTCCGCTGCGCCGGAGTCGGTGCAGATTGGGGCTCGGGCTCAGTCTGCGGAATTCCTGACTCCTCATCACTGTCGTCGCTGAGAACAACTGGCCGCTGCCGGGGAGCCGATGGGGGTGGAGCAGCGGGCTCGCTATTGTTGGTCCCGCTCTTCTGACTCTCGTTGCCCTTCTTCTTGCGCTGACTGTCATCCTCGAGCCAGTAGTCATCGCCGATACCAAACTCCTTCTTCTTGACCTCCGTCAGGGATACGATCACTTTCTGCGGCGGGCGACCAGTAAGTTCGCCTCGCGGTCTAAAACGCTTGAAGTTCTTGCGACCGTTCCAGCGAGGATCCCACCTACCGTTTTCAGTGTCATGATCCTGGCTTCGGTTGGCTGACGGTTGGCGGAGTGGCATCTCTTCAACAATATGTAACCGACGGATTTGTTCAAGGTCAACGTCGGCGGGCAGGTTGGCGAGATCCTCCTTTTCGGCCAGCGCGCGGGCCTCCATCTCTTCCCGCCGTTGACGGGCGACCTCTAAAACGTCAATCTCCTTTTTCACCTTTTTGGGCTTTGCCGCAGGCTTTGGTTCAGCGGCTTTGGGAGGATCAGGTTCTTTTTGGTGCGGGACAGGGTCCTCTCCCGCTGCAATTCGCCGCCGCTTCGCCGCAGCCGCCGTCGGGATAATGTCATCCATGATGCTGTCTTCCTGAGCTGCAGGCCGCTTCCTCTGTGACCTTCTTGTCGTCGTGTCCTGTGATGACTCAACGATCCCATTCGCTGCTGGTACTTCCTGTGAAACGAATAGACCCTCCTCTGGTTCTATACTGACAGGGACACTTTCCGTCACAGCAGGTGTCATGTTATCCTCGTCGTCGTCATCGGCATCAAAACCTGCAAAACGCCTGGTTGCTGCTCTCCGCACGCGGGTGGTTCTAAATGAAGGGCCAGACGCTGCAACCTCCTGCGGTGTGTGTTGGGAAGTTGCCGGCTGGTCGACATCCATTGAATTAGAGTCGCTACTTGCCGGCGGTTGGGCCAAAGTGCTTGTAGGTCCTTGGGTGGGATCAACCTCAAGGGGCCGGCGCAAAATGCTCGCATCTTTAATGAGAATAGCTTCAAGGAACTCGTTTTGCTCGATGGGTCGGTGATCCAAGCGCAGCGAGACCTGGGTGAAGAAGTCGGCATACCAGTCCACTGCATCACCCTTGTTCGGGGTATAGCGCACAACAACCACGCCTCTTCCCTCACTGCCGTCTTCGAAAGATCCGAGCCCTTTTTCACCTGCCTCCGTCTTGACGTAAAGTATAAAATCGTCGACAGTAGTCGAGTTAGGGTCGACTTTCGTATACAACGCTTTGCCCTTGCCATTTGTGATTGGCGCAAGTAAGTTATCGAATTGTCCCTGGTCGTAGAAAACGAATGTGTATCCCTCGAAAATGTCCTGACGGCCCTCATCCGGTGCGTACGCAGATGCTGGACGTTCTACAGGTTCACCGCCGCGGGGAGGCAGATGTTTCAGCGGGTCGGGCCAACACCCATCGAAGTCTTCTTCAAGTGCGGACGTCTCTGTCGGATCTCCTGCGGCAGCTTCCACTATTGCATCGACATATGAATCGGTGACAATGTACTTTCCGTTGATAAGAGCCTGGAGTCCCTTTGATGTATTCCGTTTCTTTACTACAACATGTGTTGTATGCTGAATGCTGTGTTCGGCAGTCAACTTGATATCAAGCTGTTCGAGATCGGTGCGCAGTCGTGAGAAGGGGTTGGCTTGGAGTTCGCGGCTCGAGAAGCTGAAGGTCAACACCACGGGTTGCCATGTCAGACTAGCGGGCATCAGCAGTAGTCCAGTCTTCCACTACAATATGATCGGCGTACCGAAACAGGTCTGGACAGCCGCCCATCTTAATCTCGGCCGTAGGCTGAGTGAGCACATGCTTCTCGCCCTTGTATTTGTGTCCGTCCACAGTCGTGCCAGTCTTCGTATTTAAGTCTTCAATCGTCACTGTCGACCTGTTGGACAAATATTCCTACAGATCGAGTCAGAAGGCAGGCGCTTTGGAGGATCGGGTGGGAGCGCACGCTGTCACCGTTCGGAACCTTGTCGACCTGTATCGTCAAATGCTTGCGCGAAATGGTCTTGTGAGAGATGGCGAGTTGTCCGGCTGCATACGTTAGCAAGACAAGGCTCATGAGATCGTAAAAGGTCGCGCATACGCTCCGATGCTGTTCTGCCGAAGAGATACAGTTTTCCGGGTCGTAGCCATAGTCGACGACCTGCAAGTCAATCACGTCAGCTTATATCGCATGCGATAGTTGGCGGGCAGATTTGATCCCACCAGCGAGAACATTCGCGTCGTTTTCTAAGAGCCACATTGCGACGACGCCTATGATCCACGACGGGAGGTCTGCAGATCGTTGCGCAATGGGTGACCGCGGTGGCGCGGAGCGAGCGTTGGAGTGATGCGACTGAAGTGAGGTTGTGGAGAACAGCTGCAAAGGTCGTGTGCGCGTCCGTAGAATTGCGGGAAAGTGACGCCTAGTCACGTGGCCACTTTCCAGGCACCAACGTCCCAGTTCACGGTAGATCAGGACGGGGCTTGTACGTCTGTTCCCGATGAAATTGTGTGATTTGTTTTGTTTTTGTTTTTGGCAAGGAAGTTTCTGGCACAATTGATTTGGTTTTGCAATGTTACGAGAAGATCTCATTTGGCAACCTAGGGAAATCCGCCTTACATTTGAGACTCTCATCATTGGTCTCAACCATCCTCAACAATTTAGATAGAACGCTGCACTGACATCTATATATAGACTCTTCATTGCCTTCTTTTGGCCTTAATACTATGAGGAGCTCCTGTTGCCTCCGCCCCATCGCCGACAATGACACCTAGAATCCAGCAGTTGACCAAGAAAAACCCAACTGAGGACGCGAAGAGACCTGGGAAGAAAGTACTGTATCCCAGGAACTCAAGCTGGAAACCCTGCTGTAGCCATGCAGCTTGAAATATAACCCATGAAGCCAGAGCGACAATCCCCAGCTTCCCGTTCTTTAGGAAGGATGAGTTAGGCAAGTAGATGGGCAGGAAAACCATATACCAGAGGAAGTACTGGTTCAGTTAGTGGCAGTTCTTCGAGTGTTTGATGCATGCTCTACACTTACCTGGCTCGTGCAAACCTTGTTGAACGTCACAAAGGCGAATGTTTGCGCCATCATCGACGTTGCAAGGTCCTTCTTCGCCAGAACGAAAGGGATAAGGACGGTCGATAGCAGAATCTGGGGAAGAAACGCGAATGACTCGATTTTGATGGTGGATGCCGATGGAAAGGCCGAAGTCAGATACAAAAGGATGTTATATGGGCTGAAGTTATGCCGGTGGTCAATCCTAGTGACGTGGTGGAAGTAAGTGTGCACCAAGAACGGGGTGCCGTAGCTGGCTGTGGTTAGCGAGGTTAGAAGAGGTGGCTGGCGCGATGCTTACATCGAGAACATGGCAAGGTTAAGTCCCATGAAGGTTGACAGACTGACGACGGCCAGCTTTATCCTTTCAGGACTCAAGAAGCTGGCAACGGTCTGCGCCAAAGTCTTGTTACCAGCTGCCCCTTTACGTCCGAGTGCCTCATCGTCCATCCACCAAACGATTGCTGGAGCATAAATGAACGGGTAAATCTTGAAGTGGACTCCGAAACCGAGAATCAGACCAGCCAGGATTGTCTTCTTCTTCAAAACCGCCCAGAGAAGGGCCATGACCAGAACCCCAAGCAGCCCCTCAGAGCTACCGCGGGTGCTAATCGTAGCGACCATGGGGTTCAACAGCCAGATGCTAGCGAACTTCAACGCCCTCTCTTGATCCACACCACGACCCCTCAAGATCTGCACGATGAGCCATCCGGCCAACAAGTCTGCCACAGCAAAAACAACCTTTCCAAAAGAGAACCATCCCTCCCAGGCGGTAGGAATAAGCATCCACGCAAGCAGTGGGGTATAACGATAGGTCTCACGGTCGTAAGGTGAGCGCCCTCGTGCAGTAAAGCGAGCAGCGTCGGTGAAAACCAAGTAGTCGATATCGGTGTATTTCATTGCTGAGTTAGCGTCTTGCCAAAGCCCATAAAAGAGCATGCCGATACGGAGGAGTGCGGCGGCGCCGAAGAGCGGCACGGGCCGGAAGAGAGCGTTGAGGCCGGCCATGATCGGGATGAGAACCTTCCGGTTAGGCCCAAGATCCCTTATCCCTACAAAATTCAGAAAAGGCTTGATCCGCTTATTTCCATTGAATATCAAAGAATAAAATCTCTGACAGTTGAGCTCAAATCAGTCGTGTTCCTGAACTCAAGTTACTTCTTCCCAAGTCGGGAAATTTGAGTGACGTGGGCACAACGGCTAGCCCCTGGCGGTCGCATTTACCCACCCTCTTCTTTCTGGATCCACACCTGGGGTGTTTTAACCACTGACCCCACCAAAAATCTGACCCTGACCACACAGCAACATCACCAATTAACTTCATCGCGGGGCATTTCAACCACCCATCCCTAAGCTGTGTCAATACTCGCCCGTCGTTCCAAATATCTGACAACATGTCTAAACGCGATCGTGACGGCAACATGCGGCCTAACGAGCCCAAGCAGAAGCCGGCCGCTCCTGTGTCTCAATTCACACCCATGTTCCAAAAATTCCGCGACGAGCTGGACGAGCACCACGACCGGAGGGAGCGTGTCATTAAGGCATCAAGAGATGTGACTGCTTTGAGCAAGAAGATGTAAAATGGTTCTTCCCAATTAGTATTTGTGCCGGCTTTGCTAACAACAAAACAGCATCTTTACTTGCCAGAGGTGACATCCACCCCTATGAGCTTGCCTCCCAGAGCTTGGCCACTGACATGCAGCAGAGTTAACAAGCTGGGCGAGCTCCCTAATTTCGCTCAGAAGGAAATCACTACGCGAATGGGGGAAATCAAGAATCACCTTACCGCCATTGAGGGCGACATCCAAGGCATCAACCGCTATCGCTATGCCTACTCCCTCCGCTGCCTTGAAGAGCTAGTCGAAGCTCTGTCATTCAGCCACTACCTCCGTACCCAGACTCTAATCAGCTTGGATGAAACTTCAGCTGCAGTTCCCGCTAACGTTTCAATAACTGAAAATGACTATATGTACGGTCTTTTCGACTTGTTCGGCGAGATGATGCGCTTCGCCACCGTCACAACAGCCCAGACAGGTCAGCTGGCTGGCGCAGGCGGCCGCAACATCTTGATGGATATTCATGAGCTGAGCAGCTGCTTCGAGATCCTACCCGAAATCCCCACCAAGGACTTCAGGGGGAAGATGGAGGTTATGAGGCAGTCAGTGCGGAAGGTGGAGAAGCTGGGTTATGGACTCGCGATCCGGGGCACGGAACGGCCGAAGGGCTGGGTGCCTGACATGAAGGAGGACTTTGACCCTTCTTCATTGGAATGAGGTTTCAGTATTTGTGTTGGAAGGCTTTGCAGAACGGTTCATCGCAAATGATGAAGTAGGACTATGTTGCACGCAGAACCCAAACAGCAAGCGTCTATAGGACCGACTACTGTGAGATCCTACGCTGTCACAGCTCTAACGGAATACTGATTAATGCAAAGATCCCGCACACCGAAATGTACTGTCTAGGGGACAGTCGTGATTGATCTTGAAAGTTGGCAGCTAAATTCAAGAGGTTGCGCCATTCGTTAAAGAGAAGAGGTCAGCGTCTCTCAAGTGATGTGAATTTCGGTTATTGGCTAAATAAGCGTAAATGGACTTCGAGTTTTAGGCACTAGGTAGCCATAGCATTACGATGGAAAGCTGGCGAATTGCCTGTAAATTCTAAAGTTAAGCTGTTGGCAAAAGTGTTGCGATAGTTGGAATACGGAGTCGTGTGGCACTTCCAGCCACACGCCCGCCAGGCTGAGAGGCCCAAGCCTCCCAGACCCACGTGACAGGCCAAGGGGGAATATCCCCACCTTCTAGTCAACAACACCACTTTCAACATCATGAACCATCGATTAGAACCAATTTACTGTTATTTGTTATTGACGAACGGAATTCCGTTTCACCCCCTGTTTCACCCCCTGTGAAACCTACACTGATCAGTGGTAAACCTCACAGTTGCCATTAATTTGGTTAACTTCACAATTACCACTCTGCTACGGACAAACCGCAGATCAGCAAGGTCAACACCAGAAGAGACGACTTCTTGAACTGGATACCCAAGCCCAGGTAAAAGTAGGGATTTCGTGCTAACGAGAGAAGAAGCGAGAGTAACTGGGATCTACGGAAACCAGCAGAAGAAAGCTTCTTTTCCTCGAATCTACCAGCAATCCGATTATTCGAGTAACCTAGGGACTGCTACGCTCACCCTAGGCGGGATAAGGTTAATCGCAGCCAATTATCGCTGGCAAGAGCGTTCCATCACGCGTTTTCAATCACCAGAAGAAGAGACCTACCGAATCGACGGTCTTCCAACCTCTTCACGCCACAAGGGCGAAGATTCACGAATCCCACAAGGGACAACAACTTCCCCAACTACAACTATCCCCCACGCGCGGTGCCAATCACGAGGCGCCCGCTAGTTTCTCAATAAATCCCCAGACGAGGTGCCAACCGCGAGGCGCCTGCCACAAGAGACCTCCCTACCAGAAGAAGAACACGCCGAAAGGCGAGCGGAGACTACCGGCGGTAATCCGCCTATACAGCTATACGTATACGCCTCCGAGGCTGCGGCTTAGGAGAAACGCACGTGGTTGTGGGCGTCATAAGGCCAACTGTCCGCTAGATTCTAAACTTCCCAACAGTGAGGAGCGAAGCCCGAAGCGAGAAAGAGAGATTCACGAGAGAATCTACGGTAGAACTCTCTCCCTACCAATTCGAGACCTGTGTATACCCTCACACCCCTCGAGAACATCAGCGAGAACGGCGCCGACGGAAACAAACGACGAACCGACGAAAATCCCCGATTTCACGATTCTTTCCCCTTAGAATCGTAATATCCCGAATCGTCTTTTGACTCCCACTTCCAGGCCTGCATCTTGCACCAATCGCAGCTGACGCTGTTGAGGATTAGAATTCAAGATTCTAAACAGAAGTAATCCTTTTATACTGTCAGAATGGAGCGAAATTCACGAGAAGGATCGCCCGCGAGCGGCGTCACTGCCAAAAGCCAATCAACAGTCCCCATCCCACAGAGAATCGAAAGTATGATCGATCCAGCAGTATGGGGCAACTGGGCAATCGACCTTACAAACGCTAGCCCACAGCAACTGGGTTCCTATATGGGTTTCCTACTTGAGACCTATGAGAAGAGGAATCTCACGGGCCTCGAGCTATGGAACGAAGTTTCTCCCGATTTCGCCGACTGGTCAGAAGAAGACTTCCAGAACGTACCTCCCCCAATCCTACGATTCTTCAGAGACCATTTAATCGGTAACGGCGTCTACGTCGAAATGGATGGCAAGAAAATCTCGAAAAACGTGGCATTAGCCCTCAAAAAGGAAGAATTCCACTACTGGTCACCCCAAGAACTCGAACAAGGCGTCAAGAGATATCGCAACCTGAAGGCTCTGATAAAAGACCCCGAATTCCACGAAGAGATCACGAGACCGGCAACAGTAGCCAACAGCACAGGAGGAAGAGTCGAACCAACCCTACAGCCACCTCCTCCACAAGAACAACAACAGTGGCAACTACCGTACCGACCGCCACATCCCACGGTCTCTCCGTTAACAGACTTCCAACCATACGAGTCAACAGACCGTATCGGAAAGCAATTAACAGAATTCGCGAAACTATACCCCGACGATATGAAATACAGCGGCGATATGTACGATGTACGCGAAAAGAAGGGCTGGACCGGACCGTTTACTTTAGCAGCCATAAACGGCGAAACCTGTACTGTCGATACGCCACGTGGTCCGAAGACCTTCCGGTCTACCGTAGTCAAACCATACTACGAAGATCCCGATCAACCACCTAATTCCATCGCCGCGCCAGAAGAAGAAGAACCCGAAGCTGAGATACCGCAGCAGGAAGTAGTACGCGACGAAATTATCGTCGCCGGCGGAGGCAGTGAACCGGACGAACCGCAAGAGGCACCGGAGCCACCGAGAAGACGCCCGGGCAGACCCCGGAAGAGACCACTGCCAATCGCCCACTTCACAGAGGAATTCAACGATGACCCGGATTATCAACAAATATTCCTATCGATTAAGGAGCAAGCAGACGAAGAATTGGCAATCAAACTACGACGAGAAGGTGTTATTACTACACCAGGCGAACCGTTCGAACAGTCAACTAAACAAGAGATCAACAGCCTCATCGCTAGAGGAGTGTTCAAATTCACCCAGTTCAATAAGAGAAGGCACCAGAACGTACGAATCTTCCGATCTCGTATCGTCAACGAAGTCAAGGGTAAAACAACCGAACCCTACGAGAAATCGAGACTTGTAATACAGGGTTACGCCGACGATGGCAAGAAGGCTATATTGACCCAATCGCCAACGATTCAGCGGGCGAGTCAACGGCTAATTCTGTCAATTACCCCGTCACTCCTACGAGAAGGGAAACAACTATGGCTTCGAGATATCACACAAGCCTACGTTCAATCCTCCACAAGGCTCAATCGTACTATTCTCGCCTACCCACCGAAGCAAATTCAAGACCAGTACCCAAAAGGGACCATTATGGAGGTTGTGAAGCCTCTGTACGGAATCGCAGAAGCTGGAACCCACTGGTGGGCAACGTATCACAAGCATCACAGAGAGAATCTCCAGATGGTTACTTCTTCGTACGATCCATGCCTATTGATCTCATCTACCGAAAATCCACACTTTGGCTGTATCGGCATGCAAACCGACGATACCCTCGGTTTGTCAGACAAGGCGTTCTCACAATTAGAAGACGAACAGTTAGAAAAAGCGGCTTTTACGGCAAAAGCGAAGAATATCCTCACAATTGACGAACCCCTCCAATTCAACGGAGGGATAATCGCGCTGTCAACCGACAATTCGATCAATTTGAGGCAAAAGGGACAAGCCAAGAAGTTACGATGTATTGAGACTACTAAACCCAACCCAAAACAGCAATATGTCGAACAACGCGCCAGAGGGGCGTACATCGCGTCAATTTGCCAACCCGAGGCCTGTTTCGATTTATCCACTGCTGCCCAACACCAAGACCCCTCGCCAGAAGCGATAAAAGCACTGAATCAACGGATTCGATGGCAAATAGAATCGCCTAACCGAGGAATAACGTTTATCCCACTCGACCTTACAACAGCCAAGCTATTCGTTTTCGTTGACGGGTCGTTCGCTAATAACCACGACCTCTCCTCCCAATTAGGGTTTCTGATCATCCTAGCCAACGACACTTCCTCTGACAGCAACAACGGAGAATTCACGATTCACGGTAACCTCGTTCATTACAGCTCTACGAAGAGTAAACGAGTCACCCGCAGCGTATTAGCGTCAGAGATCTACGGGATGGTCGCTGGCGTCGATATGGCCTACGCCCTCGCCACAACCCTGGCGACAATCACTGACCACCTCAACCTACCAACGATTCAGACAGTTGTCTGTACCGATTCTTATTCGCTGTACGAGTGTCTCGTGAAGCTGGGCACTACCAAAGAAAAGCGACTCATGATCGATATCATGGCGTTGAGACAATCGTACGAAAGACGAGAACTACAAGAAATTCGTTGGATTAACGGCGAAGACAACCCTGCTGATGCCCTCACGAAGAGCAAACCAAATCGAGCCCTCGAGAGATTCGTTGATAGCAACACGATAACGATACGTATGGAGGGATGGGTAACAAGACCGTAACTACGGGAGAAAGTAGGGATAGGAGGCCGAATTGACGAGGAGACGGAACTGTATAGGGACAACGTATTCCAACCGCTTCAACACCATAAAAAGAGAGTTTCCAGTGTTGCGATAGTTGGAATACGGAGTCGTGTGGCACTTCCAGCCACACGCCCGCCAGGCTGAGAGGCCCAAGCCTCCCAGACCCACGTGACAGGCCAAGGGGGAATATCCCCACCTTCTAGTCAACAACACCACTTTCAACATCATGAACCATCGATTAGAACCAATTTACTGTTATTTGTTATTGACGAACGGAATTCCGTTTCACCCCCTGTTTCACCCCCTGTGAAACCTACAAAAAGCTTACATCGAATATAGCTTTCTGTGTGGCGTGTTTTGATAGTCGTAGGTGAGAAAGGGCTATAGTTATTTGTCTTAATAAAATGGCCTTTAAAATCCTCTTTTCTGGATGTTTATGTTGAGGATGCGTTGTCCAAGATAGCTATCAAGAAGTTTGACCACGGTAGAAATGAAGCTGTTTATAGGTCTTAGTCAGACCAACTGTCTGCGGATTAGTAGTAGTGAGAATATCAAGTCCAGAGTATGGCTAAAGGAGCCTTAAAAACTTTTATGATTCGATGATCAAGATTGAATACAGCCCAAGCAGTCCGCCACTGCCAATCAAGCAAGAGAAGTAGGCTATGGCTGAGCCCCCCTGTCTGACATGCATGCCAGCAAGCTCTACCTATGATTATCACGACGAAACATTGTCAGCTAGGCGGATCAAAATTATGTTTTCAAATTGCTTTGTGAATAACGCTCTTTTACGTCGACTTTTATTGAGGTCGGTGTGTAGTTGATGCTTCTTTGAAGCCCGCCGAAGTTAAGTGGGGTTTCCGCCTTTTCGGTCCTGCATTATCGGCAACGGCCCGAGCGGCCCTAGTCCACTGACCGGTACTCATGTGGTACAGGTACAACACAGCAGGCTACTCGGCTACAAACCGTTAGGATATCAGCAATAGTCGGCTTAGCCGGCCAAGCTTCCTTTCGCCTGGCTGACCATGAAGTGGTAGGTGCCTGGCGCTTCAGCGTGTCGCTAACGACAGAGCGGCTGAACGATGGGGTGATCGCTGACACCCAATCTCTAAAAGGTGGTAAGCTCACCACCTCTTAAAGATGATTTAACTCGCTTTTTCATTTCAGTAAAGAATCATAATTTCAGTCTCAAATGAAAGCAACCAGGAGCACGGTCTGTATCTCCCGGGGATATTTTGAATCTAGTCCAGGGCGCCGTCTAACTTGAACGCCAAAAGCGTGGGGAAGTCCGGGGTTCCGATACTAGCGCCCATTTAGAGACGGTATTTTGGCCACGATGTTCGCCCAGATCTACAACTTCTTCCTACGAGACCGAGTCGCAGCAGAAATCGAACGAACGCTCGTTCAACTGAATATTTCTCCACTCATGGCTCCGGAATCTCAGCAAGCCCCAGCAGGGCCCACTGGTCTTCCACCTCGCAAGGGTACACAGAATCCCCTTGGCGTCTACTTAGCAGTTTACTGACCGGCCTCAGTCGATACATTCACCGGTGATGTTATTCATCATGATACTTACCCGGGAATTGATCCCGTGACAGCATCAGATTGCACTGGTAAAGCGGTTCTGATCACGGGTGCCAGCAAGGGGCTCGGCAGAGCGATCGCAATTGGGTACGCCGAGGCTGGCGCGTCACAGATCGCTGTCGCTGCTAGGTCTGACGTCTCATCTACCGTTTGTGCCGTGAGGGATGCTGCGAAAAAGGCGGGACGTAAGGAGCCAGCAGTATTTGCATTAGAAATTGACGTCAGCGACACGGCAAGCGTAAAAACAGCCGCGCAGAAGTTAGAAGCAGAATGGGGACGACTCGACATTTTGGTCAACAACGCCGGGTATATGGCGCCCTTCAAGCTATTGCTAGAAACAGATGATGACGAGTACATGAAGGCTTGGGATGTGAACTACTGGGGAACTTACCGAGTCACGAAAGCGTTCCTGCCCTTGTTGCTCAAGGGAGGGGACAAGACGATTGTCAACATGTCTTCCGTCGCGGCACATTTCATGGGAGCCGGGGGCGGAGCATACCATGTCTCCAAGTTTGCTTTGATTCGATTCACAGAGTTCGTACAAGATGAGTATGGTGATCAGGTGAGGATACCCCTTGAAAATCAAGATGGACGAATCGATGTTAATCTCAAGTCTCATAGGGTGTTTTGGCATTCTCAATCCATCCGGGAGGAATACCAACTGAACTATCCTCCAACCTACCCGAGAAACTACAATGTGAGAAGAAATTTTCATTACGAGCTGTAAACAGTTATGACTGACTCGAAAACAGTTCGAATGACCGATACTCCTGAGCTAGCTGCCCACTCTATCCCTTTCCTTACCAGCCAGAAACGTGAATGGCTTGGCGGGCGGTGGCTGAGTTGCATGTGGGACATGCCTAAGCTAATTAGCATGGAGAAGGAGGTTGTTGACGGGAACTTACTCAAATTCAAGTGTACAGGCTTGTAGACCATAAATCCACCGGGGCAGTGGAGGCAGAAGGTGGACTTGGCGTCATCGAACACATAAGCTAGCCTATGGTAGACCGTTGCTTACGTTGTAAAGATGTGTTATCATTTGTATTGTTAGATTGATCATACTCCTATTTATCAAAATACACAATTTAACGCACTCCAATCCCGTAGCGTAGGAATTCGGAGTAACAGACCTCCCGTATGCTAATAGAAGTACACCACATGTACCACCATCCGTTTGCTTGACATTGCTGCTGTAACAAGGTTACCTTATACAATGCCAGTTTCAAGGTAAAAGTCCTGTTAATTGAAGTTCTTATAATCAGTAGGATCAGCTACTACGTTCAAAATCCAACTCTTACTCATACACGTGATGTGGGGCTCGGATTAACATGACTGATGTTGTCTTTACAGGTGGAATTCGGGTTTCGAATGACTCAATACGTTAGAGGTCTAGCATCCATTAAGACGATCGTGGGGGCAAACCTTTCGCGCTTCGGGCTTTCGCGCCCCTGTCTGAGCGAGCTGTACAACAAGCTTTCCAGGCAATGGTGGGCCACAGTTTGGCCAATGATGAATTTCGGTTTTGCAATATCTTCCACTAGCCAAGTAAAGTTCGGCTCTATTTCGACTTACATATCGCGAGGATTACAGTTGTGACGTAGGGCTGGAAGGCTAGAGTACTGCATGATTTGCACAGGAGCAATATAAATGTTGCATAGCAATGGGCCACTTGCAAACAGCAGAAATTTCAAATTTTAATATTGGTCCATTTCATGCTGCTTTGTACTCTCAAACGCTCATTTCGAGAACAAAACCGTTTTCTGATACTTTCCCGACTACCTTACAACATGGCGACTTCATCTAGAATCAAGATATCTCCCGAAAATACCGGATTATGGAACATAAGGCAGAGCGAAGAAGCCGCCGTAAAGGCAGGCGAGCTTTTGGAAAAAGACTTGAAGGTAGGTTCGCCGAGACCTGAAGAGAAATTGCTGCAAGTTTTGACGCTGACCATCGAAAGAGCCACCACGTCTTTTTGAACGATGTTGGGTTCCATGACCATGTAAGCTTTCAGGTGCCCCGTACAACCCTCAAGCAATGCAAGTCAATAACACTTTGTGGTAACAGATGCCGCATCATATTCTAGCCCTTTACGGAACAGGTGCCAGCGTCGCTCATCTGCAAAAGGCCTTTGACCTGAGACACCCACTCCAACGTCCACCTGTACCTCAACATGGCGATGTTGTGTCGGATCTTGTTGCCCACAGAGACCACACTACTCCGTATCTTGGCAAGGAGGAGCACTATGCAGACTTTCTCGCATATTTCCAACGGGTCATTGACAAACAGGGCTACCAATCGGTTGTTAAGGAACATCTTTTCGCACGGGACACAGCCGCAGATGACCTTCTCGTCCGCTTGCATGCCGGTGTCCTTCACCCCCTCATTCAGCTCATGTACGGCCTTGAATGGGAACAGCCAGCCATTGTAGCCGAGGGCCTTGCCCAGACTTGCGTCCACAACATTGAGGGGCTGGATGAACTGCTGCTAGCAAGCGAACGTCAAGCGGCAACAGCAACACCGAGAACTATGAGATTTCCCAGCCTGCTGTCTATGTACGAGCATGTTAGAGCCGATCCCAAGCTATCCACGGCGGTTCGCGTGGGAGACGAAAACAAGATTGAGGACGGAATCCTGAAGAGGGCGAAGGGTCCCATGATTGACATTCTTAGCCAGATTCACGTTGATCCCGAGGATCTGGAGGAGAGAACTGCAGAAATGTTCCACACCATGGTTCTCGTTGCCTCGAGCGCCGCAATCCATCCCCCGCACCACGTCAAGTATGACTTCTTCCTGATGTGAGTAGTACCACCAGTGTCTTGAACGTTGACCCGAAGTTTGTGTTGACCATATCGACTGCACAATCAGGCATCACATCAACTCTTCATTGATGTATTTGACCATAAACGCCCAACCCTGGATTTCGCTCTCCGATAAAGTCCGCATGCTAGAATGGAAGATCAGAATGGACCTCCTCCAATATGCAGCCCGGGGGTGCCCTCCTATTTCTCTCGATGGAATCAAAACCTACGAGCCTAAAGCTCCGTCTGACGAGTCTGTGAGAGGTATGCAAGACGCTTGTTTTGTACCACCCTTTACCAGAAATCGCTCGCAAAGAAGACCTGGGCGCTAATATCGGCACACAGATATCGGTAAGAGACTAGAAGACTTCGGCGACGACGGACATGCCATCAAACAAGCTCGAGCGACCGCCATATGCCACGAATTGATGAAAACTTACAAGGATAAGCCATGGGCGGTCTTGAACGGAGATGAAATCTGGAAGAAGATTCAGCACATGGTTGTCGACGCCGTTGAGGGCCCTGGCGTTCTCTATGTGCGTTCAGCTGGGCTAGAGGAGGTTTGGAAGGTGAGTTAAACTGCTTATGTCCTCAAGCTAGATACACTGACAGTACAACACCAGGATGTTCCTCATCAATCGGCGCCCAAGAGAGCGCCAGAGGTGCTGAGGGCCTTGCAGACAGGGAGTGGCAGCTCGGAGGAGGCCTTGAAATCTTCATAGGTATGCTGTATCTGCAAAGTAGAGGGAGCTGAAGAACGGGCGATTGCCAAAAATAGAATGTTAGATGGTAGGGGGCAGTCAACTTCCACAAGTCTTTGATTAAGGCAGTTTGACGCACTGTAACCATTGATGCAAATAGTGACTTGCGTATTTGGGATAGGTAGGCATGGTAGAACCACCACGCGAGCCTGCGACTTTGGAGTCCTCGGTCGCTAAACCCTTGTTACCGAGACAAAATAAGTTATGGATGCTCACAGAAACCCGCTCATCGTCTAGAAAGTCAGCTTCCACCAGCACAAAAGAGTCCACCTGTGGGGATAACGTTTCCAAACTGCCAGTGGCTTCTCGGCCAAATAATTAACATTATTGCTACAGGTTCCAGTCTTAGTCTGTTGGTGATAACAAACTCATCGATCTCTCAACGATTTCCATATTTTTAATAATTGGTCGTTGGCTTCCTGGAGCCATAGTATCGCAATTGCTTCTATAAACAAGAATTTCATCTTCCAGTTCTTTACTACATGATCTCTACACACTCTTGTATGCCCGCATCTGCAACTTGCTGACAATCTGACCGGACAACTATCTGTTTGTAAAGTATAAGCTAGGTAGATCCTAATTTTATAAATAAGTTAGTTTTTTCCTCCTATGAGAAGCCTTACTTAACAGGCATCACCGCCTTAGTTCTCCATTAAATTAGATTTAACATCCCGTCTACTACCCAACTAGGTCAAAACAAAGAGTGGCAGACGAACCACCTTCTCAGCACGTCATTGGGAGTAGTTTGACTACAGGACAAAGCATCAGTTGGCCCTTGAAAGACTTTAAAACGTGTGCATGCTGACTTGCGGCACTGAAGAGGATAAAGCTATTCACCAAAAAGCCTGAGCGACTACACTACGAGCAACTAGTATAGTGCTGCTCTACAGTGCCTGCGTTGTTATAACTGCTATTGTTCTATGAAACTATAGCTTCTATAGCCTGCTACTATTTATAAGCGAACCAATGGTGGTACCTACAGTTCAATCATACCGTATTCACACCCTCGCTGGGTCCCCCTGTGAACCTTATACAGGCCCTATTGTATGGGGGGCTATCTACTGAGGACTTTCCGTATTTTGTAGGGTACTGCTCTTCGTCGCAAAGCCTACACTAGCTGTGCCATATCCTAGGATCTTTGGGATAATGAGATTCACTGATTTCAAGTACAGAAGACCGGCCCCTTAACGTAGAGCCCCCCTGGTCTGGCCAACTCCATCAAGTCTTTGTCAGAGAGGGCCATGAGTTGAAGTTTACCGAGTGATTCTCAATACTTTGCGCCTATCCTTCACAGGTGGAAGACTGTAACCTTAAACGAACGTACAAGATGTCAACAGCCATCATACCCTTTCTCACAATTCTGAATAATGGGAATGCAGCATGAGTCCTTACTGGCATCGAGCTGTCTACCAGGCCCGAAGTCATCAAGACAACCCTGCCACCTCCGAATACCAAAACAACGCCTTGCCCCTTCGCCCTCGGTGACTCATGTGTCCCCACCTCGCTGTATGTAATAAATCAGTACCTTCAATAGGAAGACGACCAAACTAACTCCAAAAGCCCTTGATATGTTGACATTCGAGTTTTACCATCTTGTAACCCCATGCCCATACCTTCAGCTTCCCCTTGCTCAAGCCCATCGGCAGCGTATAGTACACGACATTTCCACCATCCTCGCCCGTTGAAATAAACTTTGATCACCTTGCAGCGTCGTATCACTACAGTTGTGGGACAGTGCCAGACGCCGTAGCATAGATCAACGGCCTGGCCCAACTTAAGTGGCCTTGGCCGCGATAAGCACGATGGAAAGACCGCTTGATGACTCGCGTCTCTGGTTTTCAGGTTCACTTTGCTTGAGTTAACTCTATTAAACTTTTACATTCACATACGCCTCATCGGGGTTCGATCCCACAACATTGCAAGTCCACTAGCAACTCGAGTGACACGTATAAAACCCTATCATGATAACATCGGCCGAGCTCACTCATCACCCGTTTCCACCTCCTCATATTCATCCTTCTCATTCAAGAAAATACAAACACTACTCTTCATGTCTCCTCACCCAGTACCCACCATGAAGGACATGTGGCAGCTTCTAAAGAAGTACTTCGGAGACGGCTTCGTCCCGGGATCCGCGCCGTTTCGATACAACATACATCTCTGCGACTTGAAACCTCTCGCCAGGAAACAAAAAGGCGTCTACTACGGCGTTCACATAGACGAGGACGCGATGCCTCTATTCTCAGCCCTGGGAGATACGTGCGCTCCAGACTGCACCTGTTACGAGATCCAGGATATCGTGAGGCGTATCGACGGGTACATGGAAACGGCAACGGACCACCACCCCGACGATTACGAAATCACCAGCGGGAAGAACGATACCGATCTGGAGGAAATGAGTTTATACGTCATGCGCGACACTCTCAGTTGGTGGTTGCACTGGAGCGGCGGGCCGCTAAGGAAGGGAGAAGACTACTGGAAGCATCTGTACATCGCGTTCGTGACGGTGCCGGACGACTACCAGCTCCCTCCTCGGGACGTTCTCACTGGGAAATTCCGCTTCCTAGGGCATACGTGGGACGAGTGCCGGGCGGGACTGCTCAGCGAGGGCCTCCGGCCGGACCAGGTTGAGTTCTTGGAGATGTGCTACTGGCGAGAGCTGATCGTCCAGTACATCGAGAAGGTCGATCCGGGGTTGCGCCCGATGTTGGTCTCCCGGACAACTCTTATGACGTATTTCCGGGTCTTGACCGCCAACACGCTGGGCTGCAATGCCATCCTCATGGCTACGGAGGGCATGATGGAGGGCCCGCTGGAGCACGGCCCTCTGGAGATGGCGTCTATCGCGCAGTGCCTGAGCATGGACATGGCCAAGGAGGCGCTGGGTGTGCTGCAGGGGGAGAAGACGGAAGCCGTGGTTGGAGACAGGGTTCAGCTGAAGAGGGAGCTGCGCTGGGTTTACTCGAGGTGTGTGGATTACGTTGGGGCACGCGATGACTCTCATATCTTTAGACGCTATGCGACCGCCGGCTTGCACTACGTCCCCATGATGGACAGATATCTTGAGCGGACTCGCGGGAACAAACGGTTCCCCATTACGGAGAAGATGGGCCGCATACTTGCGGCTTACATTAAAGAACTGGGGGATTCTGAGAAAGCGAGCAAAGGGGATGAGGTTACCTTCGCTAGCATAGATGATCGCAAAGCAATGGCAGTTTAGATGGCTGTGAGCTTTGGACTTCTGGTCTCTGTTGAACACACATAAGAGAGCTTGGATATTACTTCCAAGCTCCAATGATACAGCTCATGACAGATCTTTGGGAAACATTTCGACTAAACCACGGTCGATAAATCAAATCAGGTTTCGCAAACTATATTCCGTAAAGCTGTTTCATTTCCATCATGAGATGTAAAGGCTGATCTATAGACAAGTACATATGGTTCTAGTAGGAGGCGAATCTGCCTCGCCAGCTTGCGGAGGTGACATGTCAGTAGATGATGGAGTAGATGAGATGGGACTAGATGGTTTCTCCCTTGCTTCCTAGATAGGGTCCTCATGACTTGAGTTTTACCCATCAATTTTACCCATCAATATGAATAATGTTGGGATTTTTAAATGCGTCGGTGTGGGATAAAAGTCCTCCAGATCGTGGGAAGGCATTCTTGGCCCAGAGAGGGATGCTGAGGTCCTCTGACGTCCGAAAGATCTCCTGCTGAAGGCGAACGAATGCTTGCGCATCTTCAGTGTGTATCAAAGGCATGTGGATATTGAACATAACCAGAGGGCAGTACGCAATGTCCTCAAGTCTACCATTTTGCAGAAATTCGTCAAGCTCGAGAGTAGTGACATTCAACAGTCCCATGATGAACTGCGGTGAGTACTTTGAAAAACTTGTGTGAGCTTGGGTTTAGGGGGAGTTTTTCACAAATGAGCAATCAGGCTCAGGTCGGCACCAGAAGCAACCGAGAGGTCAGGAGATAATGCACTGCCATGCGCCACGGCGACATTGCAGCGTTGCGTCGCCAGTACTATTGGCTGTTGTCCAAACAATGCAGTAAGCCGCCCCGAAGTCAGCCGTAGCTTGGCTGGAACGCAATGGAAGAGACACAAAATCCCTTCCGATAGATCCGTCCATAACTGGTGTTTGCGTCTTACAAAACCACCAAAGTAGAAATTCATTCAACATCACAGCATCGATATGGCATCTCTGCAACCATCAACTTGGCGCCTGCTCGGGCTCTCGGTGGCAGCCAGCTACACGGCACTCGGGGCCATAGACTGTCTCATTCCGCACCGGGCAGCAGAGGAATTCTTCGGTATCGAGCCATACGGATCGACTACTGCGGTGTCAATTTTGATGCCGCTCCTCGGGGCCCGGGATATTTCAATCGCCGCGGCTCTTTTCGCACTTGCGCGACAGCATAGGGGCCGGGAGATGGGGACTGTCATCCTAGCGGGGACGATTCTCTGTGTTGCGGACGTGGTGGTCCTTTGGCGAAGGAAGGGACCGCGACGGTGAGTACGCTCTTTGGTTGAGGCGAACAAGCAAGCTGACGTGATGACAGCGGCGGAGCAGTTGCGGCAGGAGTAACGATTTGGACGGCTATCGGCCTTGGATTGCTCTGGTCATGAGGCGAAGACGACCAGGGGAGATTAGGCGAGTGCCTCATGATCTCATCAGAGAGGACGACGTTCGCTGTTGTCTTTTACAGGGCCTGACAGCTAGATTGGAGCTGGTGTGGCATGACGTGGTGGAGGACAGAAGCTGGGCCAGGCCAAGTGTGGCTGGCGGCCCCCGTGCGCCAGACGTCATCCCTCGGCATAGTCACCAGGGGGGCGAGCGGGCCGAGAGCCATGGCAGCTTTGGCAGGTGTCTCACTATTATTCACGAGTGAGGATTGTTATCGGAATCGTTTAACTCGACGAAAGAAGAGCATTCTCAAGCTGTGTGTGTAGTACCTGGTACCAGTCTCCGCGGTGACGATGAGTTGGAGTGAGAAAGTGTCAGCTTTTGGATGCAACACCAAACGGCAGCTGCAACTGTTACTGCGCCTGCACTGGCAACGACAAAACAACAAACAGGCAAGAGCAAATGGGAGGGAGCTTTCCATAGCAGCTCGCCCAAAGAGGCAAGACAGCTTACTGGTACCTCCCCTGCTTCCTTAAGCAGCTGAGCTCTGCAGCTGCACACTATTGCACTTGCGATCCTCAGGCACCACCTGCCATCTTCCAATACTATGTTTGCAACTCCGGGAAGGCACTGACTGGGTGCGTGCTGGGCCATCCACCCTGTGTGGTGATGCAATAGGAGAGAGGGGCGCCTGTCGTCGTCGGTCCAGCACGGGTCCCCCAGGCAAGGGTCACGGGCGAGTCGATACCGCGACCGCCGCAGGGTTGCGGGGTAAAACAGGTGCTCAGCCAAACAGCTGCCACCATCCAGACCAGCCAACAGGCCACATTCTCGACCTCCCATTGATCTCATCCGTCCCATGTGCCTGGCCTGTTTATTCCCCCCTCCCAGTGTCCATTGCCATACCAACCGAACTGTGAGCCTGCTTTTTTGCCTGCACTTGCTGATAGTTCGGACTGTGGTCTGCTTGTATGTGTGTGTGGCTGCCCAAAGCGTTGATGAGCAGTGAGAGAGTTCGAGTACATAATGTCGCTGCCACCCATCCGGCCCCTCTTTCTCACCCATCTACACCATCTCCAGATTTGCACTTACACCTTACCTTACTGATTGATTGATACCCGGACGCTGAACCCAGCTTACGCCAATACATAGAACAGGGCGAAAAGATATTACAGTCTTGCACATCCTGATACTACCGACAACAACGTAAAAACAAGGCGAGACAACCGCACATTATCAAAGGATAGCCCTGATTTCTCGCCCCGTTCGACAGCAGATACGAACGAACCAGAGTTTAACCCCAGTCGAAGCGCAACATCAAACCCACATCATGGCCAGTGAGAACAACAACGCCTCGCAACAACCCACCGTTGACGAGACGCCCATCTCCCCCTCCCGTGGCGAGCGCAAGAATTCGCTCGAGGCGCACCTCCAGCACCGACCCAACCGTTCCGAGCTGGTCGAGAGTAAGTCGCTTCACCCAATCTCTTGATCGTTTTGCCTCCGTTGCCTCACTTGCACCCCCCCCCAAAGCTTCCCTGTTTTCCCCTTTTCGGTCCGCCCACCTCCACTTTGTCTTTCCTCCTCCAAGCAAACCACCGAGCCCCACCGCCCGCCTCACCCGCCGATCACAACCATCATTCAATCTGCCAAGGGGGCATCGTCGCATTTTGACCACTCTTGCCCATATGCGAGGGTGCTGCTTCATTGTTTACCGTTTCCGGATATAGCACAGAAAAGACTGACATATCCACCTTTTTCTTTACAGAAAACATCCTGCCCGCATCCAATGCCGCTCCCTCTTTGATCGCCCATCAGAAGGAGCTCGAGAAGCACATGCGCGCCGATTCGCTCAACGACAAGCTCTCCCACCGCCCTGAACCTGAGGAGCTCCTCCGCGAGGGTGTCTTGAAGGAGGATCCCCGTTCCGCCGAGAGCAAGTATGCCGAAGCAATTGAGGAGGAGTACGCCAAGCGCGAGGGTGGTGCTTAAACTGCCTCCACAAGAAGCCCGTCCACCAATTTCCCGGTGACGGGTTGCATATGCATGAGGCGAAAGCCGTGGGGAAGATCGCGTTGCTATGTGATGCAACGTCAAACAACTGGGAAACCGGACAGGTGTGGGAAATACGATGTAGGATCATCGACATTGCAGTTCCATGGTTAGGGACCACCAGGAAGGGATCTTTTCCTTGGACGAGATACGAATAGTAACAGAATAAAGACAAAAAAACAAGTCAACTTGACGCTGGAAATGGAACGCGGGGCACGCCGGTGTGTTTCCTTGCAAGGTAGCTAGCTGATCGACTAGTTTCTGCGAATCAAGAATAAAATAAAGATTTACCAAGAAAGAAAAATGTTAAAATAAATAAATCAGCAACCGTACTCTATCACGAACAATGACATGCGACGACACCCATCGCACCCATCAGCCTTATTCTGATTGATATTCATCAAGATGCGATGCACATTCCTCCCCAGTGACCCACTCGACCCCCCGTCTGTCCTTCAACCTCTTCATCTATTATTGGAAACTACATGCTGGTCTGGGCTTCAAACGTGGTGTACGGATTCTAGTAAACATGTGAACTGAAGCGTAGCAAGAATATGACCTCACAGGCACTTTAAGATGCGAAAAAAATAAAAATAAAAAAACAATTAACAGAGGTCAGCCAGGTCCGGTCCGGTCCCAGGCCCCCCTCCCCATTCGGCCGCCTGCCTGACTGCCCTTGCATCCAAAGTACCGTACTGCGGTCCGCCAGTTGACGTCCTGCAGTGCGGTGCGGTGCAGGGAGGGAACCCACATCTCTCCCCCTACTAGTAGTAGTGTACCAATCCCCAGACCATCCCCAGCGAATCACCACCCTTCCCAGAAGAAAAAGCTGCCCCCAACGTCGCAGCACCCGAGTCCTTGTTCCGAGTCCTTGGGGCGTAATTATAAACTGTGACTCAGGGGACCTCGATTTATTTAGGGCGAGCGGGCAGTGAAAATCCAAGGGTCCAAAAGGCAGACTGGGCTGGACTGGACGGGGCGCAAAAAGAAGTGCGCTGGCTGGGCTAACGGGCTGGAACAAGCTCACACGACAAGCAATTTTTGGGGGTGAAGGAAAAAGGGAAGAGAGACAAATACGTGTGTGTGCGTTGTCAGTCATTCACTAGGGCGCGCGCACCCACTCCATAATTAGAAACCAGTTGTGATGATGATGGCGTTGGGGGGGGAATAAAAAGGAAAGATAGAATTCTTGTTAAAGATGAAATTCTATAGAAAGGAATCCCAAGCCAGACGCACATACGCTGAAGAAAGGAAAAACAATGTGGGATGTTGGCGGCCAATGGTCGCTAACTGTTTCTCCCCCCCTCCAATTCTAAATCTAGTGTTCCCAAAGTGACCTTGCACCCTTAACCCCCCGGTCCCCAATATGCGTACTTCGTACACTGCACACAAATCTGCAGGTAATCAATTTCGTGCTTGCTCTTCCCCCCATGAGACTTTGTCGTCTCCCCCGGTTCACATTATTCCTAAAATCGTCCTCGTCTATCCCAAACCAAAAATTCTCCGAATATTCCCAATGTCCCGTGAATGATGATACAGTAAGTATGCCGTACAGATTTCGCTGCCCCGCGGCCGCTTTGCCAAGTCCCAGAAACGCCGAATGTATGCAGTACAAGTTGTTTTCGTTATGTTGATATCGGTCCAATACAAGAGTGATGATGGCGAGAGAATTACGTGTATTCTCTTCACTTGCGCACATAGGAGCCGCCGTAGTGTGGTGAGGGCGCGCCGTGCTCGTAGCCAGACTGCTTGCGGTTCACGACGGTGACTCTTGACGAGTTCTTCATGGTGGACATGTGCTGGTCGGCCCCGTAGACGCGGAGGGAGATTTCGTCAGAAGGCGACATGGACCGCGGTGTGTAAGAGGCGTTGGAGGAAGGGTATGAGCCGGACGATGCAGTGTAGCGGCTGCTGACGGAGGGAGCAGTCTGGTGGATGATGGGGTTTCCGTAAGAGGGCATTTTGAAAGTTGTCTGTTTGTTTTGTGTTATACGTTGGTGTTGGTGTTGGTGTTGGTGGTGGTTGATGTGTATATCAGACTGAGCTTTAAATACAGACTGGAAGACTTTTGATATAGCAGTTGAATGGTTATTGCGTTTGGTTGTTTGATGTACTACTAAGAGAGAGGAGGAGAAAGACTCGAGGAGGAGACGGATAATATATACTCGGGGACGTTTGCAAAACACAAAATCTTGGATGCAGCTATCAACTACACTAGTAATCGGGGTGCGTGGGCGTCAGCAGTCAAAGCCAGGGACCAGCTAGTCGTGGTGTACGGACACACACGAAGGGACCCATCTTGGGTTGCTTGCCTGGCCTGGAGAGGTACTCTACCCATCCATGCAAGACCAGCCCATTCCAAGTCAGGAGGAAACGGCCTTGAGGAAAGTCTCGTTGGCTTCGTGTGTGGGCTTAGCAACTCAAAGTGACGGTGGTCTGGGAGGTGGGAAACGGGCCCAGGTGTGAGCGGTGTGGGGCTGTGGGACGGGATGCCGCTTTGGTCCCTGGGGCTGACCATGAGGAATACTGTCGCCCTGCGACTCGAAGTCCTTGGGCAGCTTTGTCATATTGAGGGCCTTTGATGCAGGGTCCATTGGGCACGAGAAGTGCTAAGACGGTTAGCCTTTGTCTGTCAATGCCTTGGAGCTACCGAGGAAGCAGGGAAGTAGGTTGTTTGAGGTTGCAAATGCAGCAAGAAAGGTGGTGGTGCAGTGGGTCTCCCCGGCATGCGAAAGTCCTGGACATGGCCGTCTTCTACGGAGTACGCAGTAGGACATCGACAGGTGCTAGGCATCTGAATGAAATGCTGCTTGATTGATGACTGCGGTGGCAAATGACGAGGTTGATTGGGCAAAACCCATGGGCCTGGGCGACAACCGCAGGGCGGAATAGCCAGGGCGTGTGATTGATGGACTACCGCTGTCTCGCCCTATTACGCACAGTAGATCGAGACCCCCTCGGCTGTTTTCTTCTCGCTTCGCATTGCCATTAAGCGCGCCGTCGAGACTTTGTCTTCGTATACTGTCGTGTGGGAAGCAGAAGAAAATACACGCTTGTACCAATAAAAACCGGATTTCACATCTGCCTGGTGTTGATTACGAAGCAGATACGCGCGTTCTGCAGTCATTTGGTTTGGTGGCTGGCTTGGTTTTGGGGGCTGTTGATCGCTGTAAAATAGAAAAAAGGCATACCACAACCTCAGGCTTGTCTTTTGTTCCTGTCTGGCCTCAAAAAAGAGGGCTGCAATCTGGTTCGCATGGTTGGTTGTCCCAGACGCCGTGCAGCATCTTTGCGCAACTTGCGTGCCCTGAATGGCCACCCTGCCTGTTGTTGTACATGGTGGCTTCTAATGTCTCCTTGTGCCGGATTGGAGTCCGACTGTGGCATTCCACACGAAGCACATGCTCTTTCATTCGCTCGGTCACTCAGTCCTTCATTCATTCTTTTCTTTCCTGCCCAGGGTTGACCAGCATAGCCCCTGATGCACCAGCGACGTGGCTGCCCAACTCTCTCGCCTGATGGTCCTCGCTCGTCATTTAATCTTGCTTTTCTGCCCTCTCATCTTAGAGTTTCCACTCAAACGGGACCGTCCGTGGTAGATAAGCAATAACATAGTATCTGTGTTTCTGGAAGCAGACCCATCGGGCCCCAATGGGCCAAGTTGAGTTCGGATCATGTCTGATGATTCGACCATTGCTGGGGTTGACCCTGTCCGTGACCCAACCGGCCGCCATCCAGCCCATCCGATCGGGTCGCAGCGGGTGACAATGCATGCGGCATAGATCGCCAGGTAGTGCAATTTGTCTGCAGCGCAATAATGCGCACAACAGGATGGCAAGCTGCGCGAGTGCTCCATTTGCCGGGTGGACTGGTTCGCACCTCTTTCGTGCAGGTAGCTTGCGAGCAGGGCGGGCTGCATTATTCGATCTGCGATTGGAGACCGGGCAGCGGATGAACTGACAAAATCTGACCGGCAGCGAAACCAGCCCGTATGCATGAGGGAACTAATGCTGACACAACCCCAAGAGCAGACCCTAATAGTTTAAGCAACCGTCATTGGGAGCACATCCGCAAGCCCCGATTAGCCTGTCTTTCTGTCGTCTGTCATCTCCATGCAAGGCGGATAGGCAGGTACCCATTGCGTAGAAGACCCGTCGCCCGATCCGTGTCCCCTGTGCAGTAGTTGTTGACGAAGCTTTCGATACGACTGGAGGTTCAACGCGACTACTGGAAGCAACGTGATGGTTGTGGCTGGCATTGGCTGAGAGCTAGCGGCACAGGGGTCTTGCGAGGTCCATTAGTGTATCTTGACAAGTCTGAACTTGTTGAGTCATCTTGGTCGAAACAGCTTTTCAGTACTTTGCACCGCCCGTGTTGTCAATGTCTCGTGGCCACGAAGTTGAGGCTTGCAAAAAATGGCACAAAAATGTAGAAACGAGGCCTGTCATCCATTGAGGCAAGTGAGGCAGTGCGAGGAATGTGAGGTCCCAGGCGAGCAGGCAGCAAGTCAAGTGACTCGGGACCAAGCTAACAGATTATAGACATAGTGTAGTGTAGGGCGAGGGAAATCCTCACGTGAGGTGTTGAATTCTCCACTCGTCATCAATATCATCGAGATAATGGAAGGGATGGGAAAGTGCTTGTGTCCGTCGTGTTTTGACGTCATGGAGCCGTCAACTGGAGCTCAGTCCAGACAGGTGCTGATGATAAGCCACAACTGTCGTCTTATCGATAACGTCCGTCTTGAGTGTATCAGTAAACACGTCCATTTTTTACCACTACTGGTTGTTGTTTTTTTTTTTTCCAAATACTGTTAAAGAGTAGAATTTCACACATCAATAAGATAGCCTGTAAAGTACGGATATATAAAAGGACAAAAAGCGGAATAATATTCAGTGAGTATCGATCTGGGGCTTTTGAGGTCCACTGTGTCTTCTCACCCATTCATTTGACGTTATGGCTGAAAGGTGTACTAGTAAAGCTTGTAATGGATACTGGCATGCAGTAGCCCAGGGATATCGTTATATCTTTCTACAACGTGTACTATGTACTGCAATCAAGCTTCGAAATGCCAAAGGCTTTACAGCTTCTAACTGCAGTATAACATGCATACATTTAAATAAAAAAAATCAAATCCACTGAAACCCCTGGTTAACATCTATTAATGATATGCTTTTCGTTCCCACGCATGTATTGCGCTTCGTGATAGTCAACTGCATAGTTTCGGGTCATCTTGCGGGGTTCTGTACAATGCCCCTCTTTTTGGACACTACCGGCCAGACTGTAAGGGCGGGATCATGCCCCGGAAAAATGCAACTCGGAGCTGATTGACCAATCGGCGATTAGGTTATCGAAAGGAGGCGTGGCTTCAACCCACCTCCTGGTGGCAAGCGTGGCCTCTCATTGTAGCTGTCTTCCTTGTCGCTCGCCAACTGTTTCTCTCCCATTTGACGACTTGACCGTTCAATCTTCACCTCTCACCACCATCCCGCCTCACCACCATTTGTCCGCCCCATACTCCTCAATTCAATCATCATGCAGGGTCTCCTCCTCTCCATTGGCCTTCTGGCCTCCAGCGCCGTCAGCTTCGTTGCTGCCGCTGATCTCAAGATCGACGTTACCCTGCCCGTCGAGTGTGATCGCAAGACCAAGAACGGCGACAAGGTCGAGATGCACTACCGCGGCACCCTTCAGAACGGAGACAAGTTCGACGCCAGTAAGATCTTGTATCTATTATGCTTTCGCCAAACCCATTGCTGACACCTGTTACAAGGCTACGACCGGGGCACCCCTCTGAGCTTCAAGCTCGGTAGCGGTCAGGTCATCAAGGGGTAAGACACATTTACTCGAACAACATTCCATGGAGTATCATGACTGACAATACTCCAGATGGGACCAGGGTCTTCTGGACATGTGCATTGGCGAGAAGAGGTAATACGACAAACGCAAGGAAGCTCAACACCAATCACTACTAACGCCTCACAGAACCTTGACCATCCCCCCTGAGCTGGGTTACGGCAACCGCGGCATGGGCCCCATTCCCGCTGGCTCGACTCTCAGTAAGCACTGGATTTTGGTTTCCTAAAGAATCGTTGGCTAACAATTGCTCCGCGCAGTCTTCGAGACCGAGCTCGTCGGCATCCAGGGTGTCCCCAAGCCTGAGAAGATCATCACCAAGGCCAGCGAGGCTGCCGAATCCGCCACCGAGAAGGTTGCTGAGAAGGTTGCCAGCAAGGTCGCCGAGGCCGCTGAGGTCGTCAAGACCATCGTTGCCGACTCTGACGACGGCCAGGAGCACAACGAGCTCTAAACGATTGGATCGATATGGTTACAAGGCGGTAGATATGCATTCGGTAATATTAAAAAAGCGACTGCTTCAGTCTGAGTGCCTGCGTGGGCGAACGGGTCTGCACCATAGCATTGACCAGCGAATAAGGGTTATACGAGAAACATCTGACGTGCAATGAAGCTGTTATGATTTTAGGCAAAGCAACATAATGCCAATCAATTACTGAAAACATTTTCCCGAGCTATATTGTGCAACCAATGAAGCTAACTAGCGAAGTCTTTAAACCTCATATTATTGAGCAAAAAGTTAAATTAAAGTTCACATTTAATTCAAGGCAAGCTAGGCATTGTTTTATATGTTCATGTCATTAAATGGTCGTTCTAATTACGGTATAGAGAATTATAACACATATCCACACACACACAAACATTTCCGACAAATCGTACAATGATTATTTCCACCACGATAATGCCGTCAACTAGCATCTAAGTACGTGATAGGCCTAAGAGCCTCCCAGTCGATCATTAGGGTAATATGCGTATTGCTTAGCCAGCCTGGTACATGGCCAGAGCAGCAACGTGAGGGTTGATCTGCGTCAGGTTGAAAGGCGTGACGTAGATGTCAGCGTCGGTCAGGGCAAGGAACATGGTGGAGTTGATGGCGGGGTCGTACTCCCAAGTCGACACGTTGGGCTGGATGGTGTACGCGGTGCGGTTCTCCAGGTTGACGTCCTGAAGAGGAGAGTAGGTGACGTTCAGCTGAGAAACCCAGGCGGCGAACTTGGGCTCCTGGACGTTGGTCGAGGTGATGTAGCTGTTGTTAGGGCCGACGGCCTGGCCGGGAGCATCCCACTGCAAAAAGACCTGGCGACCAGGGTAAGACAGAGGGATGGTGCGGTTCTGGGAGATGGCGGCCTTGCAGTCCTGCGCGGGGTCCGTGGCGTTGACGCACGAGTCCTCGTCGCTGATTTCGCCCGTGGCAGCGGTGTTGGCCCAGCCGCCGGTGGTCTCGTTCCAGGCGCTGGAGCCGTTGATGCGGTAGGGGTTGGGCTGGTTCAGGACGTGCAGGGCGGGGAAGTTCTGCCAGATCAGACGGGTCTGGTTCCAGGGGCAGCTGGAGATGTAGGGGGCCAGCAGAGTCCAGGCCCAGCTCTGGGGGATGCCGACGGTGTGCCACTCAGGCATGGGGAACAAGCCCTCAAACTGGCGGAAGACCATCTGCTGGCGGGCCTCGACCGTGATGCTCTGCAGCAGGAGCTGGGCGGCGGGGCCGGAGTTGAGGTGGGGGAGGAAGCCGTACACGCCAGCCTCACCCCAGCGGGTCAGCTTCTGGTTGAAGTCGATGTACTCGCGGAGGTTGGAGACGGGGTAGTTGTAAGTGCACTGGCGAGGGGCCTCGGCGCCAAGCATGTTCGTGATGACAGTGGCGTGGCCGATTTCCTGGTCGGCCATGTGCTGCAGAAGGAAGCGGTCCTCAGCGTTGAGACCAAGCTCCTCAAAGTCCTCGACGGGGTAGGTGGCCAGACCCCAGTGGAAGAGGTCGAGCTCGATGTACTCCTGGTACAAGGCTAGAGCGAGCGACTGGTAGTCGAAGTCACTCTGGACACGGTAGACGGGGGCGGAGCCGTTGGTGCCGATACCGCCAGAGGGGGTGTACGGCGCGGGCTGGTCACCGTGGAGCTTGCCGTCGGCCGGGTAGTCGTAGGCATCGTCGGCCGGGGGCAGCGCGGGGATCGCGGAGGCGAGAACGCTGGTCGAGATGGCGCCGGTAGTGGTGGGCGAGGGGCCGGTGTAGGGGCCGTGCGAAGTCACGTTTGTGACGGGAACGGCGGAGGGTGTGAAAGCTGGCTCCGAGGTGACGGTGGTCTGGGCCTCGGAGAGGAAGGGCACAGCGCGAACGCCTGTGGCCAGGGCAAAGAGCCCGGCTTGCTGAAGGATGCTTCTAGGCGCCATGGTTCGAACTTTTGTGAATTCAGGTCCTTCTTGCGTTGGACTGCTCGAGATGCGCTGGAGAGCTAATTCTTTCTTTCCGGCTTGATGCAGGAACAGCGTCTGCTTCTTATACACAATCTGGCCTGCTTACATGGCCGAGGGAAGCCACTCTCTATCTGGCTGACTGACTGTATTACAGCATCATCACAGCATATATTCCCGATCTCGGTCCACACCCCCGGCTCCCGCGCAACTCCCGGGGTTTGCCATGGTAAGATGAGTTCATAGACTTGGAATGCATAGCTCATCGGAGAATTTCTCAGGCTTGCAGATTTACTGTTTGTTGGACGGTTTGCGCCAATGCGGCAACGACGACGCGTTTACACGTGGGCTACCGAGTCTTTGGGTGTAATTGTGCCGTCATCGCCCACAATGTTCAACGAGGTAGACTGGGGCGAACTGGGGGATGAATTTCCCGATGACCACGGAACATTTCTTCGGTACCACGCCAAAAAGCCCATGAAAAATTTCTGTTACCTGGAAATACGACTGCAAAATATTTTACAAATAAACAGCCTTACCATCAATCAGACGTCAGATGTACTTCACGGAGTTGACTCCGGGGTGGGACGGACATGTTCATGGGGGAGTCGGTGGAGAACATATGCCGGGCCGTGAATGGTCGGACACTGGTGACGATGACGCTTATATTGGATGAAAGAGGCTTTTTTGTTTCTCGACCAAAGCCAAGACTCAAGCACCCCCCGTCCACTCTTCCGTGATGTGGGAAAAACGGCACACGTAGATATTTTTTGAGATGAACTACGGGGCTTTTCGGTCTTGTCTAACCTTGCAGCGTTGGTTGCTCAATAGAGTAATTGATAGCTTCTAGCCCTTGCTGAGTCGACCGGCACCTAACTCCGGATGTTCAGCTCCGGAGCTCTGTCGAATGGAGCTTCTTTACCCCCAATTAGTCCATTAAGAGCGTGCTTGGACTTCGCCGCTCGCTCAACTGAGAGTATCAATGTGGGAAAAGATCTACTTTAACCCCATGTTATGTACACTATAGGTAAGATAGGTGAGATAATGTGGCCCAAAAATGGAGATCGAGATGCAGTAGTAAATATCTCAAATTCGATCAGCCTCATCTAAACCAACTAGCTCTGACTCTTACAGCGATCTAAAGCTCTAGTCTTTGTATACCAGATCTGATTATGCGGAGTCTCTTTGCTCTACACTTAGTCTCTCAACAGCTGCCGCCTCTCGGCTTGCGGCGCCGGTCCAATGCCCAACGGTGGTCTCTCTGTCTAGTCACCACCGGTGCATCATCACCTACACGTCACCTCACGTTCTGACCTCGGCTTTTCCACCCGCCCCCCAACGGCGGCACCCACTAATGCAACGGGTTCAGGTACCATCATCTCGACCAAGTGATTAGTTTCCGTCCAGCACCCACTTCTTTTTGTCGTAGCTCGCAGGCCACACGCCGTTCTTACCCGGCGCGATGATGCCGTTGGGATCAAGCGCGTTCTTGATGCTTTCATTCAACTTCATCTGCGCATTATCGTTCCAGTTGAATGCGTCGGCGACGGGGTCCATCAGCGCCGTGTGAGCGCGGAACTGTCCCCAGCCGTGCGCCGTCGTCTCCTTAATCAGCTCGTGTGCCAACTGTCGGATGCGAGTCACGTCTTCGGGTACGTCTAGGCGGTAGGGGATGCCGATGACATGATCTGGGATGTTTTGTTAGCGACTCATGATCCTGAGGTAGGTGTGTGGGTGTCTCGGAGGTAAGATGAGAAGAAACAGGGGGGGGGGGGGGGGCGGGAGTGTGACTTACGGAGTTCTCGCATGCCGACGGCGAAAGCGCCGAGGTAGTCAAAGCCGTACTTGGTGATCAGGTTCTTGGCAACGTCGTGTTGCTTCTTCGCATCCTCGCCTGAGACCTTGGAGATGGGCGCCCAAAGGAGTTGGCCGCCGTTGGGGAGCCAGCTGAAATGTTTTGTTAGCCAACGTTCTTATTCTTATAAATGGGGAGGGAACTCACTTTAGGCATCTCAACTCCTCTACGGTAGGAATGCCTTGCATCAGCAACTCACGAGCTCGCAGGGGGCTCTCTCTTGACCTGTCCTCTGGAAGGAAGAATCGGGAACCCGGGATTGCCAGGAACTCGTGCTTGATGACGCCCAGAAGGACATCACGGACGGGCTTCGGGCCATAGACGGCACCGATGAGCTGCCAGCGTCCCATGTCGAGCTTCTTTGCAATAGCATTGACTTCATCGTCTGATAGAGGGCCCTGCTTGTTGGTATACTTGGATTTAGGCCCGCAGTGCGCGGCGTTAAGAAGAGTGTGCCTGAGGAAAGGAACATTCTGAAGGACCATCTGGAGACGCAGCGGGCGGATAATGTCGACGGCCTTGGACAGATCTGAGTCGTTCTCAAAGGTGATCTCGTACGGCTGGTATCCTCCGGGGTTAGGCATCAGCCACATTCCGATCTTGGTCACGATACCAAGGTTGCTCTGGGAGAAGAGGCCATCGTTGTAAGGACCGTATCCCGTGTTGAACAGCTGCCAGGTCTCACAGGCAGGCTGCTCATCCGGCCGCAAGTTCGGGTCCGCATTGGGGTTTGGCACACCGCCCATACCCGTGCGTACCAGCTTTCCGTTCGGCAGCACGACTTCCATTCCGCAGTGCATGCCCCAGTGGTCGCCGTAAGGCGTCGCGCCAACGCCTCGCTCAACAGCGTTGCCCAGCACCGAACCTTGTCCGACAGGCACAGAAAGCCACAAATGCTCGCGCAAGTTGTGCTTCTCCAGGTACTCGTGGAGGTCACGGAAACTCACACCGGGTTCCAGCAGGACATATGCGCCCTCGACGTTGACCTCGAGAATGCGGTTCATGTGGTGGCCGAGATCCATGACAACGGAACCGGGGACGCGCGGAGAGGCACCGCCGTAGCCGAAGTTTCGGCCGAGGGAGATGGGCCATACGGGCATGATTAAATCATTGCACAGACCAACCAGGGCCTGAACATCCGGAACATGGCGAGGAGTGACGACGGCGGAGGCGACGAATTTGGTCTTCTCATAAAGGGGGAAGTGGTCGTGCGACTTGGGCTGGTTGAGATAGGAGTCGCCCTCGAGGGGCTTGTCTTTAGGAACGACGCGAACGTTTTCGGTTCCGCAGATTTCCTGAGCTCGGATGATGAACTCCTGGAACTTTTCCGGAGTGAAGTTTGGGGGAAGCGCAATGGGTTCTGGGATGGGTGCCATTGTGGCGGACTTTTGAGAGGGGAGACGGAAGGGATGGGTATATTTGACCGATAGTCTTTGGGTTGAATCGAATTCGTAAACCTTTGAATGAATTGAATTAATGTGTAAGTCGAGATTAAATGTCTATGTTGGCTGTCGTAAAAGAAAAAGAGCTCAAGGTCGGGAGCTTGAAGACCATTTAATATCTTCCTCGAAACGGAAGTTCGCATTGTTGTGGGACCCCGAAGAACATCGTCAACAAGGCAGACCACGATCTGGCGGCTCATTATGGCAAGTCGGCAATCTCATGCGGCTATTTCCTCGCCCGTGCCGGAAGCTATGACAAGGTCGTCTGTCCATACAAGTGAAATGTACATCGGCAAGCCATTCAGGGACAGCTGTTCGGGTCGGCCATCAACAACGCACTCAGTTTGCGAACTCGAACCCGACAGGGCGCAATTCGTCCGAAGTTGAGCTTGCAATAATGGGCTCTACGGAATTGCCGTGGAGTAAAAATGCCACGGTAGTAGTCAAGAGACCGACCACCTGTTCGACGTCGACAGCTGCCTAATACGAACATTGAGTTTGAGCCTCACTCATTCCGAGCATGGGAGGTTCAACATGTGGCTTTTGCGGAGGAGGTAGACGTGGCAGGACGCCGTCATCGCGGAACTGAAGTAATGGCGTAAACCGGCCACTCCCGGTTGGGCTGGGCTGAGTTATTCGGATTGGATGTATGTCACGAAACCCTCTTTGGCTTGACAAGACGGATGTTGCGGGGGCTGTTTTGGGTTAGGTCGAAGTCAGTCCCTAAAAGGGCATCGTCATGCGAATATAAGGCCATTATTTTATGAACAGCACACGGCGCGCGGGCTGCGGAAGCTGCGGACATTTAGGATGGGGGAATCTCGTCATGAAACGAGAGTTGACGAGGGCACGGACAGCCGTTCCCGCTGCAAGATGCTGCATGCCAGCTGCAATGTTGACAGTCGTCAACATCTTACCGTCACAGCGGGAGACACGACTGAAACGAAACAAGCTGAGCCGGCTGCTCATGTCCGTGGGGTAAAACTAACCTATCGGTTCTGTCGGCCGGCATTGTTCAAGTGTTTGCAACGCTGCCAACCCTCGCACTCGCAGTTTATGAACCCGTTTTCTGTGCACACATCATCTGATCTTGTCAGTTCTGGTTCTCAAACTACCAGTTAGCCAATGGAGTTGTCGCAATGCAAAGACACCCATCCTTGAAAACGTTGGCGGACGGGCAGACAAAAAACGAGATTTAGACTGTTGCGGAGGAGCAGTTGGAGAAGTTTCGCATCGGCAGTCCGTAGACGGCACCAAGTTGAATGTCTGAGGTTTCTAGAACGTTTCCTAGTTGGGGTTTACTATGGTACCGGCATCGGTTTGGGACCCAAGAGGAGCTTGGGACAATAGCCGAAAATTCACAAGACACCTCGGTTCACCTGTGTTTGCAAGTGCGAGATAACTCTCCGAGTTTAATCAACTACCGATGGAGGACTACCAAACCTACGGAGCTTTGATCGGGGGTTCCCACGACAGCCTCGTTGGATTCCGAACGGGAGGGGGCCAAAGTTTTCGCCGACGGCATTACGTTTATCGTTCCATCCCGGGATAGAGTACCAGATTTTCGGGCGAACATGAATACCGTGGCTGCTAACCTCAAGAGCGCCAATAGTTGTCTTCTCATATTCAAACACGTAACACATGCACACACACACACACACCTTGATCTTGAGAACAAAGTTCTGTCGCCCTATCCGGCCTCAGCTTGGTTGTTGCCAAGTAACTTGTGTATTTAAGGCTACTGCTATCTCCTCGTCGACTTTAAATGGGAAGAAGGGCCATTACATCAAACAAAAAGGTCCGGGCGCGCTGGCGAACTACAGCATAGCAGCAACTATAAATCAACTTCAAACAATCTGCCCACAGCTGATTTAACTTCGTTGAGTAAAGACCGTGAGAAGAAGCTTATCAAAACACGGGCTAAGAAAAGAAAAGAAAAGAAGAAAAAAAAAAGTACAGCTGTGATGGATCCTGCCACGCAACTTCTCAACGCAGTCACCGAGCGCGTGATTATTCCGGTCAAAGGCGGCGTCGATGACTGGAAAGAACAACTAAAGGCCATGCTACAGATCCTCCAAAAGCAGCCGGGATGCCTCCGCACTCGATGGGGTCCATGGACTGAAGACCCGCAGAAGCTAGAGCTCATTACCGGTGCGTGTGCATTTCCCTTATACTTAGTTAACTCCTACGGAACCTAGAACGAAAGGTTTTGTTGGCATTCACATAGTTAACAAGACTTTTTTTTTTCACTTCAGGCTGGATCAACGCAGAGGCAAATGAGACTTGGAAAGCGAGTAAAGATTGTGCGGATGCCATGGCTAAACTTGCGCCTGTGCTGGACGGACATCCTACGAGCTATCTCCTACAGTTTAAGCCATACGCGCCACAAGCCGTCATCAACTCTCCGATTGTCGAAACGCTAAGCTTCGAGAACTGTAGCGAGTCCGAAGACAATATGCGCGAGATCGTCGAAAGGGCGAGGGCGATGCCCGGATGCAATGGGGTAGCGAGCGGCTTCACCCTATGTCGGGGTAGTACTGGGGCTCCCGGCAGCAGCAGCAGCGGTGGCAGGACCTTTGTTGCGGCCATAGGGTGGTCAGGGATAGAGGCAAGCCGAGCGGCAAATACAACGACATACACGAACGGTATGAAAACCGAGAGTCACCACGTCAACTTTAATTTTCCCGTCAAAGGGTTTAGAGGATTATAACGGCCTATGCGCATGCCCAGGGTGTATGATGTGGTTTGGTGGGTTTTAGATGAGCAGGGCGTTGTTTTCTTGAATATTTCCTGTCGTGTTTGCCATTTCCGTATCTCGTCATCAGTATGATGTTGTTTTTCTGGGTCTGGATGGGAGCATGTTTTCTCCTTTTTTTTTTTTCTTTAATTTCTCATCCTTCTTCCTTTATTCCTCCTCTTTTTCTCCGTCCATAGTCTTTTCATTGAATGCCATCTAGCTTGCTGTCAGTGCGGAAGTTGAGGAAACAAATACAATATACCACATCATCTGATTTCTCGTGCCAGTGACTTTTAACTTAGTGCCGCGCTAGAAGACTGCCATTCGGAGATGAAGCAAGCTGTGAAGTTCTCCATCTTCATCTTCTAGGATCCCCTGTATGCAAAACTGCGCCAACTCTCAGCTCGCTTAAATAACACGAACTCAACAAATCGATGACGAGCCAACTCTCCGAACCACTGGGCCTCCCGAAAGCCCAGACTCACAGATTCACACTAACCGTAAGGGGAATAAGGTCATGCGACTAATGACGGGTTGGTTCTAGGGGCTGGTTAGGACCACTGCAATCTTTTTCAACACCTGATGCCAATCGTGCTACTGAACACGGAACTTGAATTGCTGCAAAACGTGGATCTTCCATTTGGTGGTGGTTCTAGGTGGGTTCGCCAGCAGCAGCAGCAGCATCACCTGTTCTAGTCGGGCCAAGGAACGGATGATAGAGACGAGGTGGGAATAGTGCTTCGTCTTAAACGACTGACGCCACATCCGGTGCTAGTCCTCGAGGTGGCCGGTCTTCCTCAAGCTCGACTTTCTCCATCGTCTGTGACCCTCAATTCTTCAGCCAGCTCATGTCGCTAAACCTCTGGCGCAAGACTGATCATTCCTCCCCGGCGACCAAGTGGTCGTGACAGGGCGACCACGCAAGAAAAAGGAGATGAAGGGTCGTAATTCAAGTCTTAGCGTACAAACTCCCCGCATTTTTTGGTAGGTGTCATCCTTCGGCTTCGGCCACTGGCACATCAGTTGCAGGGTGGATGGAATTCGAAAAGGGACATCGGCGGTTTCGAGCTTTTCTTCGCTAGCTTCTCTACCCCCTGATATTACAATCTTGGCGGCTCAAATTTAAGTGGTGCAATGAACGTCCAATAATAAGAGTGAACGTAACACCAATATCGCTTCAATGGAGCTACGAACCTCGTCTCTTTATTACCGGTGTATCTCGGACATCGTATCCTGCTTGGTATTAGGTGACTTTCTACCACGTGGGAGATGACTCCGGGGGAAGCCAACGCTGTCTTGGAACCTGTGACACTGTTCAATCATGCTTCAGAATGATTGAAGAAGTTTCCCAGGTGTACGAACCAGTACCTAGGTATGCAGAGCTTTTGCTACCTCGGTTCGTTTCTTTTACCCCTCTTAATCTTGCCTGTGCCCGGCCAATTGACCTTGTTATACTGCAATGATTTTAATAAGATTTTTGAGCCCAAAGCTGGTATACCTGGGTATCAACACTTGTGCAACGATCCAATCCAGCGGTTTCTCTTGCTCTTGGGAGCTCATTAAATCATTACTGGCGTGGTATACATCAAAGACCCCAGCAGCGCACGGTCTTCCCAGCTGCATCCATCAATACTATGTAGACTACGTAAATACGTAGCAAAAATCGATGCCGATCTGTTGATCCCTGAACACATTTTTCGCCTCGTACCCAGCAAAATGAGCAATACCAGATTGCGACTCGTCCATTTTCTAACAGTGCACGAAGCTATCGACAAAGGTGACCCATTCACTCCTTCATGTTCCCCGTCTTTTTTTCGAAAGATTCTTCTTAGGGGGGACCCAGCTGGGCCATGTGTGTTGCTGGCCAGATGGGCCCTCGGAGGAAGATGCCTGCATCTCCGGGTGCTAAAGTCGCATTCCAGGAGGGGTCTCTTGCAGCGGCCCCGTCGTTTCTGTTGCGTGACTGATCCTCCCAGGATCGACGCCTGGGTATCTTCAACAAACCTTCCTTCCGGCACTTGACTGTAGGGACAACGGCACATCAAACATGTTGCATTTCGTGCCTGTTGATCCTTCGACAAATTAAAGTAACTACAGGCCAATCAAAATATGACATGCATTTTTCAAAGAGTTTTACTTTGTATGCTGTTGGAAAACCGGTCTAACTCTTGGCGGCCGAGCAGTCCAGCAGTCTTGTCCTCTTCCAGTGTACCTCACGCCATTACGTGCAGAGACTTGTTGATTGCAGAACCTGCTGTCTCATATTCCCCCACCACAATTGCTAACTAGTGCGCAAGCCATGCTTCTCTAACCTCCTCTCCGGTGTCCCCCTTAAAGCGCCTTCCGACGTTGCGGCGTGTGGCGTTGAGCTAAGAGTAACACTACCAATCATGAGCTTCTTGTGGACTCCTGGGTCCAGTCTAGTTCGCCGAGGGACGTCGGCTAAGGGGGGCTTGATACATGTCACGGTCTAGGCTGCCCTGTGCCGTTTTGACATCACCCCCCTCCCCAAAGCAAAAGCCTGCTGTTATTGCCACAGGCTGAGGTGTAGTAAGAAACTTCTATGAAGAAAAGAGTGGGACGGAGGGGGGGTTAACGAGATCGATCTGCTGCCCACTGTTGTGTACCCAGGTTGATGACTTAAGAGTGGCCAGTCCCTCTCGACATGGCTGGCTAAGGGACCCTTCTTTTAAAGTTTCAAGACTCGACAACGCTTCGCTGCCTTTTACCCTGCGGTTCTTGCCTACTTCGTCCTCCGATATATCTGCGAGTGTTGGGAGGATCGACGCGGCCCTCGGCAGCCCGGTATACGAATCAAGACGGGGACTCGGACCTGGTCCACGGCCTGCAATGGCGACCAAAACCGACTACCAGATCGCCTCTTTGGCGGCCGGCTTCACCATCGGCTTCGGATTCTTGACGGTATGGGAGGCTATGAAGCAGACAAGGCGAAACCGTAACCCCTTACGAAGCTCCTATATCTATATGATGTGGGGTGAAATTCTAGCCAACCTAGTCATCACCATTGTTGGATGGCTATTTCTGGATGGTATACTAGGGCCTACGTAAGTTGTATCTGCTTCTTTGTTGGCAAGGCGTGTGCGCTGACCAAGGATTAGGGTGCCCGTGTTGTTCTTCATCTTGTTGTGTTGGGTATTCGAGATTCAGCTCTTGATGCAGATTATTATCAATCGGATTGCAGTCATTGCGGAGAGTCAGGAGACGATTGCGAAACTGAAATGGGGAACGGCCGTCCTCATTACCATGATTAACATTGCCGTCTTCTGCATCTGGATCCCGGCACACATTGTTCCTCCCGCAAACGAAACGTGAGTTCATTTACCCTCTTGGGATTACCGCTCCAAGGGTATATCGCTAACTGCTGGCTAGCTATGTGAAAATAAATCACTACTGGGATCGCATCTCGAAGGTCCTCATCTTGATTGTTGATGCTGGCCTTAACTGGTATTTCCTGCGGGTTGTCAAGAACAGACTGGTGAGCCAACATGGCCTAGTCAAGTACAAGCCCTTAGTCGGCTTTAACGCCAAGCTTATGATTCTCTCCATTGCTATGGACGTAAGTACTTGACTCCCATCCACTACAGATGAAGTCTGACAGAAATCCTCGCAGGCTATGCTCATCGGTCTCATGTCGCTGCCCAATCAAGTCGTCTTTATCCAATTCCATCCCGTAGCTTACATGGTCAAACTCAACATCGAAATGTCCATGGCCTCGCTCATCACCCGCCTTGCGAAGGGCCAAGACAGCGGATTCCGATTCAACTCTCTTTCTTATTCGCATGGCCATTCCCAGGGTCACCGGACGAACCAGGCCCGCAACAACGATCACGAGACAGGCCTCAAGAGTTACCACAGGGCTAGCGTCGGAGCAGTTCCGTCCGACTTGGAGGCAGTCCAGAACACCGGAATCCATCGAAGGGTCGACGTCGAAATCAGAGTTGATCAGTCACCCGAGTCGTCACACACCCCGTCCCTCGGGGGCAGATCACGACACGACGATGCCGGCAGCGGCAGCACTTTCTACAGGGTGGATGATGAGGACTCGCTTACGGGTAACCCCGGTCATCCTCGATCTACTGAAAAGAAGGAGTGATTGCCATTATTTTCGGCGGGTTAATTTTACGATTGCTGGGTGATAACAGGCGGTCTGGTTATGAATGGTGATGGTTATGTATTTTTGATAGCTGTATACCCCGTTAATGTACTCCTAAGGGCATATCTCATTTACTTTGTAGAATAACAACGGCTATGATAAACCCGCTGCGGATGTAAATAAAAAAAACATTATCAGAATTTTACTAGGCCATTCTCGCGCTCTCGTCTTTCGACTAACGGGTACCTCAACAGATCGTTTCCCAGCGCTTAGGCGGACTCGAACAACTCAAACCCGACAAAGTCCGGCGCCCAGGCGCTTCCAAAGGACTTGAATTCAACCGTGTTAGAGCCATCACCCTTGAAACCGTCAACCTCGATCAACAAGCGTCCAGTCTCGAACCAGTTTCCTCCAGAGATGGGGAACGCCCATCGCTTAGCGTCCCCACCGTTGACCGAGACAGTCAGGTTGCGCGAGCTGGAGCCCCAGTCCCAGGCTGTGTCGAGGGCGACCTCGTAGTTGATGAAGTCAACCCCGAGAAGCTTCTTGCCCTCTGTCTTGGCCTCGACGCCGGAGAACTTGACAGCGGCCCCTGAGCCGATGTTGCCCACCTTGGTTCCGCTGGGAAGACATTGTCCCTCTCCACAAGTCACCTTTTGCGCTGACCCAGACAACGCGCCGTCTTGCGTGGCCGTGTAATATCCGGCGGATGAGTGGGCCGGCTCCGCCTTGGAGAGGTCCGAGAGCACCAGCAGCTTGAGTTCGTGGCCCTTGAGCGTCGTCTCGTAAGTGCCCGAGATGGAGCCGATGTCAGTCGCGGCCCAGACGTCACGGGCCTCGGCCGAAGTCAGGCCCAGAACAGCGGCGAGGTCGACGCTGACAGGCTGCGAGTCGTTCCTCCAGTTTGCGAGGCCGACGACAAGACGGTCGCCCGAGAGCTCGCCGGCCCAGACGTCCCACTCCTCTTCGGTGTACCGGCGGACGAGCTGGGCTTGCTTGGCCAGTGGGTCTTGGTCGATGGCGATGACCTCTTTGTTGGTAAGGATGGCGAGGGAGTGCTCCGGAAGGTAGCCGGGGATGGCCGGGGCGCCCACAGAGAGGGGCGACTTATTGATACTCCACATCCCTAGATGGAACTTTTCCTCCTCCTCGGAAAGGGCGTTGAGGCCAATGCTGCAAAATGAACACTTAGTTTTCGGTTCTTTGTTTGAAAGATCAAAGTGGAACAGATCACTTACATCAGCATATCCATATCGGCGAAAGCTCCAGGGCCCGTGTGCTTGTAGAAAGGAACGACTTGGTTGGTGATGCGCCAAATGCTCCGCCAAGCGTTGTAGATGTCGTTGCTGATTCTCCAACTGTTTCCAATCTTGGGCACCCTATGTCTAACGTTAGCATTTGGTTACTTGCCGGCGAAGCAGAAGCAAACAAATACGGACCAGATTCCCAAGTCAGTGCCGGTTCCCCACTGACAGACCTCATAGACGATGTTGCGGTCCGTTTCGTCCAATGCCTCCGACATTGTAATGAAGCGGTCCGGAGAGATGGCATCAGGGTGGACGTAATCAACCATCACCTTGGGGTCTACGGCATAGCAGTTGTCGTATCTATGTCACATGTCAGTCGCAGTTCACGATCAGTTACTGTTTTTTTTCCCCCTTGGACGTACTTGAGAGAGTCTGCGCCCCAGGAGGCGAAGGATTTGGCGTCGGTGAACTCATTGTCTGTAGGTCTTTGTTAGTTCAATAGAATTATCCAAGACAACAAAGTGCTTACTCAAAGAGGCGAGCCGGTCAGTGGAACCGCACTGGTAGTATCCACCACCAGAATAGACACCGAATTTTAGGCCGAGGTTATGGATATAATCGCCGAGCTCCTTGCCTCCACCGGACGGGAACCGGCTCGGGTCCCATACAAGCTCATTCTCAGCGGAACGGTTCGAGGTCGGCCACCCGCAATCAATCGTGATGGTTGTGTACCCGGCCTCGGCTAAACCCGAGTTCACTACACCGTGTGCGTTCTCCTTGATGATTGTTTCGTTGGGATTGCAATTGTAGTGGTTGTAAGAGTTCCAACCCATCTGAGGTGTTGGAGTCTTGACGGTTTTAGCCTCGGCCTGGGCAGCAAGGGCCGTAAGAAGTGTGAAAGCCACGGAAGCCATGGTTGCAGTAAAGCAGTCTTGTCTGGCTGTCGTCAAGTTGGGGTGCTTGGAGGGCTGTACTCATTCCACCTTCACGAAACAGCATTCATCAAAACATCGCGAACGGTATGCGCTCACTTTATAGATCTATATTCACAAGCTCGCCAAGTCCGGAATACTACCTTCCCTCCCTGCGGCCCCGTCATCCCCGACGGGAGTACCTTGCTTCAATCGATATGAGGTCATCACCACTCTACGCGCACCATTAAAATTTTAGTCCGCGATCGTCAACTCCACACCGAAGCCCTTGCTAGAAAACATATCACACGATGAAAGGGTAGACAGGGTCTCCAGGCGCGGGGAAATCGGTCGACAAGATCCATCAGAGGGGGGTTACATCAACAAACAGAGTGTGCGATTACTCCCAGTCGGGCGCTTATAAGAATACGACGTGACGCTAAGAACACAACCCTGCGTCCCCCACACAAGTCACAGTAAAAATGCTCGCCGGGCTTTTCGGGGGCCGGTGTTGCCATAGAGCTTCCCCGCAGTTGAGTTGCAGTCAAGCTGGGGCCGCAGCTGAGGTGCCATGGGGAAACAGAGGGAAACAGGAAACATAGGCGAAAATCAGCAAGCCTGTAATGGCTCAATTTTCAACGCGGTCGGAAGTCGCATTGCTACGACTCATGCATGAGTGGGCCGGCTTTCTAATTACACGTGCTCAGGTCTTCTTCGCAATTGGAAAGCAAATCGCATAATTAAATCGTCAGTTGTTTATTGGGGCTGAAAAAGTTTAACAACCTTGAGCGTGGAGCCGGACTGAGTGAAAACCCGCATAGCCATTATGACAACTTCAGTTCTCAAATATCGTGCCAACCATATCTTTTGCATCAGTTGCTCCAACTTTAACGACCCATTTGCCATGAGACCAGGTAAGGAGTTTAAGGCCGACTAGGGTACATCAAATAGAGAAAAGGCACCATTTCCATTGGCTTGGTAGCTGCGATTGGCAGATATGTTTAGTCTCTATTATTGCAGGTTAGCACTATTGTTTTCGCAACTGCGATGACAACTCTAGGTTTATATATCGAAGCGACCTTGAAAAGCTTTCCCGTCACAAGGACAAAAGGAGAGAGTAAAAAGAAGGCTTATTAACGTAGACAAAAAAAATATTTACCTCATAACTCAGCCTTAAATCCAACAGCTAAAGAAAACCTAGCATGCCTTTCGTCTAGTTCAAAATAACTTCATATCCCTTTTCAATCCTATAATATATCTTATTGTAGCTCAATTATAGTCACTTCTCGTAAGCCTGCGTCGGACTTCAACTTAGGATTCCGACTATTACAAAACTGGCGCGTTTCCCTCCTTTGCCATAGTTGTGGGAAATAGACGGAATTCACCAGGTTCTTCTGTAGTACAAGTTTCCTGCCACAATAACCACTAACTGAATAGCAACCCGGTTTTTCTTACCTCAGTTCCAAGTAAACAGCTCTCTCTATGCCACTCTTCAGCTTGTTAGTCAACTAGCTGTTCCAGTGTCCTGCATAGGCCTGAATCTTCAAGGCGGAGATCAGCTGGCTATGAACCCTTCGTAGTTGGAGCAGGGCTGTAGAAATAAATGTCACACTCTCAAACGCCTTTGCAGGCATTTAGTGCCTGTTTTAGAAGGGCTTTACTAGGCGGGTACATAGTTGATAGGACTCGTTGGATCGCACTGAGCTGTTGAAGAGAGTTTCTATTAACTCAATCTTAGTCTTGTTAGGATTTTCCCGAATTGTTCTAGGAAACATGGCGTTGCGCTTTTGCGTGAGGTAGTTGTGGCGCCATTTGTACAATATAGAAGTCTTTTCAAAAAGCGTAAGCCATCAATCATGCATTACATCCAGTCTAAAAGAAGGCCAACTTTTGTCTAATTACCGCTTTTCGCATTGACTTCGGATTCCCGTAGACTGTGGACTTGGTGTTGAGGCTCTCCCGTGGGTATTCCAAAATCATACCCAAGTGGGGGGAGGGGGGCCTGCTGTTGCCTTACTAACAGAACGAGTCAAGGTGAGAATTGCAGCAATCATTGCTATACAGGGCATAGTCTCTAAGTGTCACTGGGAGAGTATTTGAAGGGAGGGACGAACAAACGCGGTATATTCCTTGAAACTAGGACCAAAAGCCATTGTGAAGACAACGACAAATTTAACAAACTTAGATTAACTGCTACTCGTCCATTGACAGCTCCACTGGCCCACCCTCAACCTTTGCTATCTAGGTGGGCTTTTACAGAATCCCTGCAACAATCAGCATGGTCTGGTGGTGTAGTTGGTTATCACGTCAGTCTAACAGCTCAGGAACATTTCCGAATGTCCTGGACTTGTCCACTGAAGGTCTCCGGTTCAAGTCCGGGCTAGATCATCCCATGGGCGATTGGTTTAGTGGTATAATACTCGCTTAGCATGTGAGTGGTCCAGGGTTCGATTCCCTGATCGTCCATCTTTTTGCTGTTCGTTATTAACGGAATACAGAGGGGACTTCAAAGCAGGCCAGTCAGTCCTTAACGATGATCATACCTTGTCGTACCAACTGGGTCTTGGCAGAGTGAGTAAGTATTGTTGATTTATCGGTGGAAAAATCATTGAGCGCATTGTAGACATTATTTGTTCTATGGGTATTGTTGCATCATCTATTGCTCTATTGTCAAAGGAACTCCGCCCAAACGACGTCAGTCGATTACTGGATGTCCTCAGGCTTCACGATAACCCAGTTCTTGTCCGCTGTCACGGGAAGCCCCTCCTTCTCCTGGTCGGCCGAGAATTCTTCAATCATCTCATTCATTTGCTTCATGGAGCTTTCCTTGCGGTTGATCCAGAGGTGAATACCGCCCTTGGAGACATCAACACCGTGGAAAATCATAGGACCATCACTGTCTGGGGTGTCACCACCAGCAAGGATGGGCTTCTTCCACTCGTTGATGTAAGTGAGAATAGCAGCCCACTTGCCCTGCATCCAAGTGGCTGGGGTCCAGAGGAAGGGGGTCATGACGAGGTCAAGGTTGGCCTTCTCGTCATATGTGCCATCCTCGATTTGCTTGCGTGCTGTGGTCAGGTCGCCAGAGGTCAGGTTCTTCATCAAAAGGCTGACACCAATCACATTCTCGGGCTTGACGTTGTAACCGTACTTGGGGTCGGCAGCGACCATACGGACAAGCTCTTCAGAAGCAGCAGTGATGACGTAGACTTCAATTCCGTTGGCCATCAACTTGTTGTAGAGTTCAACCTGGCCGGTGAAGATCTTGGGAGGGGTGATCTCTGTAGAGGTGATCACGTCGCCGTCGTAATAGGTAGTCGAAATGGTGCGGTTGAGGGACATGAGCTCGTCTACGTAACCCTTGAGCTCACGAAGAGGAATGCCACTGAAGATTTGGGCCGCGAAGGGGTAGCAGATCATGTCGTCAATCTCACACAGCCGCAGGTAGTAGCTGTAGATAGACTCAGTATGGTTTGCCGTGTCCTTGAATGGCACCAGCTTCAGCGATGGGTCCATGGTGTCGCGCGTCAAGACGCCCTTGCTCTCAAGGAAGGGAAGCAAAGACTCCTCAAGGTCGAACCGATAACTGGTGTTGTCCATATCAAAAACGGCATAATTGCTCTGGTTGGCATTAGAGGCGATCATGGCGTTCAGAGACTTGGCCGCCTCGGCTGGCCAGTGCTTTAGCTCGGGACCAGCAGTGTGGTTGCTGGCAAAGACTGACGGGGCAGCATTCGCAACACCACTGGCGATGGTCAAGCCAATGGAGGCGACGACGGGGTTCATGAAAGTCTTCATGGTGATTGATGGCGATGGTAGTGTTGTGCTAGTGTATTTTGGAGGTAGCTACAGCTCGCCACAAGGTTGAGACCAATGAAGGTGAGATGCCGGGGAATGTGAGGAACGGGCCGTGAGGAAGCAAAGGAAAGGGCTTCTACTGAACGGCCGTCGGGCCATGGCCGCGTTATAAACCAACCAGATTCGATTGGAGGGTTTCATACCCGTATTCATCTTTGTCCATTCACTTTAGGTAATCATGGTTTCTCCTGTTCGCTTACATTACTGTGCCGAGTTTGTTTGGAAGCCGTACGGGGTTTGCCAAGGTAATGAAGGCCTATGCGAGCGTTGGCAACCGTTGGCGATGGTGTCGCGACGTCGTGTAACATCCACTTTGTGGGGTGCCCAATTTCCCCAGCTTGCCGTGGTAACATTTATGACGTTGAGCGGGATTATTGAAATGAGATACGGGCGGGTTTTCGTAATGCAGTGGGGGGTCCCTTGCCGAAGCCGATAACAGCAATACGCGAGTCAAGCACCATCGCGAATTATGGTATCGATGCTGTTGCATCGGATGAACCAGCTCTCAGCCCTACACGATAGACAACGTGGGGTGTCCACGAGGCGCCAAGGCGAACTTATCAACTGGTGGAAACAAACATATCAAAGGGTTCAGCTGGGGTCCTAGAGATAGTCACCAACCGAGCTCCATTCAATACCCTAAGTACATGAAACTAGTTCAGGGGATATGAACTGAGAACTTCAAATGATTCAAGTCCGTGGGTTCCTGCTCATTCTTGAGGTTTCAAGTCATTCGGCTGGTAGGTAAGGCCAGTTCGTTCATAGGTCTACCAATTGACAGCATTGTCAACGTTAACTGGTTGTCACCATCTTGTTAGTTGTCCAAGAGAATTTTCATAAAAGCTTGTTTCTCCAAGAGTCAGTATCCCTGAAACGTGCATGAGATCAAATGCATGTGGTGTGCTATAGTGTTGTGATATTCAGGCTAAGTAACCAGGCAAATTCTGGTAAGCCATAAGGCTGAATTAATGCGAGATTCACTGCTTTCAGAGTAGTTAACTTCTTCTAAAGGAACTCTAGAAACTACTCTTTCGGGTACTTCCGAGACCAAGTTTCACCTGCCACAGGTTGACGATATCGGGCATCGGGCGATCGTCCGGGCGGCCAACCCCACTGAACTAGCACAACACCGCCCGATTACCGCTCCAGTCAGGTCTTTTGCCCCGACGTTCCGATCGGGGGCATGAGACAACTACGTTCCGCTGCGAGGAGTCTGTTTCGCACGACATCTTGTCCCGAGTTACCGGTCGATGAATCCGTCTTCCGTAAACTTTCCTCGCAAAACATTGCGCGCCAAGGATTTCCCCGCTGCACGACACTGTCGGTTTAAAAAGGGCTACTCCGGATGCCTGCGGCCCCTACTCATCATTACTTGTCGTAAGTAACCATCCATCCCAACGAGTTACCACTTTGAGGTCCTGGTGTTCTGTCAGAGGCAACGATCACACACAATCATGGCACAAGCCACAAGCATTGCCCAGGCCTTGGCAGAACACGTTCCATCTGGAAAGGGGACTACGTACGCCGAGTCCGACAGTACGACCGAATTGAACGCTGATAGCGATACCAGCATTTCTGAAAACGGAATACAGACAGCTTCTGGAATAACAAACATCATGGCGCGGTCTCAGCCTATCAAGGAACAGCTCAATGGCCTGTACGAAGAGAACATAACGGCCAAGATCTTCAGAACGGCCGCTAATGCCCTTGTCAACAACGTAAGTAGACTTGGTTGTCATTCTTGAGTTCATACATGACTAATATTGTGAAGGACCCTCCAACGGCTTACCCTGAGTACGTGCTTCAGACAGGCCCTGAGGCAGGCAAATATATCCTGCGAGAGGCCTCTTTCTGGACATGTGGTTTCTTTCCAGGGAGCGTCTATTCTCTTATAGAGCGACTAGTCAAGTTTCCACAGACGGCCCCTACTGGGAAACAAAAGGCATTGTTGCTTTCGAGACTGTGGTCGCTTGGTGCTTCGTGGTCAGAACCTCTTCACGAAACAGCGAAACGGACAGACACCCATGACATGTCCTTCATGATTCAGCCGTCAATGAGAGTCAGATGGGAAGTCGCCCAAGACAAGCAAGCATTGAAATCCATAATCACAGCAGCTAAAGCTCTGCACACCCGTTACAATGACACTGTCGGTGCTATGCGGTCATGGGATGCTCTTACCCAACATGGGGTTACAATCACAAGCCTTACGGACGATTTCCTCGTAATCATCGACTCCATGTGCAACCTCGACTTGCTTTACTACGCTGCATCGCACACAGGAGAAACTTATCTGTGGGATGCTGCTACAAAACACGCCAAGACGTTAATTAGGTCGAACCTACGTCCTGAGAAAGACCCCAGAGGTAAGGTCAAGGGACCTTTTTACAGCACAATCCACGTCTTGAATTTCAACCCCAAGAATGGCGAGATAAAGGAGCGACGTACCGGCCAGGGATACAATGCAGAATCGACATGGGCTAGGGGCCAGGCTTGGGGTATCCTGGGTTATGCGCAAACATTTCTTTGGACTGGCGACAAAGAATTTTTGGACGCGGCTCTCGGATTGGCAGAGTATTTCGTCTTCCGCCTCGAAACTTCGCCAAACTCCGTCGAGTTTCCCGTTGAAGGCGAGAACCGGACAAAGGGGCGTTACGTACCGCTCTGGGACTTTGATGCGCCAATCGAGGACGAGAAGAACCCGCTCAGAGACTCGTCTGCTGGCGTGATCGCCGCAAATGGCATGCTTGTCCTGTCTCAGGCTCTTGCTGGTCAAGGCCTCAATGAAGAAAGTGTAAGATGGAGGGACATGGCTGTTTTGATTGTGAAAGACACGCTTGAATTCTCTTTGGCGACTGAGAAGGCTGAATTCGTTCTTGGAAACGACGAACTGACCGTCACTGATGCCGAAGAAGGACGCACGTTTGAGGCCATTCTTAAGAACGCCACGGCGAACCACAATGCGCGCGACCATAAGCGGTACTGGGACCATGGCTTGGTTTACGGGGATTATTATCTCATTGAGTTTGGTAACAGACTGCTAAAGATGGGACTGGTGTAAGGTGTTCCGAAAGACTCGACATATGAGGGTATCTCAAATAGACTTTGAACCATTATTCCTACTCACTCCAACCTTGAATTATCAACCGGAGCCCAACCGTTCACGGGCAACCCTGTATTCCCCGAATTTGCTGTCTGTGCCGTAAACATCATATCATCAAAGCTGATTATTCGGTCCATTTCTATAAATCTTTGGTCCATAAGCATATGGGATATTGCAGATAGCTCATCAGGGGCATCCGAATCTCGAGGGGTAAACCCCGTGATGGGAATCGGCGACGCCATGGAGCCAATAATTGATCCCTGACGAAGCGGCCCCGGCGACGGCTGGTTCGTAAATACTGGAGCAGGTCTCGACTGTGCGGTAGCTGTTGTTTGATGAGGAGCCAAGGGGCTGGATGTTGGAGGCCGCGCCACCTTGTTCGATGGCTGCGAGAAAAGCGCACTACCTTGCTGGTGACTGAACCCTGGAGTTTGGGCAGAGGGGCTACATCCCTGACCGCTGATGCCGCTAGAATATCCAAGAACGTCTACGCTGTATCGAGAATCGGCCTCACACTTTTGATGGAGCTCTCGTAGTTGAGCTGCATACTTGCCTGCAAGGCACTGAGCATGCTTCTCTCGAAGAATGGGGCCGACCCAGCGCTTCGCCATTTCCTCCAAGCCTTCAACTAGAAGCCAAAATTCCGGAACCAAGTCCGCTTCGTAATATCGCCAGTGAACTGGAACTGTCAGTGAACACTCGAAAACCTCCCGCTGCGCCATGAGATTCATACCTAGGAGAACCCTTGCACTGATGAATACACAAAACGCAAACTGACTTGTCGCTGGGCTATTTTCGGGAGTGTACTTAAGGTACTTCTGAGTGATTGTTGCCGTTTCCACAGCTGCAATTTGGCAGGTTTCTGCACTGCAGAAACTCGGAAGTTTTACGATGCTTGACCATCGAGATTCTGGGTAAGCTATGCGTTGATGGAGGAGGATCATTGAAGTGTTGTGAGTAACGTGAGCCAATGTCAGATTGGGATCCATATTAATTAGGGCAGGTTGGCGAGAGATGTTGGAATCTTTCCATTTCTGAGGCAAAAACATCTTCCAACTAGGCTTTGTTAGGAACGTACTAAAGTCATGCGAAACATCCGAAAGAAACTTACTGTACCAGACGCAGATCTAACTCCTTGAATCTCGTGAGCCAGCTGCTAACTTCTTGCCGGTCCTGGAAATTAATCTTCTGTTGAAGGAAATAGGTAGTGACTCTGCTCAGAGATTCGGTTGCCTCGATGCAGTAAGCAAAGGCTCCTACTGTCGTCATATCAACTGTGTTGGGTCCTTTGCTTGGGTTTGCGGTAACTGGTGTTTGTGGAGGCGCATCTGCTGTCTGTTCTGGGCTGGGATAGTGCGCTGGCAAAAAAGCAATAGAGTTACCAATTCTGGCTGCTGATCGATCCCAGATACCGAAATATGGTGTTATGACGGACTCTTCCTTGTGCCACAGGCCACCGTCAGCGGGTAGTCTGCGATAAACATCATCAGACGTCAAACTCGTGTTCCATCTAAACCGATTAGCGTGCGCTCGTTCTTGTCTGACAATGAAGTTTTCCCGTTGTACTCTTACCCAGTTGTTACAGAGCAGAACCTAAATCTGTCAGTTTGTGTCACTCAACCAAGATCGACACAAGCCTTACCTGTCCAAATTAAAAATGTTCCAAAAAACCCTCCGACGCTCCTCTTCCTCAGTCCAGTTTTGTGGTGGAGCTATCGAAGGCAACGGTTTGAGGAGAGGCTCTTTGTCTCGAAAGTCTGACTCGATGCTCAATTGAAGATACTCAACCGTCCTGGTGAGTGAGCCAACAATTGACCATGCTTTAGAAGCATCACCGTTACCAATCTTGAGAAATATTAGTCACACACGGTCTTACCTAAGAATGAAAAACTTACATCATTAAAAGCCACTATGATCAATGCCTGGAGGTTCTCAACGGACAAATGGTCCATCGCGTTAAGAATCACAATGTTCCTTGAACGTGCTGTCCGGCGTTCCACATCGTGGGCTGATAACCGAGTTTCGGGATTGTCAACAAAACGGAGTGCGGCAACTACCATTGCATGCAGGACCACAACCAACCGCGGGAGTTGTTCTGGGTCATGCACGCGTCTGCGGAATTGTGTCTCGTGAAGGATGGGAATCCATGGCTGAATGATGTTAAAGTGAATGTTGATAATGTCCTCCAGCAGCTCAGGGGATGGCAAGCTCGTGGTGATATTTTCAAGATCTTCAAGGGGAAAAGCAAGGTCGATATTTGGGTTACCGCAACTGTCTACGCGTCGTCGCTTGCGCGGTTGGTTATGAGGATGAGCAACAATCTCCAAACCGTCAACTGTGTGCCGTCTGGATGAGCTAGAGGTTGAAGGGGACAGAACTGCATGATCGGCGACACCCTCCGGTGTGTCTGCTTGAGAGCCAGAGACTCTGCTCTTGGAGTTAAGCTTATGTAACTCACGAGCCAGCAGGGAAAGAATGCCGACGACATTGTGGGACTCCGCTGGTAGGCTGCTTGACTCCGCATGCCCATTAGAGTTCGAGAAGTATCCTCCCTGCTCATGAGATTTGTTCAATATGGCATTCTCCAGCACCTCTGGACCATGGTTAGTTAGTTAGTCTACCGCCATGTCTGAGACATGGCCTTATTGGATGGTCACTAATCTACGCACCTACTCTACGGTTCAAACTCTCAACCGCTCCAGGTTTGATACCCGGCTTATTCTTCTTCAGGTCATACACACACGGGGAGTCTATACAGTCAGCATAGTCCGCAATTACCCAGGTAGGGCGTCGGCAAGCCCTGATCAGATCATCCGAATCCGACCTACCCAATCGTTTACAATGAGAGCACGTCGGCTGGTCGCGCGAGCAGCGGAGCTTTCGGCGCCGACAACCCTGACATGAAGGGATGTCGTTCTCGGACGCCCCATCGTGGGGTTGCTGCGGTGCTGACGCTGATGTAGCCAAATCCATGGTCTTCAAAGAATCACCGGGCAGCGGGTGGGCGGTGGCGGCGGTGGTGGCGGCGGCCCGGCGCGCAAGAGATGACGGCCCAACACGGTCCTCGACTTGACTGGGGTTAACGATCGGCCGTAAAGAGAAAAAGAAGCGAGAACACAAGCGCACCGGGTGTGATGCAGTGTGTTTCCGGTCGGTTTCGCGTGAGAATCATCGGCCATGGAATTGTGCGGCGCGACGATGCAGGAGTGGGCGGAGAGGATCTTCGTGTTTATGAGGTAGGAAATTGGGGGCGGTTGTGGGGATCGGGGGCTCGTTCGGTTCGATTTCGCCGAGGGAACAAGCACTGGGCGGGAACAACTGTTGACAGATGATCTCGCCTCTTGTTTTTTCCCTCCCCTCCCTCCTCAAAGGTAAGCGAGGAGGTTTCCCCGCATTCTAAGCTATCTGGTACCAGGATCAAAGCAGGGAGTGGGCAGTTGAGTGGAACGAGGTTGATGCAGAGAGACTGGAGATTCGACAAGGGTTTAGGCAAATAAGCGCTCCGGCCCTCTTTTGTCCGATGCCCGGCGCCATGCGAAGGTTCTTCTAATGCCGCTCGCTCAAAGCACAGTTCGAGTGGAAGGGAAATTGGCATTGGCTGTGGTGTTGTCAGCCATAGCGTCGTGTCCAGAACCACTGCCAGATAAAAAGATCTCGAGAGTTCGCGAGAGTTGCATCTACGTCTCCTGTTGTCAGCTCAGGACTGTGATCCTGGTTCCTTTTCCATCAGAAGCTGACGATTGATTGTGTGGGTATCGACACAAAACAAAGTTGAGAATGGCTACGAACACATCACCGACGTCCTCGGAGGATGCATCTCAACCCAATCCTGGGACAAGAGAGCAACCCATTGTCAAGGATGCAGCCGTTCCAGCAGTCGCCGCTTCGACAGTGATGGAGGAGGCCGGTACGACTGAAAACGAGCCAGAGAAACGTTCGCTGTGGATTGCATGGCTCTACATGTTTGACTGGTACCCATCGCATCTCTCTAAAGAAGAGAAAAAGTTTTTGCGGAAACTAGACGCCTTTCTGCTCACTTTCACGTCACTCGCCTTCTTCCTGAAGTGGCTCGATTCTTCCAACATCAATAGTGCGTACGTTTCGGGAATGAAAGAGGAACTGAAGCTTTTTGGAAATGAGTAAGTCACGGAAATTGCAAAAAGAAATGTCAAAATAAAGAGAAAACAAACGCTGACCTCATCTTCTTATAGGTACTCCATGTTTCAGACATTCTACAACATCGGTTACATCATTTGCCAAGTGCCTGCGATGCTACTTCTCTCCCGACCAAAATACTCGAGATACTTTCTGCCAACGATGGAGGTTCTTTGGAGTATCTTGACCTTTGCGCAATGCAAACTCCAAAACGCTCCTCAAATTTACGGAACCAGATTCCTTCTCGGAGTCTTGGAGACGCCAGTCGCGTCGGGATCTTTGTTCATTCTTTCGTCTTGGTATAAACCCGATGAGCTATTCAAACGCGCCGGGTTGTGGTATGTGTAAGTAAAATCAGAGCAAATACCCCTTCATCATCTGCGTCCTAACTAAGTCGGTACAGATCTAACAATATCGGTGTCATGTTCGGCGGGTACCTGCAAGCAGCTGCTTACAAAAACTTGAACGGTGTCCACGGTATGGCGGGATGGCGCTGGCTTTTCATCATCGACGGTTGCATTAGTCTCCCTATCGCCCTTATGGGATACTTTATTTTCCCCGGAATGCCGACTAGCGGAAAGCCGTGGTGGCTCACTCAACGAGAACACGAAATTGGCCAGCGTAGAATGCGAGAAGCAGGTGTGGAGGAGCCCAAGAAGATCACTACTCAAATGCTTCGGCGGCTTTTCTGCCACTGGCATTGGTACGTCGGCGTTCTGGCATACGTCTTGTTCTTGTCCGGTAAGTCATTTTCAGCTTTCAGTTTTGCCTTTCATTTATGCAGAGTCGGTTGGAAACCATCACTTGGTATTCTTCAACTTCGCAAACTGTTTTACCAAGCCATCAAAGTTCTTGTAGAGCTAATACTGACGTTACCATCTGAAAAGGAGCATACCCTCATGGACAGATGGCACTCTGGTTGAAAGATCAGGCAGACAAATGGGGTATTTACACGATTCCGCAGATCAACACTATCCCTACTGGCGCACAAGGAGTCTCCGTTGTGGCAGCGGTTTTGGCCACTTCCCTGTGCATGGTTTACCCAACATGGATCATTTTCCAGATCGTGATGGCTATTTTCATGTTCGCCAACATTGTACAGATGGTTTGGTTTGTGCCTCATGGTCTGCATTTTGTGTCTTACTATCTCTTCGGAGTCAGCGCCGCCGTAACACCTATTCTGGTGCCAACGGTAAACTACTGGATGAAAGACTCAGCCGAGGCACGTGCATTCTGTACTGGAAGTATGCTGGTGAGTAAACTCCTCGAAACAACTTCTTCTGCGTCTTCTAACTGTCGGTGCTAGACCCTCGGATTCGCAATTTCTTCGTTTTACCCCTTGGTGGTCTTCCCAGTTGTAGAAGCTCCGCGGTGGAAGAAAGGATACATTGTCAACTTCTTTTTCATCTTGGGATGCTGGGCTGCCCTTACTCTGGGTTTCTTCCTACATGGAAAGGAGGAGAAACGCAAGAAGGATCTAGCTCTGTTGGACGAAGAGAACTTGAAGGGCGAGGATGTCAAGCACGTGGATTAGTCAGGTAGTACTTGTTAATTTGAAGCCATTTGCAGTTGCCTCACTGTTTAGAGGTCAAACCATTGTAAGATAAGATCTTTCGGAAATGCGCAACCGGCAAGCTGTAGCAAGCCGGTCGACTATCCGGTACTTGTTCCGACTCCCGATGTCCATGCAAGTAATTATTTGTGGAACCGATGCCATCTGCGATAACAAATAAAGACCTGGGGTAGTTGCAATTACCAAAGGAGGCTGTGTCCTCTAACCTTAGACAATCATCCCTTCAAGCTTTGCCAATATGCCACCCCTGCCAGGATTCTCCGACAACCCCCTTCAGACCCGATCTGATCTGATCCGGGCGACCCTTGCTCTCCTTCGACCTCTTGTGCCACACTTCTCCCCGTCCAAAGGTCGGATCCGAGTCCCAGTCTCCACGGCGACCCATTTTGACGAGACAGCCGCCCAGCTTGAGGGATTCGCTCGACCTCTATGGGCCGTGGGAGCACTACTTCTAGGTGCTAATTCCACTTCGGATCTACAATTACGCAACGCCATTGATGAAGTTGTGCAGCCATGGATTGACGGGTTCGTCTCAGGGACGGACCCTGAACATCCGGAGTACTGGGGAAAAATCAACAACACAGATCAGCGAATGGTCGAGGCCGAGATTGTGGCATTTGCGTTACTCTCCGCTCCTGAAAGGATTTTTAACCCTTTGAGTGATAAGGCCAAGGCAAATATTACAAACTGGCTTCGCACCCTGAACGGAATGGAGATGCCCAAAAACAACTGGCGATGGTTCCGAGTTTTCGGTAATCTGGCGTTATCCAAAGTCTGTGGTGTTCCATTTGAAGACATCCAGAAGGAGATAAACTCAGATTTAGAGCTCCTGGACACGTTTTACCGACTAGATGGCTGGTCGGCAGATGGACCCTGGCAGACAGTTGAGCAGGCTCAGGAAGAGTTTGACCAGTATGAAAAGACTGGCAGACGCGACGCCGTAGGCGTTGGACGTCAGGCAGACTACTACTCGGGTAGCTTTGCCATTCAGTTTAGTCAATTACTCTATTCCCGCTTCGCCGCCGATGTCGACCCCGAAAGGGCTGAGAAATACCGCCAACGGGCCAGAGATTTTGGGGCAACTTTTTGGAGGTACTTTGATGCTGAAGGTGAGTACTTAAAAGCTTGGCTTATAATCTGCTCGCTACCATCTTTGCTTTACCTTCGTGCCCACCTTCTATGGCTATTTCACTGTTACGACGATTGACAAAAAAAAAAAAAGATAAACTGTTGCTAACTAGTCGAAGGCTCCGCGATTCCGTTTGGCAGATCACTCACCTACCGTTTTGCCTGTGGTGGCTATTTCGCCGCGCTGGCCCTTGCCAAAGTTGATAATCTGCCAGAACCAATCAACTCTCCAGGAGCTGTAAAAGGGTTTCTGTTGAGGCACCTAAGGTGGTGGGCTAAGAAGTCTGAAGACATCTTCTACCCAGACGGCACACTCAACATTGGCTGGCTATACCCGTAAACCTCCCTTTAAGACCAACTCAGCAGCCCTAGCAGTTTTCTGACAGTAAGCACAGGAACATGTACATGTGCGAAGATTATAACTCTCCACAATCGCCATACTGGTGTTTAAAGACATTGATTGCAGTTGGTCTTGCCGAAGACGATCCATTTTGGACCGCCGACGAAGCCTCATACCCGCAACCCCAACCCTCAGATTCTGTCACTGTTGTTCCGGGACCACAGCAGATTCTCTGCAATCATCCGAGTAGCAACCACCATTTCCTTCTATCGCCAGGCCAATTCGTCGCATGGCCTATGAAAGCAAACCAAGCTAAATACTGCAAGTTCGCCTACTCTTCAGCCTTTTCTTTCTCTGTGCCTACTGGCCCGTTGATTCAGCAAATTGCACCTGATAACGCCCTTGCCCTGAGCAGAGATGGCGGCGAGACTTGGGCTGTCAGGTGGAAGTCAGAGGAAGTAGAGTTTGCAACTGCCCATGTAAGAGGGCCATCCGGTTCAGAGGAGGTGGCAGTGGCCAGCGCTAAATGGTATCCTTGGGGAGACCGGGCTGTCAGTGTGAAGACAACTCTCGTGCCACCCACAAACAGGTGGCCGGACTGGCATTTGCGAATTCACCGGATCGAGATTCATGAGAAGCTCAAGACATTCCACACGGTGGAAGGCGGGTTTGCCATCTCTGGTCGTAAGAGAGCCGACGGGATGCCCCTCACTGTGCTCAAGGACAAACCAGAAAATGCGTTTCTGGGTGAAACTGAGGCGGTTGTTATTGGGCCGTCTTCTGTTCTGATTCTTTCCTCAGCTGGGGCCAGTGGAATCGTTACAAGGGGTTTGAAGGGCGATCGACAAACGTCAGAGTGCTTGCCTTTGAAGCCAGATTCCAACACGAACTTGACCAGTCAACGAACCCTGATTCCGGTTTCCTCGCATAGCATTATTGGTGGCATTGAAGCTGGATCTGAGTTTATTTTGGTTGAGTCCATCTTTGCCATTTCTTCGGAAGCCAACCGCGGTCAAAGTCTATCACAAAAGGGGCTTATGGAGCGCTGGCTAGATGTACCGGCTATCCAACTCAGATCGAACTCAGCGATTGTCGATGCGGCAGACACAATAGTAATTAATTAGCTGAGGTACATGTAGCTATTCCTTGAAATTAGGGTGTAATTGCGAAGTTGAGTTGCTGTGTGTATTGCTTCTGATCTTCATGTAGACTCCTAAGTATGTTTTGTTATGATAATGTCATGGTCGAGCTCAAAGCCCAGCTGTCGAGACTGCCCCCATGCCAGTCGGCGTAATATTGAGTGAGCTGCCAGTCTTGTCAAGTTAACCTGTTTCACAGGGTTCCTTTCATTAGATAGTGTAGCGGCAGTTCATACATAATCATGTGGTCCAAGATACCTAGTGTGCTAATATCTCAGAGCTTTTGACTTGTCTGAGCGAGGACCTAGCCCTTCAGCGAGTTAAGGTTCATCACGCAAGTTCGCAAACTTGAAAGATAGAACTACAAACTCTGCCTCCATTCATTCTGTCCCCGACAGAGCCTTGCTCAAACCCTGAACTCGCTGTGTTAAGGTCGTTTCCTGATACAGGAATCGCGCAGCTCAAAGCCAGGCGGTTGTTTTCAGCTTAGCAACTTTAAGCAGTCCTCAGACAGTTCTTTGTCGATGGTAGATTGTCCTTGATACCACCGTATTCACATCCACATCATCGGAAAAGCACATTTGCAGTCTAAGCGAGCAGCAACGCCGTGACACAGGCCACCACAAAAGTATTCATGGCAAATCTGCCTACGGAATAGGTTTGCACGGCAGCTGACGGGAAATCGCTTTCGGGCTGCCGACTGCCTTCAGTGACATTGCTAGGGGCCAAGCAAACAACCTCCGCTTGTCCTCCATCCGAGCCCCCCACTCGCGAAGTGATGAGCATTGGAATTGGTTGACGGACGCGCAGATCGTATACAACAAACGAGTCCCTCGCGAAGTCGGGTGGAAGAATCCCGGTCCCTACGAAACCGCCATAGGTGCGATATCCCTCCGGAAGATCGATGTGGGGGATGTGGTCGACGGTGCACCCAGAATCAGAAAAGTTGGAAGGTGCAGCTACAAATGGGCTGGTTAGATATCAAGTAAACATGGATTCCAGGAACAAAGTGTTACATACCACGACCAACAACAGTGCTGAAGCCGCATGCTGCGCTAATGTCCGCCCTGGGGCAATCGCCCTCTGCTGGCGGCGGTGTACTTCGGAGGGCCCTTATGCAATTGTCGCTCAGCACGCCTTCGCAGGACCTAGAGGCGTCGTCTCCAGAATAAGTCAAGGTATCATTCCGTCCCGGCATCAAGTACATGCAGAAGTCCGTGTTGTTGCCCTGCTGAGTGCCAATAAATGACTGAGGGACACTGAGGTAGACGCTGAGGTCTTGCATAGTGACCCAGGGGCCAAATTTCATGTTTTCGCCGCGTAAATCAGTCAAGGTGTAAGACAGATACCAGTCATCTTCCTGGTTCGGAATCAACTTGAATGGCCTTGTCCCAGTAGAGTTGAATTGTGTGCGACCGCCGCCAATGTTTTGAATTGCTGAAGGGCAGTTTTCAAGAGAGGTGGTGTTTGTTGATTGTCCCAGTGACTGGGAGCCAATGTACGCGAGGGCTAAGAGGGGCTTGATACTTTGAATCATGATAGCTGTGAAATACTGCCTTAAACTTTTGATCACGTATGAAATGTGAAAAATTGGCTAGAAAAAAGTAAGATGATCTCTGAAGACAAGATATAATGGTTCCTCAATGTCTTAGCTGCCGTCATCGAGATCATCCAAAACTGTGGGACTGTGTATCTTGCGTTTGCGCCCGGGAAACATTCCTCCTGCGCGCCAAGAGCGGATGATTATCTTGGCATTGTGGAAGACGTGAGGTGATGCCAAGTAACGGACGGTTGGAGCGTTGCGGTAGATGAAGTAACGTTAGTCATTTGGTTTGGATGAATAGACTTGGTGGGATTCGAGCAGAGGCCAAGACCGTAGAAGACAGAACAAGTCAGGAGAGGAGGCTCAAACGACGTCATTTCACATATGTTGCTCGAAGGCGTATGGGTGAATGTAATAAGGAACTTTTGCCAATCTGGATAGTACTTGGGTTGCCCACATCATGTCCGATAGGTACTTGTTGCCTAACCAAATTTTCCAAACACGTCGCCTACATTAGGAACTCCGACTGCCGCGCTTACCGTTTCCCTTCTTGGCAATGCACAATACGGCTCCAAAGGTTCAGACAAGCGACGCAGCCAAGACTGGCTATACTGTAGCTATGAGGGGGATGGCCATCAAGGTTCTTGATATCACAACATGCCATAGTGTTCCAATCATCACTTATTTCCGGTTCTCATCATCTATTATGGTAGACTATTCGCATATCCAAGATTGACAGAAATACCTAACATCGCATACCTAGTTTTGGGCACCGCATTTAAAACGAACTGGCTAAGTATGATCGTAGCATTGATCAAACCGTCTTGAGATGACATTCCATTTCAACTCTTCGTAGCCGTTGATTACAAAGGTTGTGTACAAATCGAGCTCAGTGCGTCAAACAAATTTTCACCGGGTAACAATTGAATTACTTTTGGAGAGAACTTTCGTTCCTCCGGTCTACGTGCAGCCAGCTTCATGATTCGCCCCAACGATAGTGCCTGTAAGGCACCCTTTTCAGCCGTAAAAGACCCATAGGTAGAAATGACCGATGACCTCTGGGCAACTGAGACAGCATCGACTACGGTTATTGTGTTCGCTTGAGGTGACCGCAGTTCGCAGATGCAAACGCTGAACCCTTCTTCATCTATCTAGTGTGCCGGGCATAGTATTTGAGTAACCCCTCTCACACCTCAAATAGATCGTCGAAGGAAATTCATTGAATTTAGTTAGAGTAGCAGTAAAATTCACGTCAAGTTTGAGTGGAGTAGGCTTCAACACATCTAAAAAAAAAAAAAAAAAAAAAAAACCATACCAAATCTGGTAGATATCTTTGAATCTTTATTGCATTTGTGATCGTGCAACAAGCACTCATAGACGTTAAACATTGAAGCACTTTGCTATACCCTTTTTTTTTTTTGATAAAGATGATAAACATCAACCCTTTGAGATTTATCTGGTTTATTAAGAAAGTCACCACCGTATTAGCAAACTCTTACACCTAGGTAAGCAACCTTTTGGTTTTCTAAGCACGAGACCTTAACACTGTGACACCAAAAGACAAGATCGATCAAGTCCTCAGTTGGAGGCTGAGAGGTTCAGTTGGAGATGGAGACCAATGGATTCACGTGGAGGCAAAGTTGGAGACTTGGAGACTTGGAGACGGCCACTTTTTGTCGTGGAGCAACATAGTGCTTGCATCATTGCCTGATTACAATACACCGTCTGCAGTACCAGACCTGTGCTGAGTTTCGAGGCACTTCTAGTCTCAGATCTCAATTCCATAGATGCAACACATGTATACACGTCGTCGTCCATGTGGCTCGTTTCGCCAGTTGTAGATTGGTACTGCGGTGGGTCACTCTGTTGGAGAGGATCAGCACGGCTCTGGCCGCTAGTGGACCCGCTCCTAAATCTTGATGCAAGACGACACATTCTTTTCATCGGAGACAAACACACATACTATAGACATGATTCAAGCTTCAAGCTTTTATGGGATCTAGTTGTGTGTTCGGCGCAGGAAGTTATCAGGAATATTATGACATCACTTTTGAATTAAAGGCCTAGAACTTGGACAACATGCCCATGATTTTCAAGCTTTGTAGTGGACACCAATCCAAGATGGTCAGCATCAAACACGTTCAAGATGGATAACAATGACGTTTGATTTATAAGAAAGAGAATTACAAACCTGAGAGACTATTTGTAATCGATCTGGAGATTACTAAATGCATTCTATACTCTGAAACCTTCAAAGGTTCATTGTAGATGGTGAAGTAATTGGGAGTAACTGTATAAGTACGCCCGTCCTCCGCCATCATTGAGAAGACAACGAACGGTACAAGCATCTGAGAGAACTCAAATTGTTCAAGATTCCATAATATCTCCTGTTTAAACCGCCTCGCGATCTAACGTACTTGCAACAATGACACCCAGCTCGACCAAACAGTGGCTCGTTACTTGTAACAACAAGGGCTTCGATGGCCTCGAGTCTCAGGAGGTGGCGATTCCTCAAATTGGCGAGACTGAGGTTCTCGTCAAATTAAACGCCGCCGCTCTCAATTACAGAGATCTGGTCATTGCAAAGGTAAGCAGTATATGGCTTTGCTTCACGCCTATTGATTGGAGGTTGGGCTGAACACATTGAAAATGGCTAACCTATTCAATTGAATAATATAGGGCACCTACCCTCACCCTAACAAACTTCCAGTTGTTCCCCTGTCTGACGGAGCTGGCGATGTTATTGAGGTCGGCTCCAAGGTAAGGCAGTTCAAGAAAGGTGACAAGGTAGCGACCGTGTTCCTCCAGAGAAGCCTGTACGGGCCCATGAATCGAGATGCGTGGCCCGGTGGTATCGGAGGTGTTCTTGACGGAACATTGCGCCAATACGCAATCTTCCCAGAGACCGGCCTTGTCAGATCCCCTCGGAATCTCACCGATATTGAGACTGCTACTCTGCCTTGTGCGGCGTTGACCGCTTGGAACTGCCTGTACGGACTTAAACAGGTCAAGCCGGGCGAAGTCGTCCTCACTCAAGGAACAGACGGTGTGAGCATGTTCGCGCTCCAGGTACGGCTAAGCGTTACATCTAAAGGTTGGAAGCCAAAAATCATTGTGAAGTTGCTAATTTAGCGGAATAGTTCGCCAAGGCGGCGGGTGCAACGGTCATCGCAACCACGTCTTCAGCAGAGAAAGCCGAGAAGCTCAAGAAGCTCGGTGCGGACCATGTCATCAACTACAAGGAGAACCCGAACTGGGGCAAGATAGCTCGCAGTCTAACTTTGAATGGCGAGGGCGTTGACCACATCATCGAAGTTGGAGGCGCTCAAACCATTGAGCAGAGCCTGGAAGCCATCAAGTTCGAGGGCGTTGTGACTATCATCGGCTTCCTCGCTGGACAGGACGTGAAAGCCAGTGTATTTGAGTGCTTCCAAAAGGTCTGCACCACCCGTGGCGCCGTTGTGGGTTCTCGGGCTATGATGGAGGAGATGGTTGCCGCTATTGAAGCAAACGACATCCATCCCGTTGTTGATGAAACCATTTTTACTTTTGAACAGGCTAAAGAAGCTTACCAGTACCTTGTAAGTCGCCTAAAACTTTCGGGGCACCTCCAAATAAAGTTGTATGCTAACGAAGGGCATGAAGTGGGACGCTAAGCACTTTGGCAAAGTTGCTATCAAAATTGAGTAACAATGAGGTTTGAATCTTACTTTTAGGCATACTTGAATGTCAACTGGCATGTGTGTTGGAGACTGTTAAATTGAGAAGGAGGATCATGCGCATAAAAGCCCTCGCGGTATGAGGTAGCATGCCATGACAGAGATACACAAGTCTAACACGCAAATTGATAAGAGAGGGTACCTAACTTGTTTTCCAACTCCATCGCATCTTGAAACTACGGTTTGTTGTATCAAACCATGTGCGCATATACGAAAAGCCCAATACGGGTACTCGTAACTGTATGTTAGATAAACGATATTAGTTTGATGCAATACACCTGGGGTTCATTGAGCAAAGAGTGATTCATGTTGTTGATTGAGTGATTCTACCCATTCCGGTTGAAGCGGGGTTCTGTTTTGTATCTACCCGTTCTTCCCGGTTTCAGCATATTGCAAGAATGCAACTAAGCTAGATTTCCTAGCATTTTATCCGGACGCAGGCGTCAATCTAACAGCAAATTGATAAGAGAGGGTACCTAACTTGTTTTCCAACTCCATCGCATCTTGAAACTACGGTTTGTTGTATCAAACCATGTGCGCATATACGAAAAGCCCAATACGGGTACTCGTAACTGTAAGCTAGACCCCGGTAACTCGATAATATAGCCTTGGAATTTAGTGGCAAGTTAGTGGTCATATGGCATGTTGGTGTTAGCGGTATGGGCTTAGGGCAGCACCTGCTCCTGCTAAGAGACATGGGTGTGAAGTGGCGTGCTAATTGACCATTCACCCACGGAGTGATCACGCTGCACCTAGTCCTGCATGTCAGCAAAAAGATGCGAGCTTGCCTAATCACGGAGCTCGCCTTGCCAGCCATTGGAAAGCTAGCGATCGCCAAGAGACAGTAACGACAAGGTACCCTCATCATTTCGAGGAAGGACAAAAATATCCCGTCGCTTAGGCAGTGAGAGAGTACAACTGTAGCAATATAAGTACAAAAGTTCAGACGGCTGTTCATCGGTGTTTGCTCTTCAGCACTCTGCACTATCAAAATTCCATAAAATATCCAACGAATCTGAAAGCCATGGCAGTTGTCCCTATTCAACACAAAGTGTCAGAAGAGCTAAACAGCGATAACCGCGATGTTGCAGATCTGTGGAAGGACGCGCTTAAGGCTTATAAAGGCATTGTCGGCTTCGACCTTGAACGCAAGTTTGATGATGTCCAAGGCATGATCAACCAAGGCACTAAAGAGATGGAAAACTTCCATAAATTTCGGCATAATGACAAAAAAGTTGACAAGTTGCGAAGCCTTTTTGCGGCGAATCTCGACTACATTGAGAAAGGCGCACAACAGCTCGTCTCGGCTGCTGTGCCAGCCTTTCCCCCAGCTGCTGCCATTGGGACAGCGGTTACTTTCATGCTGAGCGTAAGCAATAAGATTGTGTACCCCTAGCGATGCGAGACTTACGAGAGGGCTAGGCATGTCGGAAGGTTTCGGCTGACTACGACATTGTCATGGTCTTTTTCGAAGACATGAACAGTTTCTTGCAGCGAATCGTTATTTTAGAGACCAGGCTGCCAAAGTATAAGGCATATCAGAACTGTTTGATGGATGTCTTCACGTCCTTTCTTACTATGTGCGGTTTTGCGCACAAATACATTGAACTTGGGCGATTCAGTAAGTGAATTGTCTCTGCATCCTTGCTGCCGAGACTCTGTCGCCTTTTCCTGTCTTGTTGCTGTGACAATTTTGTGTTTATTTGTTCTGCGAACTAATCATACTGTTTCTCACGGTGCCTGGCATGCTCTATATTACCTGATCAATTTAAAGGCCCCTGGTCTCAGCTTTATGCCATGCACTTTATCCAGGACGGAGAAAGGCTAACTTTTGCAGAAAAATGGATCAGCAACCTAATCCAAGGTGAAGACAGCGAACTAGGAGGGGCTAGAAAGAAAATGGACTTGAGAATTCGTCGTCTGCAGGAAGCCACCGAGTATGCCATTCTGGGCAACACAGAAGAGATCCAGAAGATGACCTCTGAGCTGCAAATAAACCAACAGTCACATACTGCGATGCTCGAGGAACAAATGCAGGTCATGAATGTTGTCCGAGACACTACTGAGCATATTCGCAACGACATGGCCAAACTGCTCAGGGCGTTTGAGGACCAACAAAGAAAGGACCGCGGCAGTGAGCAAAGGATCAAAACTTCGGCTGCAGAACATAAAACACCACCATCAGCGAATGGAATTCGGAACACATTGCCGGAGGTGATAGGTGAAAATCATGAGTACCAGATTCTGAAAGAGACTGCTGTGGCCGATACATGCTCCTGGATCTTTCGGGAGCCTGAGTGGGAGAAATGGCTGAATCAAGATGCGGCGCAACATGCTGTTCTGGCCATCACTGGAAGCCCAGGCTCTGGAAAGAGCCATATTGCGTTATCCATATTTGAGAAGCTCAAACAAGAAGCCGAGAAAGATGCATCTAAGCATACATGTGCAGCACAATTCTATTTCCGCGAGCAGAACGAAAACTTATCCTCTTTCGTCAATGGCATTGCTACTGTCATCAACCAAGTGGCCGAGCAAAGCCCACCGCTCTGCGAATTGATATACGCTGAGATTGTCAAGGATAATACCGATATCAACTTTTGGAGCCCCCTTGATCTCATTCAAAAGATCCTTGGTGTAGCATTCAGTAAGACATCGAAGAATCGCCTCCTCTTAGTATTCGATGGTATCGACGAGATCGATGAAGATTATCTTCCCGAGTTCGCACAGTTCTTGAATATCTTGAATGAGGATGAATTGAGAATCTCTTGTGTCTTCACCGCCCGACCTGAAATTGCAATTCAGGGTTCAGAGTCAACTCCGACACTAAGTATTACAGTAACAAAAGAAAAGCAAATGGAGGACCTACGAACAGTCATATGGGCTCGTATGAATTCTTTAGACCATCTCAAGTGGTTCAGCCGATACGTTCAGCAACGGGTGGCTGACAAGTTAGAAGAATCAGCACCAAGTAAGTAAACCATACGGGTTATCGATGGCAAAGCTAACCATGTAGGCCTTCTCTATGCCGAACACCTGCTAGGGAAACTCAATGCACTTGGAAGAGAGGGTGCAGTAATAAGAAGTCTAGAAAGGCCTCTGCCGTCTACTCTTCACGAGTTGTACGAAACATCCATAGAAGAATGCATTCGCCGTACTGAATCCAGTTATCGCGAACTCGTTGTCAAATTGCTTCATTGGACGGCATTTTCGTTCAGGCCTTTGACACTTGACGAAGTAGTTTCATTACTGAGATATTGGGTCGGGTCTAGCGAATTCGATATTGAGGATATTCCGGCACCATTTGCAAAGATCCTCCAAATTGGTGGTGCTGATTCTGACGCGGAAAGTCGAGCAAAGATGGAATATCGCGGTGGGTGGAGCACTGCTGTCGCTGAACTGGATACCTCTCAGAAATCTTCCAGCTCAGACGGCATCTACGATGACGGAGCCCTTTCTATCAAGTTCAAAGAGCGATCAATGCGAGGCTTCTATCTTGCAGAACCTACAACTCCGACAAAAACTCATCTTCAGCCCTCAGAAGTTCACCGCCAAATGTTCCTTGACTGTGCTAGACTTATATGGCCAAAAGAGTTTGATCGCACAGAAATCGATGAGAACCTTAGAGAATATGCTGTCAGCCACCTTATCACTCATTGGCGCAATATCGACTTGGAGAAGCATGACGTGCAACAAAGAGTTGAAGCAATGGAGGCTCTGGCTTCAACTTTTCTTGATCTGAAGTCTTTCGCAATGGTCCAAGAGTCTAAGGAGCCGATATACAAGGAACACATCAACGAGGAGTTCTTTGAGCAGCTCGCAAAGTGGAGTAACATTCTTAATGTCGTCGGAACCCAGCTCAGCACAGATGCAGCAGAGTGGTGGAATGAGGTTGCTACTCGTCCTCAAAACTGCCTTCTTCATCTTATCCAAGGGCATATACGCAGACTATCTTTTGCTACAGATCTTAGAGATGTCTGGATCTCGTATCTAGCAGTAAGATCGGCTCTAACAGCTGTAAGTTTTATCTCTCCGCCTCTTGCCTCCCTCTTTCACATTTCCTTGCGAAGAGCTAACTAAGAGTTTTCAGGTTCACCAGGATACGATCTTAATAGACCAAGCAAGGAAGAATTTTGAGTCAGAACTCGGGGATACCTCTGATTATCTTGATGATAAACAAGCAATTCTTGGTATTGAGGGCCTCTTTAAGGACGTTCAGCATGGTTCAAAAGGTTATCACTCTCTCGCGTCTCTTCTAATCTATTTCGAGCAAGTAAAGCCTGCAGAGGTCACTTGCCAAAAGGCCATTGATGCCTCCCAGACAGCACTGGAAAAGGTGGAGTCACTCCAACTTATGGCTCGGGTCCACCGGAGAACCAACCTGCAAGCCGCATATGAGGATATACTAGGTTGTCTAGAACTCCTCGAAGATGAAGATGTGCCTACATTACTACGTCGTACGGTTTACGTGACAAAGGCCAGAATCGAAACCGAACTTGGGAAGCGCGATGAAGCGGCGGCCTCGTACGCGAAGGCAAGATCGGTTGACCCGAATGGACTCGCCACTGGTGATGTTCTTGAAGAAGAGCTTCAGCTGTTTGAGAAAGTGCCCGGAAAGAAAGTGTTTATGAGTACTCTGAAAGGCTGGAGCGCACTCGAGCGGCTGACCTGGCTTTGCTGGCAGTACGATGTCCAAAGTCACGAACGAGTACTTCTTCCCTTAGATGTGGCCGTCGAAACAGGAGAAACCGCCTTCATCATCGAAATGTATCAAGAGTCGATTAAGTATCTGGATAACGTTAACGCGGCGGCACCGATGCGAGTCGATCTAGCATACTTCCAAATTCACGTTCGCGGTGACCTCGAAGCTGCTCGGAAACTACTCGACGAAGTTTTGGACAGCGGATCCACTGGATGGCCTTACGCTGTTACTGGCGAGAGCCCCGATAAGACCTTGAGTCGTGCCATAAACATTCAAAGCGAAGTTCTGTATCGTCTATTCCAAGATTCGTCAGATGTCAAGTATAAAATGGAACTTCTTGCGTCACTTGAAGGCCTCCTGACGCGCAATCTTCCCCTCGACGTACCACCCATCTCAAACACATCTCTTCTCTACCACCACATTATCCAGGCTCGGATGTATTTCAAGCTGGGGCCGACCATCAAGTTCCAGGAGACTCTTGAGAGTGTGATCACTGCTTCTATCGATGCCTTAAATGACGAAGTGAGTTGGAACGACTGGGAGAATCTGATGCGACTAGCAACCTCTCTCCAAATCCTTGGAGGGTGTATCAGAAATGGGAATAAGCTTGAAAGAATGGCTCAAATTTTGCTCTCTGCCCAATTCTGCCACCTTGAATCCGCAACTGGGAGTCAGGAAGAAGAGACTAAAGATGAAGGCGGTAACGACGATAAAGACAACCAAGGTTTGAACAAACGTAATGAAGAGGGTGGGAAGCCAATCAACGAGGGTGACTTGGACGACAATGCTGATCAGTGGTGTTTTGGGGACTGTGAACCCAGAGTCAAATTTCTCTGGTGGGGAGAGCGGACTGCGTACCGGTGTCTGGTCTGTTTCGATTGTTTCCTTTGCGAAGACTGTTACCACAAAAGAAAGGCCAGCAGCAATTGTGCAGAACGCAAAAAGGCAACAGTTCTGTGCGCAGGTGATCATGAATACATCCGAGGCCCCATCAAAGGTTGGAAAGGAGTGGTAGGAGGAAAAGTATTGATTGAGGGTGAAGAAGCGGTGGAATTCAGCGCCCTTCTCCAACAAATCGAGGAGATATGCAAAGAGGCCTGGGAGTCTTTCTGGAAGAATTAGGATCGACTCTTGAACCCGAGCAAGTTATCGAACTCAACATATGGAGACATCTGCTATTCCCGCGTTTTGGTGAAACCACAACTGACACTACCATGCCCTTGGCCGATGGAGTTGGCTGAATGATGGATGCAACCACAAACGCTTTCCACCTTATTCTTTGAGTAACCGTTAGCTACTGGAAATCTTATATTTGCCCACTATCGCCGCTGGTGCTTGTTGTTGCCGATATTATCATCCTCAGTATTGCCCGTCTCGAGCTATGTGCAGCTTGGCCTTACAGAATTGCCATCCTCGAGGGAGACTCCAACCAGACGAGTGCGTTTGTTGTAATATCTACAGGTAGCAACACTGCAGTCCACCTTTCTTACCTCTTGCTTGGGCTCTCTGGGGGAAGCCAAGATCAAGTCCTTCAATGACGTCCCAGGCGCTTGGATGATTTGCGGATCCGTTGATGCTGGATGCTTGGCGCCGCACCTCTTCCAGACCGAGTTCATGCGAGAATTAGCCATGCACAGGAGTACGAGTACGATTCGCACTATCATCAAAGACAGTATGAAAGACAAGACCCTTGCCAGACTGAAAAGCTGAGGCGAGAGTGGCTAACTAACGAGCGATGATTGCCAAGTTATTAGTCTCGTCGGAAATCGGTAGCTTCTGCTCAGTCGCACTAAGGCCGTGAGTAAAGTCGACAATTTGCTCTGAGCCAGCAACAAGGATATTGGAAAGGGGTTTCTTCTGAGCCATAGTGTTGAGGACGCATTCGGTAAGCCGCAGATGTCTACTGCATTTGATTAAAGATAAGCTAAAGGGGGGCGGTGCAGAATTGTTGAAGTGACTTACTTTCTCGGAAATCCGGCTCCTTCGGTATTTAAGTGTATTGACTGAGACTCGCATCTCATTATTGAGCGGGAGGATTCGATTGTTGAACCCATTTTCTCCTTTGGGGAAAGGTTTGCTAAATCAACAGATACCAGAAAAACCATCATTTATAAAGAAAACGAGTGTGTCTATAATCTATTCTAGTCATGAAAGAATGTCAGCATCGCTTGTGTGCTCGATGCATGCCCATCAGTAACTCCAAATACACCATTCCATATAATCCCATGTCTAATATCAAAATCAAGTAAAGATCAGACTCCAACGCAATGCAAAACACAACCATATTTACGCCATAGCAAGTACGTAGACAATTTTTAAAAGGTGTATCGGAAATCAGAAGCATCGGTCTCCTAGAGCAAGCGAAAGCAAGATTCGTCAGCAGGTGAAGTCTTTTTGAAGGCTTCGAGGAAACACAACTTACTTCCGAGGCTTCCAACTCAACCTCACCACGGTCGGCCCGGCAATTCCAGTAGTAGAAGTACGCACTTAGGGCAAGAACTACAATAATGTTCAAAACTGCGCATCCTAAGCAAGTGCTAAGACCCGGAAGGTATCGTGGCTTGTCTTGGCTTCTATCCAGATGTTAGTACCGAACAAGGAGATACAATGGTGATTCAGGATAATTTGTAATATGTATCAAAAATAGGTAGGTTGAAAGTTCGTAGAGCAAACGTCTTACCTGAAAACCATCGAGCCCGCAATTCCTCCAATACCACCAAAAGCGACAGTCAAGCCACTTGAGAAAGCTCGCTTCCACTGCCCGCGAATGTTATTTGCTTGGTATGCCATTACTACTGGTATGGACGAAAATGACCCAGCAGTGATGAGAAAAACTCCAACGTAGCGCACAGCCACGTCGCCATGAAAACCAATCAACACGGTGCCAACAATAGCGACAACCATGTCACCAATAATGATAGGGCCTCGCATCATGTAGTAATCTCCAAGCCAGCCGGAAATGTACATAATAATTGCTGCAAAGAGATAGGGCGGAGCAATCAAAATCTGGGCTTTGCCTGTGCTGAAACCCATGTTCTCTTTGAGAATGATTGGGAGGAAGAAAGATAAGCCTATACCGATCCATGATATTAGCGGGAACGCATACTTGAGTTGAGATAATGATGGGTGCGATAGAGTTGAAAGGAGTAAGAGCTCACCAAAGTTAACAACCGCTTGGTTGAAGTATATCAAAGCCATAGCCCAGACCTTGACGTCGGCACCACCCCGGATGAACTTCTTGACACTGAAAGCCGGTAACTTCGCATCACCTCGATCTGCCTGAACACGCGAAACGACCCACGCCGTTTCCTTTTGAGAGAGAAACGCCCATGTTTTTTTCTGAGCATCGGGAAATCCAACCAGAAGAAAATAACCTAGAACGCCAAGAATGCAAGTGATGACACCTTCCATCAGGAAGATCCAAGACCAGCCAGTGAGGCCACCCTTCCCGCCTAGTTGCGTAAGCTATTGAGAGTCAGTTAGCTATATTCTCAGAGCCAATATCTCAGCACATCGCCACAACAGAGATTATGCTCCGTAGATCCGTGGATTGATAATGCTTGTTTAGTGTTGATTACTTACTCCGAAGGCCAAAATCCCGGAAAATGCAGTGGCGAGGCACACCACTATGTAAAAGGCCGAATATCTTTTGCCAACTTCATCTTCGCTAGAGTTAGTATTCCGAGGCACTTGTCATACAGCAGACTTATCTCCACTCACAGCGGGTGTACCAAGTACTGAGAAGGTAAACACATGTGGGGAAGAACCCGGAATCCAGTGCACCCAGTATGACTCTCAGCGCGACCAACTGACCCCAATGGTTGAGAAAGCCCATAGCAATGACTATACCTCCACAAAGCATTGTGATTCCCGTGAAGTAGGCTCTCGGCCCAATGGTTCGGGCAAGAACAATCGATAATGGCTGAAATGTGGTGTACGTTGTGAAAAAGACAAGGCTCACGATTGACTAAAGTTCTCTCGTTAGCATCTGAGAGTATATGCTCACTCGGGCAATGTTCCCTGCAGCCATGTCGTTGACTCACATATCTGTTACCAGTGAGCTTCAAATCCTCTGTCATTCCAGCGACAGCAGCAGAGGGTAGATTTGAACGATCGATAACGGAAAAGCAGTACAAAAGCCCGACAGTAGCTACGACTCTAATATCAACCCGTCTCATGATTCTCTTTTGCTCTTCTGGGGAGAACTCTTCGGAGGTCATCGTCACTGTTCTGTCAAGGTCGCTCGTTGAATGACTGAGGCTGTTTTCGCCCTGCTTGTCGTTCGAGGTCGACATTTTGTTCAATGTTTGATGCTTGATTTGTTACTGGAAAGGTTTGTTGTGTGGCAATATCAAACTGAGAACATGAGCCAGGCGCTCGTCGATATTTATCATCTGAGTTGAAAGTACAAATGTTTCAAGGGCAATTTTTATTAGCATCAGACTTTGATCTTTTCTCGCTTGTCGTAGTTTCTCGGCTTTGACTGATCGTGATGGAGCGTGGCGATGCCCTCATGTGTTTTACTAAGACACATACTCAAAACGCATCTTCTTGGTGGGCGCCGAATCATCGTGAGTCGGGCACCGAATAAGCGACTATGGAGCACTTAAATTTGGCAACCTCGGCGCTGGACATGCTGAAGCGGGGGCTTTCGGACAAATTTTGATTCTAGGGTCTTCCAAATTTGGCTTGGCTCAAGCTACTAAGGGTTTCCCCTGCTACGACGGATAGCGTGCTTGTGATGTTTCTGCAAAATCAGTCATTCAGAGACGAAATGTCTGGCCTTGGCAAGGTCTGCCATCATGTGAGCGAAGGCGGGTTCCTGAACACTTCCAAATCGCGATGGCATGGAGGTCCTTCGGCTAAACCGCTTTGGGCGCTTTATTAAGCAGAGCGTCCAGAATAGCAATCGAAGATGTGCTAACTTGTCTCGATCAGCTTAGTTAACGATTTGCTATTCTTTGGCTTTTGGCGGACTATGACTAAGTAGTGGGGAGAGAATTGTCAACAAGCGTGACGGATAAGTAAGCACCGAGAAAGTGGAGAAAACATCAAGGTAGCTCCAGACATCGGCGATGAACTAGACGACTTTGCCGCGGGATTTAGCAAAGTGTTGGGGCGAATCCGGTGTCGGGAAAGTATTGACAATTGCTGTCAAAACCCTTGTGAGGTTGAAGGATTGTTAAAACTGGGGGAAGTATACACATGCCCACGTTGACGGCGACTCGGAAGTCCCTGCTGCAGGTTTCCCGGTAGATGGGACGATAGTCTTCTGCAGATCAATCCTGCGTGTCGGACTTCCACACAACTGGCTGGGTTACTGTAGGTCATAGTATTGTTATCATTGTCAACCACCGAATTTACTCCCAACACATGGCAGCAAGCGTCTCTTTCAAGACCACTGTCGGTTTGGTATTCCCAAAAAAAGATCCTTAGGGCTGACGTTCATGCAGCATGCATGCGGACAGGGTAGGGGTTCTCCATGGAATCGACGAACTAATCTGAGAGATGACACGCACGGCCCCCAAAAGCCATCGCGAGCCAGCTCTGTCTTTACTACTATCCTAGCTTCGTCAAGCAGACCAGGGTGGTATAGTAAGCAACTATCAGTATCCAAATTTAGTTCAAGATACAGTCTTGTTGCGACCAGGGATGAAGAGCAGCTTGTTGGCTCACCGCAAAATTGCCCCAATTAATAGTTTTACCTTGCGAAGAGCGGCTGAACATTTGAACACTTGTCCCCTCTACCTGCATGGATAAATAGCAACAAGCACTGCACGGGCCCATTGGAACGGACTCCTGAGTTTTCTACCTTATTCAACTCAGAAGAAAGACGCCTCACCCATCACAGCATGAACTAAATGCTTTGCAGTGATGGAATGATAGACAAAAACATAAACTATGTCAGTTCTGATTGTGAACACATCTCAAATACCGCATACATCTGGCTAGGAAAAAACAATTGGCTTAAAGGCATGGCTGCTTGCCTCTTCATTTATTTTTCCCTTTTGGCGACCCTTAATGTGCGATCTCCAAGGTTTACCTTGACCCCATCACCTAAGGCGCCCTGTCCTGGAGACAACCATGTGGCTTCACCGCCCGAGAGTCAGCTCAAAGTGTTTATTTGGTTGTTACCAATTATTGAACACCATGTAGGACCTGATTCCAGACCGTTGAGGAAGGTATCGGATCGGAGTTTCGGCCTCCCCAATGTGGGTATTTAAGCCCCTGTTACCCCGCATTGGCCCACGCATTTTCGCCTTTGCGCGTCTTTCTGAAGATGGCGTGTTCTGCGACTCAGCTACAACTCTTCCAACGGCACGCATTGTTGTGACCAAAAAAGGCTGGACACTTGTTCTGCTTTTCTTCCTTAAAAGAACTTCATGAATTTTCATCTTATGAGGTCTCATCATGGTAGTTGACGAAGAAGAAACCCAACGCTATTTCACAAGAGGTCGACTTACTCGTGGTCGAGGCTTAAGGAAGACAACTGGATGGTATTCATCGCCTTTTCTAATCAGATATGACAGAATTACATGGTGCACCTGCTGAAATTATTCCTCTCACAGTGCCACGTGTCGTCGCCGTCACGTTAAATGTGATGAGAAGAAGCCTGTCTGCAGCGGTTGTGAGAGGACGAAACACCATTGTACTTATGATCCGCCACGTCCGCCCAACAGACAACAGGCCCGTGTTTTGAACCAGCGTCATAAACAGAGTGAAAACAGCAATGCACTAAGACAGCCCAGATCAACGCCGGATGCTCAATCAGATAGTCCCAGTGAGCCGACAAATCTCCCACTAGCCGCCAAGCCAACTGATGAGCAACCACAACCGAGCACGAGCGAACTTCTTTCGAATATCATTATTGATGGTGGCGTGGTCACTGGCAATTCACCGACTCTTGCAAACAATGAAGTTTTGAATTTCCAACAAGAATCCCCCGTACAGGTTTCGACAGAAGCAACAAGCACAAGCATCACCCCACATGCTTCAACGACCACAAGCAGTTCTTTTGGAGCCAATTTGGAGAATGCCACGGCAATATGGGTTGACCTGTTGTTACAAGATGCTGCCATTCAGGAGCTTGATTTGGCCAACTTCGACGTCGATACAGAGAGTTTCAATGTTCTTGGAAGCTCGGTCGTGAAGTCACCAGTAGTTAGAAGACCTTTGCCGAGGCTTGCTGAAAACGGCTCACCTCCAACTCCGTGCACATCCAACTCTTACTTGCTTGAAAGGGATTCGAACCTAAATGATTTTCACCAATTTGAAAAGCAAAATTGGTATTCGAAAAACGCTTTGCAAATCTCGCGGCACGAACATAACGTTTTTCAAAATTTTGTAAAGCACATCAGTCTATGGGTGAGCATATTTGTTACTCTTCCTAACACTCTTAAGTCCATTGACACATTTTCCTCGGACTCAGATGGACTTTTTCGATCCAAAAAGACCATTTGGGACTCATGTTCCTCAGCTCGCTGTGAGTTTCATTCCTAAGTTGCTAGTTTCGGGCATCAGGGCTAACCAAAGCGTTTTCTCATACTGTAGATGCATAATATTGGCCTTATGAACGCAATTCTCGCACTCTCAGCGCGTCATCTATCCTTGAATACTTACTCTGGTGACAAAAGTACTCAAGATCCAAACGACGCATTAAGATACTACTACAAGACTCTTCATTATATTCAAGAGGCGATGCAATACGACTCATACAAGACGAGTCTCGAACTACTGGCTACCTCTTCTATCGTGTCCGCCTACGAAATGCTAGACGGATCCAGACAAGACTGGGAGAGACACTTGAAGGGCGTCTTTTGGATACAACGCTCTCAAGTAATCCACGGCGACTCAATGGGATTGAAGCAGGCAGTCTGGTGGGCGTGGCTTTGCCAGGATGTCTGGGCCGCTTTTCGTGAGAAGCGGCGTCCGTTCACGTTCTGGAAACCACTGAAGACATTCGATGAACTGGATCCCTACGAGCTTGCCGCTCGGTCCGTCTATATATTCGCCCAGGTTGTAGGGTTTTGCTCACATGAGGATATTGAAGCAGGGAAGCGCGACCCCCTTGCTAGGATCGCTGCAGCAGATGCGCTCAAAGATAGATTGGAAGACTGGAGGCAACATCTAACAGCAGAATTTCAGCCCCTTCCATACGCCACTTGCGCTGATAATGTCTTTGAACCCATTTGGATACACCCACCCGTGTTCGGTAAGTCCCTCGATGACACTGACACTACCCTTCGGGGCATTCATTAACATTCTCTAAAGCGGTAGCGTTTCAAATCTACTATTGTGCGCATATATTACTGCTCCTAAATTCCCCGCTGCTAGGGGGCTTAGAGCAATATACCCGGCAACGAACGCGATTGATGGAATGTGTGAAGAAGGTGTGTGGGATAGGTATGACACTGTCGGACTACCAGTCAAGTATCATGTGCTCTCAATGTTTATTCATTGGTTTGTCTTATCTCAACACTCCTGTAGCACCCAGGCTCTGACTCTATCATACAGCCGGCATACCCATCGAAAGCAGCAAGGAACGCACCTGTGTTCTTGAATTGCTAGAAAACTGCCGCCAGCGGTCGGGCTGGCCGGTTAACCCTCTGAGCGAAGAACTTAGAGCACATTGGAAAGCCTAAGATGCGGGAGAAAACCGGAGTATTTAGCCATCTATGGATGACAAGTTTGAGTCCCACGACAGAAGGCGAGCCCTCCGTATGCTAAACGGGCTTGCGCTGTTATTGTATGTGTTCGCGTCCTAGATGCAGTTTTGGGTAGGCTATTGTTGCAACACGTCGGGCGTAAATAAGCCATGCTAGCTTCATTTGATCCCGACAACTTCAACGAAGAAAAGGTAGTTGGAGATGTAGTGCGCATCCTGGAGTCAAAATAACGATAGCAAGAAGGATGATTTACGTAACAATTGGAAGAAACAAGCATTGGGGTTGGTACTACTTGGTCACAGTTGGCGGAATTGGTTCCTCTGCGGGCAAAGCTACTGCTACTTAAAGATATAAAACAGCAGATCAGGGGCTATGTCAGTGGTTTCATTGCAAAACTCTTGTTTTTGTAACATGTATCACTTACGAAAAAGTTTAAACCCTTGCGTTACATCATGAACGGTGCTCTGGAGCATTTACTCTACTCATCTGACTCAAGAGTTCCTCTGTTCCAAAGACTATAAATCATCTGATCTTCTCATCTAATATCGATGCTCATATTGCTACTTACAACAACTTGAGCTTTATCAACCTTAAAATACTTAATCAACATATCCAGTTAAGAGTCCCAAGCACTGTGACCTCTCCCCATATTAGCCAAGTAAGCAAACCTAGCCCATTTCAAAATTTCACTGGGTAATAATCTTAACAATCTTCCCTTTAGCTACAAGCCGACTTCGCAATGCAAGCCAAAACTCTCATTTGGACTCTATTCCTTGCTACGGCTAGCACAGCCACTATCATTGGTGCAAGGTCTGAGACTGCACTTCGGATGTTTGAGGAGCGGGCTTGTACAGTATGCGGCTCAACTCAGAATTGCTGTGGCTGCTGTCAAGAGGGCGCCTGTTGTAATTCTAAATCTTGTGGCTGCGCCTAACGAGTTACTATACGCGGCAAATCGGAGAAGCATTTATGCCAGAATTCCAAGCACCTTTTGCATAGTCTGTTCCTCAATCAATGTTGTCATACTTTCTTATCAATTTCTCCTCCTGATCAAACCATACAGGAACTTATCTCTCCCCAAACCAATTTATTTCTTCTCTCCCTCGCTTTAAACTATGTTTAAGCCCATTTGTAAAAGCCTCCCGAGTATTCTTGAGATCAAGAACGACTTCAGTGTACCAGTCTTTGGTGATGACCTGCGATAGCGGGCATGGCCCATAACACATATACCCATTGCAGACAATACTGCCGTGCACATGAGGTTCTACTCATTCTTTCTGTATGCCTGATCAACTTGTCGAATGTTAATTTGATGAGTGGTATGCAGCGCGTAAAACTCGCAATTTTACTCACAGGCTTGGTCATGAAGGATTAGCGTGAGTCGGTATGTATCACCAACCTAGGTAGGGAAACATTTTAAACACATAGACTGACCTATAAGTAGGTATTACGACTTCATCTTATCTGAGGAGTTAAATTCTGATGCGAGCTCCTCTTTACTCGATAGAATTCATTACTGAATTCGCGAGAATTATGTGATTCGAATTTATTCTCCCAATTTATTCAGGCAAATATAATTTGCCCGGCCTCCAAGGTTGTTTTCTTTTTTCTTTTGGTTTTTTTTGTGAAGCATAGGGCGTCGTTCATCACGCCAGGGCTGTTGATGGACATTGAGAGATTTCGACTCCGCTCCGGGCAGACCTGCAGAGAAGCCAAATTACCCAGTGTCAAAGGGCTTTAACCCATGATACATTTGCAATGTGAGACGCGAAACTGATTATGGCAACGGCAGCTGCTGGGAGATGGCTTAGTGCCAAGTATTGTACCTGCATGTTTCGAAAAGGAGACAGACCAAACGTCACGGGCTCAAGCGGTTGTTTTCTAGAGCGGCAAGTATGGTGATGCTTATGGTCTACGGAGTACATAATCTGGCATTCTATGTCTCAGCCGTTACTAGCACTAGAAACACAAAAAGTACCAAGAGAACAAACACGGGCAAAAAGGTTTTCCGGAACGGGGAATTGAACCCCGAGCCTGACGGAGCTCTCAGATGAGAGCGTCAAATGTTGACCATTACACCATTCCGGACTGGTTAGCGGATTTTATAATGCATCCACTTATGGAGCACGGAGTCTGTAATGGTGGGACAAGATTGTGGATGGGACACCGCAGCTAACTCTGGCAGTGCCAACCACACGATCAACTACGCAGCAACATCTTTGAATGACTTGAGGTTGTCCTTACATCTTGTTGCTTTGTTATCAAAATTCTTCCTGTATAGCTGGTCGCAGCTTGTTTATAGAGTATAAAGTCGTCAACTTCAAGCCAGGAGAAGCTTACTATTACGAAACTTATTATATCGTCTATCTATATATGTTACGACCCGTTAGATACACCTAACAGGACCTACTCGGTTGGGCGGTTATGACAGGACTTTGTATGCAGGGCCACGGGAACAAAAGGTAACCTCTCGGAACGGAAGAACTATAGAACGGAACAAGTCACGTGATGAATCATTCTAGGTCAGAATGATCCAAGAAGAGTTGGGGGCCAACGGATCATGTTCGATCAATATGATCTCCAACGACTACAGACAATACGTGTAGATAGACTCCTATATAGACCAGGACTTGAGTACCTGCTCAAGCCCTCTAGATAGTTCTTCAGCAATCAACTTGTGATTCATCCTCGAATGACTTTCAGCTTACCTCTCAGTATTGTGAATACTAAGAACCTCGTTACCATAGTGTAAGACTGATCACCTTACCCTAACCCTACGATCTACCAGAACGACCTCTACGAACCAGTGTTAGTCTCTTACTGCACCTTCTGTTAGCAGAACCCTACTGTCAGATAGCTGGCCGTAACACTTTGATTGCTCCTGTTCAGTAAGTTGCCCTTTGAGACTAACGAACAGTATAAGACAAGATGTCTTCGCACGGAACTACCGAAAACCCTACTCCTGGAACCTCGTCCACGTCCGAGAGACGTATTCCCCAGAATCTGGCCCAAGAGATTCAAGACCAGGAAATGAAGGAGGAATCCGATAGCGATGACGACAATGAAGAACTTAAGCGGCAACTTGAGCGGAACAACAACGAGCTCAGGGAAATGAAAAACCTGTTCAACCAGAACGTCAAAGCCCTCAAGGAGCTACAGGAACAAGCCCGCCGCACCAAAGAACTAGAGAAGGAAGTCACAACCCTTCGAGCTGCCGCGAACGTCATATCAGCTCCTGTCGAAGGAAGAGAACGCCTTAAGCTCAACACCCCTACCACCTTCGACGGAACCCCTGGACAGCTCAAAGGATACTTGGTACAGATACGGACCTACCAAGCCTTCCACATCAACACGTTCCAGAACGATACCGAACGTGTCGTCCACGCCGCCACCTTCTTGAGAGGGAAGGCCCTCGCTTGGTTCGAACCCCTCCAACAAGAATGGCTGGACACCCCTATCGAGAGATACAGTCAAGAAGTGAAGGACATCTTTTTCAGCTTCAGTGGATATGTTAAAGCCCTTCAATCTCTCTTCTTAGACCCCGATGAGAAAAGACAAGCAGAAAGAGAACTGGCGAGCCTACGACAAAACAAATCAGCTACAATGTACGCCGCAGAATTTCGACGACTCGCAGCTAGACTCGACATGACCGACGAAAGCAAAGTCTTCGCTTTCTACCAGGGTCTCAAGGACGACGTCAAGGACGAAATGGCCAAAGTGGACACGCCACCTAGCTTCCTTGATTATGTCGAATACGCCATTAAGATTGACAACCGACTGTTTAAACGACGCAAGGAAAAAGGAGAAAAACGTCAAACAGCCAACTCAGGAAAGAAATACCAATGGCAACCCCAACACAAGTTCAACAAAAACCAGAACAACAGGAACAACAATCAGCAGAGCACCGCACATGGACAACACAGCGGACCCATGGACCTGAGCGTCGCGCAAAAAGACAAACCCAGACGCAGAGAATTCAAATGCTACAACTGCGACAAGCCAGGACACATGGCCAGACACTGCACACAGCCTAAGAAACTTACGGCAACCCCTAAGCAAGCCAACGCTGCAACCAAAATCCCTAGCCACGAAGAAAAGGGATGGACAGCCTGCTATGACAATGATTGCACCACGCACAGGCATGCAAAAGAGAATAGTGGATGGTACCCTCAAAACCCAGCAGGACGATCGGGATACGACACCACCAACATACCCAAGGCCATTGCTGTGATAGACCGATACACCGGTGGACCGGATTACACTAAGCAGCGACAAGAGCCACTCGACGACTAGGAACAAGCGAAGAAGGCCGCGGAACTCAACAACGCCTTCCAAGATGGTAGCATTGTGTACCAACCGGGACTCTTATGGGACATCCCACGCCTCGCCAACTATCGACAGACGAATGAAGTAAACACCCCGGAAAGTCTCTCAGAAGAAGAAGCCAGGAAACTCGAAGAAGAAAACGAGACAGCCATCAAACGGATACAAGACGCCATCAACTACACGATGCAAATTCGAAACAACAGCGAAGTTGGAGACACCCTCCAACACATGCGGAAAACCCGAGACCGCCGCATCGCACTACGCGGAAACACCCGAGGACAGTATCAACTCAAGTACAAAGCAACCCAATTTGTCTACCGACCCCAAAACGATGGAAAGACGGAACGAACCCTCGCGGTAGCCAGCAAATACGCCCGCAAAGCCACCGAGCAATTGGATGAAATGCTGAGACAACAACAATTCAGGGACGCTAGCACCCAGACCCGAGTATACCAAGCAAAGGACAACCTAAGCTAACGATGGAGCTCACTATATACCACGGTAGCCAGCGACTCGACCTTTGAATTGCCACAAAGAACCCGCGCTACTCCTCAACCTATCTCGGAATGGGCTGAAGACGTCGTAGACGGACCACCCTCGGCGGAAGTACGTCCACAAGGAACGTCGATAGACGATACCGACCTGGAAGACGCAGAAGAAGAACACCATCTCGACAGAATAGAAAAAATTAAGGAAGTACTAGAATACAAATACATCGACCCCCAAGACGACTGCTAACAGATCGCCTTCTATGCAGAAGAATATCATAACAAAATCCCTATAACAATCATACAAACCCGGGATGAAGAAATATTCTTAGAAGACGATCCTAGGATTACGACATAGTATAGAGAATACAAGGAGATAGCATAGATCTACTGTATCTTCGATCACTGCGCCTACTATCTCTCAAAGAAAGTAGAAAACGAACTATACCCTAAAAGAAAAGAAGAACTGCGAATCCGCAGAGCCTATGAGGAATAAGAACTCTCATATTGGGAAGTACGGGGAGAACCCGGAGAATGGAAAACCAACAACGATGGAATAGCATTCCTACGACCCAGCATCGAATACCCTTAGAAGTGTGTGAACCACTTCACGGGAGTCTGGTGGAATTGCAGGGAAGACCTATGCAAACTCCACTACATTCCAAAAAGCGAAAGTTGGAGATTCCGACAACAAGAACTAGATAAGCAAGGACAGGACGGCGAGACGCCCAGCCCACCTCGTCTAGGAATCAGAGAAAGTAACCTTGGCAGAGACCGAAAGAAGGGCGAGAAGGCCCTCTACTTAAAAAACTAGGAGAGCCGCCTTGTCCGGGACACATGGCGAGCTCCCCCAGCAAGTCCCTATGTGCTACATTCGACGACGACGCACAAATGAAGATCACAGTAAACCTGGGCGGATACACCACACAGGTCCTGATAGACTCAGGAGCCCAAGGAAACTTTATCGCACCCCGAATAGTGCAACAGCGAGAAATACCATGGAATCAGAAGCAAAACCCTTACCGACTAAGGAATGTAGAAGGGAAAGAAGTCGAGTATGGCGGAGGCAGCATTGATCAGGAGACAGCGCAACTCCCTTTGCTCTACCATGGCCATCAGGAGCTTATCAGCCTCGACATCACGGAGATAGGAAACCACGACGTTATCCTCGGAATTCCATGGCTACGAAGACATAACCCACAAATCGATTAGGTTACCGGCCGAATAAAATTCAATCCAGCCTCTGAGAAGCACTCGACGAAGGCCTCATGCGGATTACTAGCAGCAACCAGAGCAAGACCACGCCTGATGCTAAGGATAAAAGACATTGGCACTAGGACGCTAGCAGCCACGACGATTGACAAAGTCACGGAAGATCCAATGTCAAAGATACCTGTTGAATACAGGGTCTACAGCAAACTCTTTGCACCAGAACTCGAGACCGGATTACCGGAACACAGCAAGTGGGATCACAAGATCGAAATTAAGGAAGGACACGAACCCACCTTTAACAAAATATACCCACTCAACCAAGAAGAAATGAAAGCCTTAGACGAATGGCTTGACGAAAATCTTGCGAAAGGATTCATCAGACCTTCGAAATCACCCGCAGGATACCCCGTACTATTCGTACCAAAGAAGAACGGGAAGAAAAGACTTTGTGTCGATTATCGACGACTCAACGATATTACGATCAAAGACTGTTACCTACTGCCCCTCATATCGGAACTAAGAGACCTACTCTACGAGGCCCAATGGTTCACAGCCTTGGACCTTAAAGGAGCCTACAACCTTATCCGAATTGCAGAAGGAGATGAGTGGAAAACAGCCTTCCGAACGAGAAGAGGACAGTTTGAAACGTTAGTCATGCCATTTGGACTCACCAACGCACCGGCTACATTCCAAACTATGATCAACCAAGTACTACGGGAATATCTGGACAAGTCTGTTGTTGTGTACCTCGACGACATCCTTATATTCTCCAAAACGTTGGAAGAACACAAGAAGCATGTCCACGAGATTCTCAAAGCACTCGAACAAGCGAAGCTACTTGTTGAACCAGAGAAGAGTCTGTTTCACAAACAGGAAGTAGAATTTTTAGGGTTCACAATCACGCCAGGCGTAATCAAGATGTCCCCTAACAAAATCAAGGCTGTGCAAGAATGGCCTACACCAGAGAACCCGAAGGACATACTATCCTTCTTAGGATTTGTCAACTTCTACCGAAAATTCCTCAAAGACTACTCCAAAACGATATTGCCTCTTACCGAACTCACTAAGAAAAATGCACCTTGGGAATGGACAGACAAACAACAGAAAGCGTTCCAAGAAGTCAAGGACAAGGTCACATCGGAACCCGTCATCCAGATTCCGAACCCTGAGAAGCCCTTCGAGCTCGAAACGGATGCTTCGAACGAAGCTGAAGGAGCGCAGCTAGGCCAAAGGGACGAGAACGGAGTCCTACACCCCTGTGGATTCTTTTCAAGGAAGTTCCAAGGACCTGAACTGAATTACCAGATCCATGATAAGGAACTTATGGCAATTATCGACGCATTCAAAGAATGGAGACCCCAACTATCAGGAACAAAGTACGAAGTAAAAGTGTACACGGATCACAAGAATCTGGCACACTTCACCACTTCGAAAGAACTCAACAAACGACAAATCAGATGGTCAGAATTCCTTTCAGAATTCAACTTTCGAATCATCTACAGGAAAGGATCGGAAAACGGCAGAGCAGACGCCCTTAGCCGAAGACCCGATTACAAGGACGAAGTCCCAGAAGAGACGCAAGTGATTCTTAAAAACGAAAACGGCGACCTCGTGCCCGCTGCAAAGCTCTTAATGATTGGCGAACGTGTCAAGACCAGCACGACTGGAAGGATGACACACGACCAAATCAGGGAAATACACAGCGCGCCCGCTCACGGTCACCAAGGAGTCACAAAGACCTGGAAACGAATCAGGCAACATCACGACAAGCAAGTCACACGGAAAGACGTCGCTAACGCAATCAAGGATTGCGAAGTCTGCGCAAAAAGTAAGCCCAGCAGACACAAACCATACGGAGAATTGCAACCATTGCCAGCACCACCAGCACCCTGGCACTCAATCTCTCTAGACTTTATCGTCAAACTACCAAAATCGAGAGAACCACTCACTAAAGTACAGTACGACAGTATACTAGTGGTTGTGGATAGATTCACGAAGTACGCGTATTTCATACCATACTTGGAATCAAGCACGGCAGAAGACTTAGCATACACCTTTCTCAGGATCATTGTCAGCCAACACGGCCTGCCCCAGGAGATAGTGTCAGACAGAGGATCAGTCTTTACGTCCAAGTTTTGGAGATCCCTGATCTCGCAGCTCGGAGCAAAGCACAGCCTCAGCACTGCCTTCCACCCGCAGTCCGACGGACAAACGGAAAGAATCAACCAGATCCTGGAAACGTACCTAAGGAGCTATGTAAACTACGACCAGGACAACTGGGTCAAGTTGTTACCAACCGCACAGTTCGCATACAACAGTTCAATAGGAGAAAGCACGCGAGAATCACCTTTCTTCCTTAACTATGGATTTAACCCTACCGCTTATGGAGAACCCCGAACCGGCTCTGCCGCGATAAAAGCAGTAGCAGACATCAAGAAACTTAAGGAAATCCAACAAAAACTACCCCAAGAACTCGAATTCGTACGGCAAAGAATAAAGAAACACGCCGACCGACATAAGGTGAGAGGCCCACCCCTAAAAGAGGGAGGTAGCGCCTATCTCATACGGCGAAACATCAAAACGAAACGACCTAGCGACAAACTCGACTTCAAAAAACTAGGACCTTTCGAAATCACGAAGAAAATTTCCGAAGTCAACTACGAGTTGAAACTACCGGAAACAATGAAATGTCACCCAGTCTTTCACGTCTCATTATTAGAACCAGCACCGGACGGTACATATACCGAAGACTGCATCATTGTGGAAACAGATGACACCGAATACGAAGTAGAACGCATTCTAGACCACCGGAGGAATGACGAAACAACAGAATACTTCATTAAGTGGAAAAACTATGGACACGAAGACGATTCGTGGGAACCAGCTAAGAACCTGGAACACGCTCAGGAAGAACTCCAACAATACTAGCACCAGAGGACGTCTCTGGACCCCAGTCGTCCAAACCGACGCCAGACCAATCCACGACGCCAATAGCACCCAGGGAATGAAGTGCACCCACAGTTTCCGAGCTAGCACTCTGCAAACCAAGAACCTCGGAACGATACTCATTCTCAACCTCCTCCACACGCCGCAAACCAGATCGAATGAGATCAGTCGCCTCACGATTGATGTCCTTGCGACGCCTTCGTAAACGACGAATCTTCGCCATAAGAGCTAACTGCTCTTCTTCAGCTTTCTCAAGCTCATCATCAATTTTTATTTTCTGTTGCCGAACCCGAATGAGGGAAGCCGCGGAAGGACCGTGAATGTCGCAAGAATGCTTATCGGCAACGCAACGCGAACAACGAGAAGAATTAACTTCGGAAACGACGCAGTCGACACCGGCAGCCGCGCAACCGGAACAAGGGACAGGCATGATAAACCCGAACAAATCGACAAGCTGGCTAAGTTCCTTATAAGCCACAGGGTTCTTTGATTTGGATTTTTGAACGCGACCTGACATGATGTCAGCATCATGAATAAACAAGGAAGCACGATTGACGACTCCCCAACCTGGGAAGCCACGACCTACTTATGTTGGCCTTGAGGACAAGACCATCGAGGGGAGACCTGATGTTACGACCCGTTAGATACACCTAACAGGACCTACTCGGTTGGGCGGTTATGACAGGACTTTGTATGCAGGGCCACGGGAACAAAAGGTAACCTCTCGGAACGGAAGAACTATAGAACGGAACAAGTCACGTGATGAATCATTCTAGGTCAGAATGATCCAAGAAGAGTTGGGGGCCAACGGATCATGTTCGATCAATATGATCTCCAACGACTACAGACAATACGTGTAGATAGACTCCTATATAGACCAGGACTTGAGTACCTGCTCAAGCCCTCTAGATAGTTCTTCAGCAATCAACTTGTGATTCATCCTCGAATGACTTTCAGCTTACCTCTCAGTATTGTGAATACTAAGAACCTCGTTACCATAGTGTAAGACTGATCACCTTACCCTAACCCTACGATCTACCAGAACGACCTCTACGAACCAGTGTTAGTCTCTTACTGCACCTTCTGTTAGCAGAACCCTACTGTCAGATAGCTGGCCGTAACAATATAGCTATAATTCTAAAATCGTCTAGACTTATAATAGTATAAAGGAGGTATAATGTTACGACCCGTTGGACATGGTCGCCAACACGACCCCGCCTGGATCCCGGCGGCTAACGCAGGGCATATGTAACCCAGCCGGACAGGTGTAACCAGGGATCCTCGGAACGGAAGAACTATGGACAAGTCACGTGGCCTCGGGGATAACGCGGGGTAAGGACAACCCGGGCTGGATATGTTGGATATGTCAGATATCCAACCGATCCCCGGATATGTTGGATATGTCAAATATCCAACCGATCCCCGGATATGTTGGATATGTCAAATATCCAACATAGCCAAGATAAGGAGGACCGTTCAGGACTTGTATATAGGATGGACTCGAGCCGGGCTCGAGGACAGACTTCCATAGTTCTTCAGCAATCAACTTTGTGATTACCCTAACCGGTACTTTCAGCTATACCTAAGTGACGACTACTCTACGACTCTTGTTGAGGCCTTGACTGATCACCAAGACCTTTGAAGATCTACGATCTATTCGACCAGGACCACGGAACGACTGTTACTACTCTCAATCCCTGGCTTACTGTTAACACAAACCCACTGTCAGTTAGCTGGCCGTAACACTTTGATTGCTCCTGTTCAGTAAGTCACCTTTTGAGAACTACTAAACAGTATAGACAAGATGTCTTCTCGCGCTTCTGCCAAATCACCCACTCCAGGATCCTCATCCTCTTCGCGCAACCAGCCTCAGAGCCTCGCGCAGGAGCCCGCCAACACTGAGGACTTCGACATGCCGGACCTCAAGTACGACTCCGATAGAGATAGCTCTTTCACCAAGGAAAGCTACGATAAGCTCCGACACATAATCCAGAAACAAGAAGCCGAGACAAAAGACATGCAGAAAATCGTCAACGAAAACCGACAAGCAATGG